ATATTAATATTTGGTTTTTCAGTAAATAATTTTAGGTATTTCTTTTGATATTTCTTTAGTACGTTAGTAAATTTATTATATATTATTTTGATTTTTCCCTTTATTATTTTTTATTGTTTTATTTCTTTAATTAGTTTTGTAGGTTATAATATGTATAAAGGTATTATTTTATAGGCTTTTTCGAAGGCCGCGAATATATGCCTTTTTACTGCTGTACTAAGTCCATTTAAATCGGCTTCTTTCCGATGCTCAGGTTTATAACCTTCCGTACCTGGCTCTGTAGATAGTCACTTAACAGTGTTTTTCTGCTAGTCTATCTTGGGGTTATTAGCTTCTAACCAGGGTTTTTCTAGAACCATGTTGTATTAGGTGTCCATAATATCGAAGGAAATTAAATGGTCTTTTTATTAAATCCGGATCGGAAGATTCATAACTTTTCGCCTAATCTATCTTTTATTATATTTAATAAATTATCTGTCAATTGCTAACCCTTAGTACAGTAATTCCTTCTCTTAATAATTAATTAAATACTTATTAATTATATTAAAGTTAATAATGTTAATTGAATATTTACAATTAACTAATGTTTAGAACCTCTGGTTTTCCTATTCCATTATAACGTATAAGTAATTATTAATAGCTTAAATTACATTGAGATTTAGTGGAACATTCTCTTTATTAGTGTCCTTCTCGTTGAGCTGCCTTTATTATTCTTTAACAAGCTCCACCAGGGCCTTATTAAGTACTCTTAAGTCTTCGTGTCAGTCTATATACTTCCTTAAGGTAATAGATTTATGAATCTTATATATTTTGTATTTGTGTTTGTTGCAGTCTTCCCATGTTCTTCCCTAATATGTGCAGGCTCGAAGTTTATTTTCTATTAGAAAAGCGATGCCGAGGATAATATTATCTACTTATATATTATTTAAAGAAGTTAGTTCAAACTTAATTCGAACTTTACTAATATCCTTACATTAATATATAAGTAAATATCTTTTAACTAATTTGGGCTAAAAGCTTATATTTTCTTTGGTTAAATTATATATCTAATAACAATTATAAAAATATAATATTCATAATAACTTATAATGTTTTTTATATTTTAGATTTTGCTGAAAATTATATATATAAGTCTCTAATCTTAGGTCAGGCTTTTTAATATTAAGGATGGGAATTTATCTATTAGTATCTAACGAACATTCAATTCTAATGGCCTTTTATAAAATATATATTATCCCTTAAATATTAATTTCTGCAGTTTTAAAGTTAGTTTAAGTGACAAGTACTTTCTTTCCCTATGCCCTAAGATATTTATCAATAATAATGGCGATAAACTCTCCTCTTACGTACACTACCTATCGTTCTCGCGATCTTCTAATAATTAAAAAACACTGTATTTCTAATTTCTACAGTTAAATAAGGGTTATAATAATGGGGATTACAGCCACTTAATCCATTAGGAATATATAGAATTTTCGGTCTTCTTTATTTTCTCGTTTGGCAATTTGTTCTTAAATATAGACATAATTATTATATATTAACTACCTTAAATTTATATTAATAATACTGTTATTATATATTTATTAACTTATTATCCATTGTTTTATTTTGTTAGGTTCGTAAAAAGGCCATTTAAATTCTAATTGTTTTATTGCAATTTCTTATTTATTTAGATATTTTATAGTTTTATAAAACTTGTCTTTATTATAATTGTTAATATGGGTTATTGTCCAGATTTTATTCTTTAAATTATTTTTAATAATTATAATGGGTATTTATTCCTTTAAATCATAATTATACTATCTTTTAATATAATTGGGCATCCCTTATAGGCAGTCTTTATCTATATTTTATTCCTTTTTTACCTTAATTATTAATAAAGATAATTAAAATATTAGTTAATTTTTTATTTACCTTTTATTATTATTGAAGTGGCGTGGGTAATCCCATTTATTACATTTATAAATATTTTCTTAAAAGCAATAATTGTTAATAATAATATAATTCTTAATATTTAAAGTAATTTAAAAAATTTGGATATTAAATGCTCTTAAGGATATTACTTTTACGGCTTAAGGCTCGGATTATCCTTTTAATATTTTTAATTATTTATAAAATACTTTATAGTTCTTAAATATATAACCCATTTTATTACAATTATAATATTTAATTTTAATTATATCCTTCTTAAGTTTTTCTATTTTTATTATATTAAAGTTAACTTCTTTAATCTCTTTTTTAGTACAAGTAAAAATAGGCTTTTTAATTTTCTTTTCTTAAAACCTTTTATATAACCTTTTATTGTAAATAATAGCTTATTTAATATATTCATTAATATGTTAAAATTTCTTTTTCTTAAAGATCTTATTCTTAACCTATATAATCAATCTTTTATAAAAGTAGTTAAACTAAATATTTTCAGGGAGTTAGGCAATTACTGTAAGTTGTTTAAACTTAGTGGCATATTTTAAGGCTTTTTTGGTTTGCTTTAGGTTTTGAATAGCTTTATAAGCGTTTTTTTTCTTAAGTAAGTTACTGAATATTAATTGCATTTTATTTTTGAAGTTGGAATATTTGTTAAAAATATACCGGGATTCTTCCATCTCCTCTTAAGTATTGTTAAGATGGTTATTCATAATGAATTAAAGCCATTTAAATGCGCCGCCTTTTAAATATTAACATATAATTAAAACCTTATATTTATCCTTAATAAAGTTACTTTAATAAAAGGTTAAGTAAAGTTTAACTGCGTTAAGTTAAGTCTTTATATCTAAAGTACTATTATATTTAAGTAATAGTAAAAATTTGAATCCTTAATTTGTTAATAATAGGACTATAAGTTTTTATCGTTTTATAAATCGTGGGTCAGAATCCTTATCAAGATCATCATAAGGATTGTCATCTAGATTATCGTTTTTCTTAGTTTTAAGTCCAATTAATTCTTTTTTAAAAGCGTTAACTTTATCCTTAAATTTCCTATGATCCTCATATATATCCCGGAGTCTATCTCTTAGAAGGTTAATTTGCTCTCCCTGGGTTAGGGCCTTTTCTTTTCCCTTGTTAATAGCTTCTGTAATCTCCTTTATTCTTTCTTCGGAGGATCTAACTTAAGATTTAATTTCAACGGGAGTTATGTTATCAATAAGTTCTAATATATAATTAAGGGGTGGTACATCAAATTTATTATATTGTTTTATTTAGTTAGTTTTTATTAAGAGTTAGTTTTTAGGGGATTTGTTTAATAAGTATTTTAAAATAAATAGGTTATAATTAATTTAAGTAAGTAAAGGAATATTGTTGTTAGTACTTATGTTACATTTAACTGGTAACAGTATTAATTAAAGAACTATTAAAATATGACGAACTTATACTTAAGTTTATTAAAGTATAGTAATAGGGGTTTTAATTTTAAGGTAAATAGTAGCAATATAAGTTAAATATTAATAATATATTAAAAATATTTATTAAAAAAGCTTAAAGTCCTTCCTTTTATATAAATTAAATATAAGGCTTAGATTAATAGTTAAAGAAATATAAATAAGTATTTAAATATATAATAATCTTAAATACCTGTAGGCCTCTCTTAGGTCCTAAAGTTATCATGACTTGGGACCTTATTGGATCTGGTGGATCTTTTTAATTAATGGATCCCCTGAGATCCATGAGATCTATGAGAGTCCTGAGATCCATTTACCCGAGGTTCAACCGAAAAAGCGTTGGTTGACATCCCCGCTTCTATACTGGGTATGGCCTCATTGCCTGTTGGTTCGTAACAAATATATATATATATTAATATAAGTTTTTTTTAAAAAATTCTTTTTATTATATAATTAACTTTGTAATTAATTAATTATAAAAAAAATAAAGTAAATAATAATTATATAATATTAATATATAAGCACTTTATTAAAAATAAAGTACTTTATTACTAATATTAATAAAAGAAATAATATATTTACTATTATTATATAAAAGGATATTACATTATTAATTAATTTTAAATAAATTTTTCTTTTTTAAATATTATTAATATATTAATTTCACTTTATTATTATTTACTTTACTTATTTATTACTTTTAACCTTACGTACGTACTTATTAACAGTTATAAAAACGTTAATAAAAAATAATTAAATTAACTTATATTTAAAAAAATAAGTAAAATGTAAAAAGCTTAAAAATGTTATTATGTTATTATAATAATAAGTTATTACAATTAATTATTAATGTTAATTATAATAGGAAATATTAAATAAAAAGTTATTAATTATTTTAAAAATAAAATAATATAATATAAATTAATATAACTTAATTTATAAAATATTTTTTATTTTAAATTATTATAACTTTAATTTTAATTTATTATAAAAATATATAAGCACATATATATATTAATACTTATATATATTAATATATGTAAATATTAATAATATGTATATATTAATTTATATATATAATAATATATATTAATATAAATTTTAAAAATTTTTTATTAAATAATTAATTTCGTAATTAATTAATTGCAAAAAGAAAATAAAATAAATAATAATTATATAATATTAATATATAAATACTTTATTATTAATATTAAAAAAAGGAATAATATATTTATTATTATTATATAAAAAATATTATATTATTAATTAACTTTAAATAAATTCTTTTTTTTTATAAATATTATTAATATATTAATTTTATTCCATTATTATTTACTTTATTTATTATTATTTTACTAGTAATTGTTTTTAATTTTACGTATATATTTATTAATAATATTTAATAATATTTATTATTTTAAATATTTATATAAATATAATTATAAAAAAATAATTTATAATTATAAAATAATTAATAAATTTTAATAAAAGTTAATATAATATTTAATGTTATAAGTATTTTTTTTTAAAAAAAAAACACTTATTTTTTTTCCTTATTATTAAAACTATTTACTTATTTAAACTTAAAGCTTAAAGCTAACAATTTCTATTTCTTTACATACATATTTCAATTATTTCAATGATTAAACCAACGTACCTAAACCCAAACCGATTTCGCTTATTAATGGAATAGTAATTCACGTTTTCTTAGGGGTGGTTATATCAATCTGTTAATTTTAGATTGTAACTTTTAAGTACTTACCTACTTACCTAAGAGTTAAGGTAACTTAGAATTAACTGGGGGAGATTTGCTTTTCTCGGGCGCGATTTGTGGTGCGTGAGAAAGAGAATACCTATCGCATTAGGTACATTAGGTTACCTACATAACGACATACATTACCTAGGTACTATCTAGGTAGGTACCTAGGAGGTAGTCATAGGGGGACTTGAAGGTTTGTTTGGTCAGCCTTACCAGCCTCAGCAGCAGATTTTGGTACCTCCTAAAGCACAGAAATCGAGCCTTCCCCATGAGGCGGCCTCGTATGGTCAACGTGCAACTGCGACTGCAACTGCGACGGCCCCGACTGCCCCGACTGCCCCGACTACCCTGATTGCCCTTTTAACTGCCTTGGCTTCGCCTCGACGGCAGCAGCAGCAACAACAACCATGTCTTCTAGCAATCCCGATATTCGATCACTCGAGCGAATGATATCCACCCTCCTTAATAAACAGTTACAACACATCTGCTCATCCCATGGATTAAGAACAAGTGGGGTCAAGGCTGATTTACAGAATCGCATCAAGAATGGTCAGTGTAAAGATGATAAAGATGGTGGTGCATAGTTTCGAATATGCGAATAGAATCCAATATGAGATGATGGTTTTCCCCAAAGGCAGCAAACCCTGAGACAAAATATGACAAGATATGACAAGATATATATTATCATATTCGATATCATATTCATTATTCTCTCACCTGTTGCGAACTTTCCCCATCTTCGTTTCTACTTCTTCGCCTCTACTTAGCCCTCGTTTCCTCTTCGTTCCCTCCTCGCCTCAATCAACTAAACTACCTCCTACCTACTCTCTGCGATCTTTCGTCTCTGTCAAATTTCGTCATACTCCCCATTTTCTTGGATGATACATATACACTCTTGACTGATACGTTAACGATACCTTCAACTAACACACGTCCCTACTTTATAGCACTCCACGAAAATTATCAATCCGACCCGGCGAGTTATAACGCGATACGCGAAACGATATTGAACATCCGAGGAGGAAACTCTGGTCCACAGAGTATGGCTCCTCCGCCCAGTTTGAGCCCACAGCTTCAGGGTCGCAATCAATACTATAATACGTATGGCTCATACCAACCAACAGGTTCCAGCATGCCGCAACCAAGCCACGGTTATCCCAACGGCAGCGCTACTGTTGACGGGAACGGCACTGGATATCCCGTTGCTTCCCGAGCACATCAATCGGATAATATATTCAAAAATACACCCTTCTACACTATCGAAAAGAGAATAGGTCCTCTTCATACTTGTCCCGGTACGGCATTTCTTATAAAAGGTCTTATGTATCCTTCTCTTGTCAACTCAGCTGACATCTTCTCAGTTATGAACAACCACCGAAATTCCATCACAATAACCTTGAAGGCCAGCGACTATCCAGATATTGCGCGCTGCGCGACATACTCACCTACTAAACTCATGGTATTCTGCGGAAGCGAGAACATGGGACTTCAGGACATTCAGTTCCCTCACCAGTCCGAAATCAAAGTGAATGACGACGACGTGAAGCACAATCTTCGAGGCCTCAAGAATAAACCGGGGTCAACCCATCCGGTTGATATTACCCCCTTTCTAAGGCTGAAGCAGACAAACTATACTAACAAGGTCGAGTTTACATATGCTCTAACTACGAAGGTACGGAAGCCTAAAGCTTCGAGGGAGGCTCAAGTGAGTCAATTCCTGGGCACCAAGTGGTACCTCTACTCACGGTGTATCTCTCTCGCTAACAAGCGTCGAAATAGAAATTCTACCTAGCTTTATACGTCTGTACAACACACCCGATCGGCGAGCTGGTCACGAAGGTTAAGACCAAGAAGATCTCTAAATCTTCGGTAATTCGCGAGAGTACGGCATGTGTTACATCCAATATGAAGTTATATGTTAACCTGCCTCTAGTCTCCAAGAAAGCCAATGATCCGGATGTCGTGGCGACTTCTCAGAACCTATCCCTGAAGTGTCCGCTCAGCTACGCAAGATTAAAAGTCCCTTGCCGAGGAATAACTTGCAATCATATCCAGTGTTTCGACGCGAATTCATTTATGCAGCTGCAAGAACAAGGTCCGACCTGGAGCTGTCCCATCTGTTCTAAGTCCGCGCCCTTCGACACATTAGTGATAGACGAGTACGTGCAGGAGGTTTTGGAAAACACGCCTGAGTCGTGTGAGCAAGTTACCATTGAACCGAATGGTCAATGGAGAATCAAGTCGGAAGATGCAGAACCGACTCGATCTCGACCCCCTAACGGCGCCAAAATAGAGGATGATGATGATCTGTCAATTCTCTCCGATACCCATGCTTTCAGCAGTGGCACGGCTAGCAGTTCAATAGGCGGTTCGAGGAATGGCTTAGGTACACCAAGCCGTTCTTTGCTTAATGGTGGAACGTCCAACGGCAGTCGCCGGGAAACCTCGAATACGCAAAGGTCGGGAAGCAACAAGCGGCCGGCAGAGGTTATCGATCTTACTCTCAGTAGCGATGAGGAAGATGAGCCCGTCCGAGCTTCGAAACGTCAAAATCTAGGACCGACCAACGGTATGGCCTTTCCTTCTGCGTTCGATACGTATTAGGAATATACATCGTGCTCGCGACAGTCGCGCGACGCAATGGATCTTTTCCGACAACAAGTAATGGAAACCGTACAGGAGTGGAAGGAAGTACTTCTGCGAGACTAGGAAGTTGGTTAGTGCTAAGGGGTTTTTAGGACTTGTTAGGTAAAGTGAATAGGAGTATTTTGTACGGCGACGGATATTACGACGGCATTTTCATGAAAAGCATAGTTTGTGGCATGGAATTTGGCATTATCGGAAGCTTGATACGCTGCCTTCTATTGGTCTTTTTTCTTCTTTTTCTCGCCTCTCCGTCCCCGGTTCTTTCTGTACATAGAATGCGATCATCCCCTTGTGCAAGCAAGGTACGGGCATGATAAAGGGGTAGGAGGGGACAGTCACATCGGCGTTGAAGGGTGGAAATACCTATTGCTTTATGAAGGGGCTACATATGGGAGGAGTCGCGATGAAAAGGATCAAAACGAAGCGGTCGGACTCGGTGGGCCCTATAGGTCTTTTAGCCGTTGGTCCTCGTTTTGAAAGTTAATAAAAATCCGATGCATTAACATATTCTGATAGGAGTAACCCTCCTTGTCTACCTAGGTAGGTAACCTACAAGACTTTCTATCATGGTGTATATATATGTGTACCTATAATATATATATATATATAGCGTGTTGTGCTTGTATTGAATACTCGCGGGTAAAAATATTAATGCATTTAAGCGTGGTTTAATTAATATCCGCCAAGCACAAATCCGCTAAGATACCCGGTACTACATTAGGTACGCAACTCACCTTGAATTCCAACAAGCTTCAGCCCTGTCTGTTCCACTATTTTCAGCCTCGAGCTCCGAAGGTATTGGTAACTTGTACCTACTACCTACACATCCAGACATCCCACCTACCTACCTAGGTAACCTATAACAACGAAGTTACCTACCACGAACCATAGCAGTTCTCTAAACCTAGAGATTGGGAGAACATATTGCACCGAGAACCGACGAACGACAACCAAACAAATCCACTCCCAGTCCGTTATCGAACACGCCAATGCGCTGCGCTACTACCGAATAATACGTCTCGGAACATTACGGGCGTCAAGGAGAAAGCGAGAGAGAGAGAGAGAGATCCGAGTAAATAAAAAAAAACGACAAAACGAGACATGTCGTCGTTCGACCAGCCGCTCCCGCCGTTCAATGCCTCGGACCCGACCGCCTCGTTCCTGAGCACCTCGTGCCTCGACTTCCTGATGATCGAGCTGGTGCCCATGGCGTACCGCGTCGCGAACGAGCTGGATGCGCCGGAAGCCGGGGAGAGCGGCGGCGGCAGCGGCGATGCAGGCACGGGGGGAACGGGGGCGCATGCCAAGTTAGACGAGGATGAGGAGCGGGACGCGGTGTTTTTTAGATTGGATGGGCTGGGGTATAGAGTTGGCTTGGGACTCGTTGAGCGGTTCGTTTTTTTCTTTTCTTTTCCCCCTCTTCACTTATCTTATATATCGTGCCATGTCACGTCATGCTCATATCGTATCATATCACCATTCCGTTCCCCCTTCCCCGTTCCCCCTCCTCTTCCTGTTCCCCCACCCTCTTACTCTCTCTCTCTCTCTCTTTCCCTATACTCACTTGCCATACCCTACTCCTCCATATCGCCGTTCCAACCCCCTCCAAAACTAACTAACAACCCTCACCAGCTTCTCCCGCGACCGCCCGCGCTTCAACGACACGCTCGACGCCATCAAGTTCGTGTGCAAGGACCTGTGGATGCTCGTCTTCAAAAAGCAGGTCGACAACCTCAAGACCAACCACCGCGGCGTCTACGTCCTCACCGACAACCTCTTCCGCCCCCTCTCCCGCATGAGCGCCGACCCCGCCGGCCACGCCGTCGTCAGGGCCCAGCCCGTAAGTACCAAGTAACCCAAACCCCTACCCCTACTTTCCATCCAAGACTCCCACAATTTTAGAAAAGAAAAAGAAAAAAAAAAGAATCTCGTTCCCGATCTAACGCATCCATCTCACCCCCCTAGTTCCTCTGGTTCCCCTGCGGCATCATCCGCGGCGCCCTCGCCGCCATGGGCATTGCCGCCACCGTCCAAGCAGAGACTAGCGAGCTTCCCGGCGCCGTCTTCCAGATCAAGACCGCGCCTGTGAAGCAATAGCAGCGTCTCTTCCTCTTTCTCCGTCGGGGATGTTCAACTTGAAACTTTTTGTTATCTAGAACTAACCTAAGGTATTTATTTATTTGTTCCTTTTACTACCTGACGGCATTTTTATGCGCTTGGTTCATTTACCGGAATTCTCAAAGGTGCGGCGCGGCGCGGCGGCGGCGTACAAAGAAGAAGGGAACGGGGATGGTAGGCATGGCAGGCATTGGCATTCGGCATTTAGAAGTAGCGGCGTTCAATGGTGTTCGATGGTGTTTGGTCTCTCTCACTGGTTGTGTTGGTTGATATTTACAAAAACAAATGATGTTACTAAGCATCTGAACTCTCTCCGCGCAAAAGTCTGCCTCGCGTTTATGTAATATACCCCCCCTTCGCCTTCACTCACATCCGTCCCATCCCACCGGCGGAAAGTATTACCTATATCCAGCCTCCTCCACGATCCTCCTTAAATAAAATTTCCCCAAAAATTCTCAAAGCGGACTTGGTATGGATACGATGGAGAGAGAGGGAGAGGGAGAGAGATGAACTGGCTCTCTATTCAGGGCGGCTACGTCACTCTTACAACCTGTGCAATCTCATAGGATCAGTGACTCGATCTCAATTATCGTTCAACTGTCTGGTTTGACTCTTTCTATAAACCACGCCAAACCTATCGGGGAAAATGCTCCCGTGGTAGAACTCATTACATAACAGCAGTGCTAGGCTTCGTGAACGAGGCAAAAATCATCCGGGGATAAATCAGGGGGTAATTACTTTTGAGGGGGGTTGTGAGCGAAGCTAATGCCCTTCTCAATGTTGGTCTTCAGACCTTGGATGGCGACGTCTACCAGAGACTTCTCCTTCTCGGTGATACCAGCAAGAGGGTTGGTGACCTTCTCGGCACCCTTGGGCTATATCATTGTTAGCGCAATTTTACAACTAAATTTAGGGAACACTCACTCCCAGCTCAACAGGGACGGAGAAAAACTCTAGGCCAGTGGCCTTTGCAATCTCTTCTCCGCCAGGGATACCCTTTAGGTAGACGAAGCTGGGCTCGACGAGACCCTTCTCACCCTTGATGGCCTTCAGCACCTTCTCCGCGAAGCTAAAATATGATTAGTCGTTGTTTCTAGGAGAACGAGAAAGATAGATCCTACCGGAATCCGGCGAAAGCCATGGACAAGGTAGCGGAACCAGCGCCGTCCTTGGCTTTGACGACCTCGTCACCGCCGAATTGGACACGGGTGACGAGCGCATCGTACTTGTCATCGGGGATTGTGACACTGGGGCTAACCTTGCTGAAGAGAGGAACGATTGTCTCTCCAGAGTGACCACCAATAACGGGAACGGTTAAATCAGAGCCAGTCTTCTGGCCGGCAATCTCGGCAACAAAGGTCTCGGCACGGACGATGTCGAGGGTCGTAACACCGAACAGTCTCTGGGGGTTGAAGACACCCTTCGCCTTGAGGACTTCGGCGGCGATGGGGACGGTGGAGTTGACGGGGTTAGAGATGACGAGGATGTAGGCGTTGGGGGCAACCTCGGCAGCGATCTCGACCAGACCCTTGACGATTCCAGCGTTGATGTTGAAGAGATCATCACGGGTCATGCCGGGCTTGCCTGTGGGTATGTGTGAGCTATCATGTTACACCGGGTTTGAGGTAATAAATTAAAGACTCACGGGGAATGCCGGCGGGGATGACAATGATGTCCGCATCCTTGAAAGCGATCTTGCCGCCATCATCCTTGGGCAGGTAGCCTGTGACTTTCTATATTTTGTGTCAGCCTTCAGGTATTATTATAATCATTGTGTTCTACGTTGGGGGTAATAGCTTACAGCAGTCGAGGAGATGTGAGAAAGATCGGTAGCGACGCCGGGGGTGTTCACGACATCGTAGAGGGCAAGCTCGTCAATGAGAGGGCAGAGCTTGAGAAGGAGGGACAAGGGCTATTTTTTTTTTTTTTTTTTTAGCTTCAAAAGCTCTTGCCTTATCATATCTGGAATGGATAGTAACAAACCTGGCCAATACCGCCAGAGGCGCCGGCAACAACTAATTGCTCGTCAGTACGGATGTCCTTCAAAGTTAGATCCTTAGATCCGAATGTGATGCTTCATACCAGCTTTAACCATGATTGCGATGTTGAGAGGTTGAAGTTGAAGTGGGGTAAAATGGCTTCAAAGAACTAAGACACCAGATAGGTAGTAAGTATCCTCCAGCTCCAGGCAGAGTAAAAATCAAGTCGGCAAGTTTGTAGTTCGTGGGGAAAAAAAGAAAAGGAGGGAAAGAGGGATTTAGACAAAGTGTTTTTGTAAGATTGAGTATATAAAGATGGGAGAGGTTAGGTTAGGTAGGTAACTTACCCTTGTTTTATATGTATGTAGGGTATCAAGGATGATGAAATCGGGGGAAGTTGAGGTGATACGCAGGAAGGCGGGGCAGAAGGACGTGTAGAGGAAAGAGAATCCACTTTAGCTTTATTGCTGTTTGGCGCTACCCCACCATTTTCCCAGCTTGCCAGGCAGTTCCTACCTCTTTCTGGACGTTCTTGCTATCCCACCAAAAGGAAGAAAGCATTCACAAAATCCCGTGCCTGCATAAGCCAATCACATTCTGATTATAAAGTGGTGTTCCTTCTTTGATTGGTTGTTTGATATCTTGTTTTCGGCATGCACGTTTGTAACTCTTTTGGTCCTTCCGCCGTATACCTACAAAAGTGAATGCGGATATAACCTAGGTACATGCTGGGGAACCACATGCATGAAAGTTTGTTTCTTGGGTACCTAGGTATCTCACAGGCCGACGTACCTAACTGATAGCCAGGGGGGGTCAACTATGTCCGACGATGCTAAGAATTAACTGCGAAATACTAGATATTTTTAGGTACTAACCTTCTCAGCAATCCATGCTGCCTTCCATCCTATTTCCCCTAACCCGAGGCAGGTATTGTCCGGAATGGAATTACCTAACTTCTCCTCTGTCTTACTCACGGATAGATACCTAGGTAGCTTGCATCATAGGTTAGGTACCTACTTGGAAGCCGTTTCCCGAGGTTCATTTCTCAGTACTAGACAAAGTCGGACAAGGTCGGACGGGATAAAATCACGCTCCTTCATGTTTTTGATAGGGGTTTGGTTTTGGTTATTTTGAGAAGCATGAAGCTCTTCCGGATTACCCCTAACTTTAGGTAATTGCCAAGATAAGGTACCTGACCTGACCTTACCTTAGCTATACCTACACTTATACACCTACCTTACCTTACCTACCTAAGGTACACAGGTTCATCCATGGATGTATGTAACGAACAAAGCAACAGTAAAATAGCTCAACCCATATCTGTACATACCTACCTTAGTTTAGGTAGATATGTATGCACTTTGCCTAGGAGCTCAGGTTTACTGAAACACACACCGCCCCCGCCGAGCGCCCGCCATAACTACCTAGGTAGGATCGTCCGGATAGTTATACCGGATTAGACTGAGGGTTATCTTGTATGACTTGGCTTTCTATAGGTAAGGTACCTAAGGTAATACTACTACCTGCATACCTACCTGTCATGAATATAGATGAGCAGCATGCGAGATAAGTTACGAATCACATATGGAAAATGGAGGCATTTTTCGTTCGAAGGGTTTTCCTCAAGACGCCTTGGAAACTTGGATTGACTACCAAAAAAATGCATACCTATGCCTTATTTGCCGGCCGGCCTTAGTTATCTCTGCAGTCATTACCTTAGGTAGTTAGGTATTCCATCCATCTATCACACCCCCCAGGGATTATACAACGCTTACGACTCCGGGGCGGCGGCCTTCTTGGCCTTGGCGCCTCGGGGCTTCTTCTCGGGGGTGGGCTTGGGTTCCCGCTGGGACCGGCGGATGGCAGAGACGCGGGCGACAGCAGCCTCACGAAGGTCGGGTCGGTAGCCGGACTTGGCGGTCCTGCTGGCGACGGCCTTGTAGATCCTACGTAGTCGTGCGCGTTAGCGAGCGAACTTCCAGTTAGACATTGGTGGGTTATGTTATATATCCCCGGAGAAAACTGACTTTCGTGTGGGCTTGCCGCCGTGGTAGACGACCTCGGTGATGGACTTGGCGGGCTTCTGGACAGCAGACTCCTTCTTGCTGAGGACCTTGACACCCTTCTTCTCCGCGGGATGGATACCGATAGCCTGATTTCCCAATCGTGTAAGTCTCTATTGCGAAATATCGATTCGTAGTATTGCCCTTCTATTCATCATACCTTGGTGTTCACGAATCCGGCATGCTATTAATATCTTGTTAGCCAACTTTCCAACTTTCAAAATAACCTCTAAAATTGTATTTAAATATTTAAATTCTTACCTTGCGGTTGTGGACGTTGACCAGGTTAAGGGGGTCTCGGGAGAATCGAACACCGCCGAACTCCTTGCGCCTGACGAGGTAGGAGTTGTTGTTGCCTATATATGTCAAAATAACAAGATATTAGCCCTCTGCCACCCAAAGCACCCCCCCAAAAAGCCTAACAACACATGGAGGCCGTAATTTAGTCGTAGAACTTACGGACAAGTTCCCAGACGAGGTCTGCGGAGACGTTGTTGGTAGCCATTTTGTATGGGGGTCGGGATCGTGGGATTCGCGGGAATGAGGAGGTTTCGATGGACCGGAGTTCTGCTCTATCGTTGTCGACCTTGAACGATTTCGAAAAGTTCACGAAGCGCAAATCGTCGAGTGTGGGAATCGCTTAATTGGCCGTATCGGTGTTAGCGTCTACCTTAAGGTAGATGCAATGTATTTCGTACCTTGTGGATGCTTACGTCACCTGCAATCAATCAACTATTGCCCACTTCAATTAGGTACCTCCTAGATAAAACGGGCACTGGGGGGAACACGTAAGACGCACGAGCCACATACATCGTCATATGTATTTCCTGCACTTCTAAGTAGTGTAGCACCTAGAGCTCCACTTCTCCCCATTCCACTAACAACTTCGAACTGCATGCAACTGCGAGAAGACCGTCTCTTCCGATGGCCTTCCACGTAAAAAATTAATCACGATACCCTTACCTTAGGTACTTACTTCTTCGAACTCGGCTTCTTTTTCTTCTTCTTCGCAATTGCTATCGCCATTCACTCTCTCTTCCTTTTCTTTTCCTGTGTGTTTGTGTGTGTATTTGTTCCTCAACTTTTCAACTATTAACTACAAATCCTCTCTCATCTGAAACTGTGGCTTTTTAAATCAATTAACCCACCTTACGGGCTGCCTCAATCCCAATCCGTCGACTTGTGATATCATCTATCCTCTCGCCCGCGCAAAAGAGCGCATTGCCTTAGGTACCTAACTTAAGCCATCATCAAACTTCTCCTACGCGAATCAATCCTAATATTCGCAACAACTATCTCGTCGTGAAAAAAAGAAGGGAAAAAATGGTATACCTCCTCTACTCCATAACCTTCCTAGTCCTCGTCACCGGCACGATCCTCTACCTAACGCGGACCCACTGGATCCCGCTCGTCCCGGGCCGCTCCCACCTATACTCGCGACTCCCGGGTTCGTTCGCCGGGGACATGGAGGCGGGCCTGTCGAGCAGCACGTTCGACCTGGCCGGGAACGTGGAAGGGGGCGACGCCCGCGCGGGCCTCGACGACGAGGCCAAGGCCCAGATCCTCGCCATCATGAAGAAGCGACGCATGCGCTTCGACGACGCCCGCAAGGTCTACATGGAGCTGCGCTTCAGCGCCAACGGCATCGCTGCTGATGGCCGGCCTAAGGATCCTAAGTTTGTCAGTTTCTCGTAGGGCAAGAGGAAAGAAAGGGGGGGGAGAGATATGGGTGCGGACGGTTGAGTCCCCGACCCCCGACTTTCTGTAAGGACCCTACCCTACTTGGGCATGTGTACATTATACGGTTGTGCTGGTATGGATGGAGGTGTGTCTTGGGCTGAGCCGGTTGCCAGCGTAGACGCTGGGGACGGACGGATGGTAGGTGTGTGTGTGCATTAGGGACTACGGACCGACCTATATTCATCGCGATAAGCGTTCGCTTTTTTTTTTTTCTCTCTCTTTTTTTCTTTACTTATTTTGCGACGGCGTTTACGGAACTGAACATATTTGCTGGTGGGGGTTTTATTGCTTTTGTCGCAAGGGGAGAGAAGACATTCCCAACCCGACGTCTAGCTCTCCTCAACTATACGATATTAATCGTTTAACTACCTACGCGGGAATATACCCAGACAAGAGCAAGGAGTTTCCTCATTGAAACATCTCTCTCATTTTCCTATGTAACCGCGGCGTTACGAGCATAGGGAACGGTAATGGGTCGTTTTAAATACCTTAGGTATATACAACCCACCACAATTTTGGCAATCTCTCAATAACAATTTCCAAGTCTAAGCCCAGTGCCGCTTCGCGCATTCATGTACGTGATAAGACGTGTAGAAGTAAGCAAAAGTCAGCTGAGGTGCATGAGATAGTTAAGCCACGTATGCGCATCTCTACTAGTCGTAAATCATACATTAGCTTAATGTGCCACAAACCTGTATTGTATGTATGAACTACCGGATGATCACCAAGTTGTCTCGATTCCCCAGTCGTACATACTAAACCCATTTCCATTTTCATCTTCATCGTAGACCTCTTTTGGCTGTAGGACGAAACGATGAAACTAAAGTAGTGCCACCTTGGATTGTGTGAGATAGGTATGTGACGTGACATCTTTATACAAATATGGCCTTCGATGCCCACATGTAAGTAAAGTCTCACCACAACGGTCATAGGTATCTATCTCTTCAGGCATGATCCAGGACCAAGTAGAACTCACACTGCATACAACCGACGGCATGCATCAATCCAACCTAGAAAGCCAAATGTGTATGGTTTGTAGAAACATTAGGTTTTATTCTGATCATTATATATTTAGTATATTCCACCTGCCCATTACTATTTTATCGAGACAACGACGGGAACGGGTGAGTCGCCTCTTCGTCTTCTTCCTTTTTTTCCCCCATCATCTATCGGGGTTCTTCGCCTGGGAACTTTCAACTCGGGATTTCCGAGTTGAAAGCCAGAATAGGGACTAATCCCGAAATCCCCCCCCTTTTTTTTTCTGGATAACCCCGAAACGCCATCACATCATTAGGTAGTTAGAGGGTCCCTAGCATTCTGCCAATTATATACAATCATTCATTGTGCGACTAGCACTAATTAAATCTCCGCCTCGCACAACATTGTGCTCGCATCGTCCGCATCCAAATTCGAAACCGAAATTTTCAGTTATGCACCGAATAACTGGGCTCTCGCGCATCGAATATATGCTGCTGCTGCTGCTTCTACTACTACTAGACAGTCCGTAGTCTAGAAGCTTTAATTGTTCTTCTTGACCTTTCCGGCGTCGTAGCTGCGGTCGTCCTCGCCTTCGACCTCCTGGACGATCTTCTCCATCTCCTTGACCTGGGCCTTCCATTGCGCCTCGCCCATCTTCTTCTCCTTCTCGAACAGGTCGGCGTCGGGCTTGCGGTAGCTCTTGCCCAGCCTGTCCCAGAAGGTGGTGTACTGGCCGTAGTTGTAATTGAAGTACAGGTGGTGCATCGTGTGGCAAGCGGCGCCGTTGATAACGGGGCTGTTGGCCATGTACTCGCCGTCGTGGATCATAATGGTCCAGAAGTTGACGAAGACGAAGAAGGCGACGGAGGCGAACTTGTTCAGCGGGAACAGGAAGGGGAAGACGTGGTACGGGAGCGATTGCGACCAGCCGTCGACGGGGTGGAAAGCGTAGGAAGCGTAGGGAGTAGGCATGATCCACTTGTGGTGAGGCTTGTGCAGGTGCTTGTAGATCAACTTGTGGTGTAGGCCTCGGTGGATCAAGTAGATACAGGCGTCGGTGAACAAGATGAAGAAGGGGTACTGCAAGATCTCGTACCACATGCCAGGTCCGTCGGCGGGAGTATCGTAAAGTTTGGTAAGGCCACGAACGTCGGCAAGCCAGAAGGGGACGGTCAGAAGCGACATGATGGGCATCGAGTTCATCGTCTGCTTGATCTCAAGCCTTATCTGGTTCTTAAGGTACTTGGGATGCTGGAACGTCTTCTTATCGAAGATGAAGATGTAGGATAAAGTCGAGAATAGGAAGTACAACAGGAAGCCAAAGATCCTGAAAATTACATTAGCGCTAATTGAACATAGATCACGTATCCAGTACGAAGGAGAAGGTTCACATACCATGTGATGAAGAATAGTGAAGTGAACTGGCGAAATACGTTGTCTCTATCCCAAGCACTCATATACGCGTACTCGCTGGGTTCGAATTGGAAGTAAGGGTTCGCCGACTTGAACTTCCATGATGAAAGAGTCTGGGTGGAGTTGGCGCCGACATCCGGAAGATCATGGGGAGCAACCGGATGCAATGGGAGCAGCTTGGAGTAGATGTAATCTCCCGCGAAGGTATCTGCGATTTCAAGAACGACATCCATCTTCGAAAACTATTGAACTGCGAAAAGACGGGAGCGCAAAGTTAGAAAAAACAATGGGAAAGATTAGAGGAAAAAAACAACAACCAAAATGAGGGTGATGGCAACAAATAAATGGGAGAAATTTCTCAAATCCTCGTAAGGCCCAGGGTAGGCTTTTGATATGCAATTTCGCGAGTCGCGGCGTGGGGGATGGGATGGGCTGGGCTTGGATTCTCGATTGGGAATTGGGAATTGGGAATTTTGCCCAGGGCTCGGATTTTAGATAGATTTGAATCGGAGCCAGTAAAGAAGGCACGGTGGATTCCTTTCGTTCCTGACTAGAGTCGCAATCGATAAAGTTTTACCTCCAATCTGCCAACTAAAAAGGGGTACTAGCAGTTAGACACATATATGTAACTAGCCACTTTTCCCCTTATGTGGTGAAACGAAGTTTTATTTCATGTGTAAGTGGACTTGACCGTGTAATTATTATAACAATACAACTTGGATGAAGAGAAACTGCTCTGCTTTTATTTCTATAGCGTTCTTTATAACGTCGAACCATTTCATCTTTCATCTTTCGACCTGGCATCGGCCCATTCGGATTTCCCAAAAATCTCGAGATGTCATTGTATGTATCTATCCATATCTGTACAAAAGTACCTAACATACTATGTAGCAAACAGCAAATTTGATATGCCGCCTAAAAAAAAGGAGGTAATAAGGAGTCAAAAAAGCGCGATGCCAATTGCCATCTGATTCGCTAGCTGCATGACACCACTGGAATCTCAAGCTTCCGAATCTCCAGAACCCAGGATTCTGAATAGAGTAGCGGTAACTTAAATCTTCTCCACCCTCTCACCATACGTAATAGGTTTTCTGGTTGTTAGCCCTGCAAATCGGCTCATCGCTTTCGATCTGATAAGGCGGAGATGGCAGATGACCCGCTTTTTATTCCATCCTAACGGTTTCTTAGTCAATTTAGTCTTCGTATTCGTATTGCGCTGTACCTAGGTACTCCTCCGCACACGTGGGAAGATTCCGATTCTTCCTTTTTATTTTTTATTTCTCCTTGTCCATCCATTACAACGTTGAGGCAGCCAAGGTACAGGGCGAGCTTTTTTCTTCTTCTCACAACAGCTCTCTCTTCAATTCGACCTCATAGATCAAGTGATTCTGCCGCTCGAAGCTAACGTCAAAGTTCACATAATATGGCTCATCACAGCTTAAGGCAGTTGTCTCACATCATAGGACGACCCGAGAATACTCAAAACCGTCATCTCCGACGCTCGGTCTTCATGATATCTATATCTATATATATAAAACGCAAAATTATTTACTCAATTACTTTTTAATTACGGGTATATCCATAAGGTACCTACAGTCATCTATTCAGAGAAGAAATCTTAGTGCTCTGGCTCGTGGGGTCCCCTCGGGACTGTATGGTCGACAGCCCATTGTCGGATGCTGTCGAAGTTCCTGCACGTTCGAGGCGTGCTGTAGTTTGGCCACAGGTCTTTTTCACCCTGCGGCAAGTTAAAGCTGATGACATTGACGTCGCCCTGGCACATGACGAATTGTCGCAGCGCCTCGATGCAGTGGTCGAGATGGACCGTGGGATCTTCAGGCTCAGCAAATGCATCTCCTCCTAACGGCGCGTAGTATTCCTTATATACGTTCTTTCGTAGTAGGTCCAAGCAGTGTAATTGGTGAAATACCTCAAGCGCGGCCCGATAGCCGGGCTTTCCATCCCTTGGATCGGTGATGGCAAGAGAAGTCTCAGGATCTAAACCCAGTTTTACCATTTCTTCGCGAGATATCATCGTGTGGCCGACTATAATCAATGTTAGATGTCTATTTGCTTCCCGGCTTTGGTCGTCAATATTCTTAGGGACGTACTGCTTGAAACCTCTTCCCACGCCGCATCCACGTCATCTCCCATACCAACGAAGGGTCCTTCCGTAAAAGGAGGCAAGTCGAAGTGTTTCGTCTCATACTTTATAGCGCTCGCGGCCGGTGCTATTGAAGTTGTTAGATACTCAGGCCGACAGAAAGACTTAGTCTCGATTCAACATACACCAGGTTGAATATTTTGCCGTATAGTCCGCGTCCGTTATTTTCGCAGCTTTTGAGCAGAATGATAATGCGAAGAATGTTGCAGAGAGTGATAATAGAACAGCATGGCATAAAAAGGCCCAATGTGGGCTCAGCCTATCCAGGCGATCCAGTATAGATTTCCTCCCCGTGCTCTCCGTCCATTTCTCGTCTACTATCCCTTCTTCCTTTGCAAGAAAGGGCTCTTCGTCCAGAGCTACTGTATGATACGTGTTTGACATCTTGCTTGAATAATAACAACAACAAAATAATATATATAATAAAAATAAGGCACGCCTGGTGCGAAGAAACGAATGGCGATAAATCCAATTAGACAGCATGCAAAAAATGTTTAAACAAGAGAAGAAGAAATTGAGACGAATAAGACAATTGCAAGACAATTACATCAGAAATACCCATCTTACAGCCCTGTCTAAGACTCTGTCTAAGACTCAGGGGAGACTAATCGCGAGTAGGTATCGGCGTCTCAGAACGCCTCAAAATGTTACATGGTAGCGCTTCATTTAACCAAAGAGAGTGGAGAATCTCCTTCGTATCGTCCTCTAACGAGAATATGAAACGCGAGGACCGCGAAGCTTTTCCTGGAGTTGTGGCGCACGGACAGCATATGAAAATACATAAGCAAGTTATCGGCCTTGTCGATATTGTTACGAGATTTTAAAATACCTAGTTAATGTAACAGATAGTCTATATAAAGTCAGATAAAATAACTTCCATTCGGCGTATCTCCGTCTCATTTCTTCCTTTTCGACGACAATAAAATGACCATAACCTCGTGGGATGAACGATAGTATTAAAGTCATGCAGAGGCCGGATAGTGAAACATTTACTAGCCGTATGAGCTAATGGCATTTGTTTCAACCGAACTCCAAACATCAAATTAGAAAGTCATGATGTAATAGTAGGGGGGGAGGCAATGATACGCGCTATCAAGCAATTGGCAATTTGGGTGATATACCATGCCCTAACTCAAGGCATTTTACCCGATAAACCAAGAAACCAAGTATCAGCTCCAGATAATTCAAAAACCTTCACTGTAGCTGTATGTAGGGTTGCAGCTCAAGATCCGAGTTAAGATATATCTCTTGGCAAGCCCCTATTTACATACATGTGTACAATTTTACGTCCAATGGGCGATAAGACTACCTAACGTAGATCTATTCCGAATATCAATTACATTTTCATCTCCAACCGTCGTACGATAGGATGACCGACTGGCCACCATGGCTTGTCGTAACATACGACCGGGGAATTTAGTAGCAATTCCTATCCTAATTTTCAAATTTGACGGCTCTCTATCCGGTAAAGGCGATCTAAATTTCATTCAGCTATTTGATATCAACTCGGAAAGCATAACTTCTTCACCAACAACTCAATAACTACATCAAGATCTTTAGCGATCACGAGTTCGTGAGGTATCATACCGAGATATTGGCTCGATGCCTTTCCAGCCCAATGGGTCTGCACCTCGGTATCTCTATTCGCAGACCTGATAAAAATGTTTTACCGTTGAACTTCTTCTGGATATAGGCTTCCCTTGGGCTTCGGAGCAGGTAATGCGCAAACTGCTGCTTACATGCATTGCGACAATATTACTATATTCTTGTCTAATTTGACGACACTGGCGAAGGTCGATTTGCGAGCAGGACTTCCCAAAGATCAAATCTCGAAGTATCAATTGACTACATATTTCGAATGTCTGGCGACTATCGAAGAGGTTCATATTCTACGTCGCGTCCTAGGTACATGTTATAGAAATCCTTTTCGCTAACCGAGGCCCATCCAAGGACTAGATAGACTTCGCGATGAAGGTTCATCACTGTCTTAACTAAACAGATCTTCTTTATTCTGAAGAAGGTAACCTTGTGTACTTGATTCACACTACGAGAAACATACCGTTGCAACGCTCTCGTTCGGCTAAACCAACAGACGGCCACCTTTCAGTTCGGAGTGTAAAGGCTTGACACGTGTTATTCCCATCGGGAGTACCTACACGATGACAAGCCACGCGAGTAGCGGTGGTTGAAAATTGTTGAGATTGGGGGTGACACTACGACTTTCCTCAGACATCAACCTGTCACTCAGCATGCAGTGCTAGGGCCAATGTGGCGGCTGACTCAGGAATTAGCCGTACCTGACCTTGACTTCTAAGTGAAACATCTTCGTCATCGGTTGGGGGCGGGGGGGAAAGGTAAATCAGGTTGGCACTTAGACACAGCAGCACAGCAGGCGTCAATAGCCACAAGACCACGCACCTGGCTGGAAGGCAGCAGGAAGCGACTATGTGGCGTGAGATGTCTGCGGGCCAAACCCGTACCTCTATCTGGTCATCATATAAAATTAGAAAGCATTAACTTACCTAGGTACCTACCTGCCATCCAACCGGGAATTATATATAAGGCATTTCAATACTGCAGATCTGAGGCGCTAACTTGGCACATACAGTGCATGCTCAACATCAAGGAAGAATAAGCAGGGGAGTTGTGTTCGGAAACGTACCTCCTATGCAGGCTCTACTTGCATAGAGGAAATAGTTTGCATATTATATACCTATGCTATTGTAGCCAGGATCGGGCATATTCTGCACACAACTGTATTAAGCGAGCGATCTGGGGTTTGAACATATATTCAGCACTAGAATATATACATAGTAAGATGACTTGATATGTAACAGAAGACTCCTATTTTTATTTATGTAGGTACCATGATATTCCAACTGCTTGTTAACTTATATATACCTAATCAGGTGACAATTAAGTTCGGACATTTTGAGAGTTTTTGTTCTCAGTTCTCCGTTCTCAACAGAGATAGTTAGGTACTCATCAACGGACTCTAAACAGTGAGCCGCTGGCACATGTTAGAAGTCAAGACTGTGCCTAAACTTAACACGAGTAAAACGGTCTCCTATATTAAGTAGCTTAAAGAAACGATGCTAACCGGAAAGTGGCGTACGTGCGTAACCAATGCAGACATCCTACAAACACGCAAACTGCCTACGACAACGCAGGTTGTAATGTAGTAAGAGCATTAAGGCATACTTATAAAAGTTAATTAACAATCAAAGTTCACATAAGTACCTTCGGTAGGTAGGTATGAAGTTGATATCGGTGGCGGTCTTGCGAGTATGATCTAGTTAATAATGAAAGTACAATGATAAAAGTGGCGTTCAGCGGTGAAAATAAATGGTTGCAGTACTTAAAGAATGTATTCCTGTAGTGCCAGATAGAAATACCTACTAGTAGAGCTTTAGGTACTAAAAGATGTCCTCTAAAAGATGTCCTCCCATGCATATCCGTTCGTAACGCGCTTTCTTTTTTTTCTACCCGACCAAGCGAGACTTTCCTACATAGTAGGTACATACCTACTAGTACAAATCATTTTTGCCGAACCGAATTAGGTCCTCCCCCCAATTTTGACAAGGTAAGTCATGAACGGGTAAAACTTTGTTTCACAGTCGGTTCCAATGTGGAGTCTTTGGTAGCCTATTATTGGAGACGGCCGAGACGGGGATTGGCTATGCACGCCCCTGCCGTGTAACAGGAGCTAGTCCTATCTCCGAAATAGCGATATCGTCCGAATGTACTAGGGCTGTTCTGTATTGTACACTACATATTCCGATACGTATTTATTGGGTCGATGCTCGTTGGTTCGATGGGAGGAATATTGAACCGGTAAGGCTCGGGATAGGTATATTCTTTTCATTGAGGCATTGTTAATGTTGCACTAGTCTAGCATGAAACCTGCATCCTAGTAATAATCTACGTAATACGTTCAATTATCACATCGACTAGAACAATTACAAAGGTGATTGTCGTTGATACGAGAAAAAGGAACCCCGACTTTACTTTACCAGATGTAACTGGGGAAGAAATCTACCTAGGTACCTAGATAGATGTTAGGTAAGTGACGATATCATATGCAAATCATTTATTAATGGAACAGACTTTTACGAATACTTACCTAACCTAACCTAACCTTAGTTCTCTCTCAATATCGCGTTGGAATTCCGAATGGTCTGACTTAATAGTATCACTTGCATTTTTATGCGCACAACCATGCGAGTACTAATCGGTACCTATTCAAAATAATCTAAAAGCTGACATCTCGGCCTCGATCTATCTCGCGCATGTCTACCTCATATTAACTTCTCTATACGGTTTACGCCGTTGATTAATACCTAGCCTGTCAATGATAACTACCGCCCCAACTAACAGGTATCTAATAATGCAACCAGATGGTGGATGTTTGAAAATCTAATAACCTATCTCCTTTTTAATATCGCCTACCTGTTACGGTAGCATCGGAAGATCAGGTACATAGGTAAGTTTAGTGTTAAACAGCCGAAACGCTTCCAGAGTTGTCCATCTACTTGGTTCAAATATAATTTGTACGCCGAGATCCCTCCACATTCTCTTGTCTACCCGAGTTGGGTCTATTGCTGGCTGTCATCCAACCCTCGGAAAAAGTAGTAGGGAGGGACGTACATAATATGATAGTTCTGCTCTCGCTCTGTACGACTCTATTGTGCATCGTGGCAAGTTTGGCAAGGTTGCAGATTATGTACTTGTGCAGACACGTAGCGCAAGCACAAAAAGGAGGCGCTGATATGATGCAACGCATTATACGCATCTATTATTAAGAAAAAAAAAACACATACACACACACACACACACACACACACACACACACCAAAAAAAAAAAAAAGTTGCTTCATACATCTGCATTGCATATGAAAAGAGGTAGGGTAAGCCTTGGCTACCTAAACATTCGACGCCTGTCCGTCCCACCATCCACATATTTAGAATGTACCTACGTATATGCGCTACCGCCCGCGGCGTTTTCTATTGTACCTACCTAACCCACAGCGCTGACCAGCTCTTGGCTAAGTGGGGGTGCCATATGCGTACCTAACCTAGGTAGCTTAGCTGCTTAGCTGCTTGCGTGCCCCCATATACTCCGTGAAATCGCGATTTCCACAAACTTCCATATGAGCGCCCGCCCGCGCGTGTGCGTGTGTGCCGGGATATGTACGGTAATGTACTTACGCCAGTAGGTTAAGTACATAAGACCACACACAGTACCTACGTAGGTACATCCATGGATGGATGGAGGTGTAGGTACTTAGTTACTTAATCGGCGCGTGCCTAAGGGGTCGTGCTTTTCCTTTTTTTGCTTGCCAATGGATTCCCCCCGTAGCCCCACTCATAATGCACGCAGCCTTAAGCCGGAACATAAAAAAAAAAAACAAAAAAAACAGGACTGTACTAGAATGGCGTTAAAAAAGTGCTTATTCCACTACCAAACAAATTATCTTACTATTTACATAACTTACTGGATCATTTCGTATATTATTAACATAAATATTAAAAACTTTATATTTATTGTAAAAGTTAATGAAAGAATATTAAGCACTTATCTTAACGGTATTTTATGTATCAAAATGGGTAAGATTATGTTACCATTATAAGTAAAGTCCAAAAAAGAAGAAATAGGTACCAAAGTAACTTGCCTAAGTAAGCACGAAACCTTAAGGAACCTGTAATGTAGTATCGTAGTGGATTTTGTACATGAATGGTCTCTGCAGCACAGGAGGTACTGCTTGCCCCACACCCTTGCTCACAATCCGTGCATGCATGCATGTACCTAAGTACTGTGGTATACCTTGCTATGTATCGAGGTACCTTATATAGTGCACCTAGTGCATAGCACGGTAAGTAGCAATGGATCCATCGCCCGAACCCACCAGCCATCATACATAGAAAGTACTTCTTCCCAGGTCATAGTTCCAATCCAGCTCATGCCTAGCCCCCGAGCCCTGGTCAAACAAATCTGAGTATTACCTACCAACCTTGGGTCTTCGTCTCCTCTTCTCTGCCATCCCTTCCCTTTTTTTTTCAACTGTTTTTTTTTCTACTTCCTCAACACCAACGCCTCATTTCTAGGCTCATCATTATTGTCCCATAACATCAACCATCATCTATCTAGTTATTATAGGCTAGACGACGACCAATAACACGATTGCGCGTCTAACGCTCTCGATCTGCCAACTTCGATCCTCGCGTTCCTTCACACACGACTATGCCCACTGTCGTCTGACGAGACCTTGCCAAGTCTCGTCTCGTCCTGCTCGCGTCGCAATTGGGTTATTGTGGAAGGGTGTTACCTCGTCGTGCCAAGTTGTATGAAAGCTGGAGAAACCTAGCTTGCTTAAAATATCGAAACTATCTGTGAACTTTACTATCCCATTCCCTACTTTTTTTTTTACCGTTGCTTGGAAATTCGCGATATCGCGAGATCGCAGCCTCGTCTAATTTTAATTTTTATCATACCCCCGAGGTAGCCCGTCCGCGCAACGACACCGCGTCCGACAATGTCTATGTATCCGCATCGCGGCTTGCCGCAGAACGCGGCGCGTTTGAACGAGCTCCTCGACCAGATCCGCACCGAGTTTGATAACCAAGTTCGGGTTAACGAGGGCTATGAACAACAAAGTAAGTTTAGAAATAATCTGTTACGAAATATTATATGAGTGTATGCATTTTACTAGTTAACCCAATGCCGGTCTTAACTCGTAATCGTCTACGCTTCTATAATATATATCAGAGACGCGCTTTTCCGCTTCTCTTTTCGGCTAAGATGGCACCACTAATTCCTGAATAGTCCAACAGCAATTACAAGATGCCCAACTCATTCGCGAGAAGGTTTATCAACTGGAGCAGCAACATATTGCCATCAAGGCGAAGTATGTAACTATCCTGAGATTTCCACATCTTGAAATTGGTCTGCTAACTTACTACGTATAGGTATGAAGAGGAAGTGGTTTTACTTCGCCGTCAGCTCGAAGCCGCGCGAGGAGGTGCCCCTCAACCTACTATACCTGGACCGCCTCAGCACGGCGGCCCATCTGCAGGTCCTCCCCCTCCTTCAATCGGTATGGGCAACAATCTCTTTAGTGGAATCATGACTGGTCAAGGAGGCCAAGGCGGTGGCCTACCACCCCAGCCTAACCCTCAAGATCAAGCCCCTCCTGGACCCCAGCACCAAATGCCACAGCCACCTCCGGGTTTACAAGGTCCGCCTCCGCCTCCACCCCCGCCAGCGGCTCAGCCACCCTTTCAGCAGCCTTACCAAGGCCCGGCTCCCAACGGCTTCCCCGGACAGCCTCCTCAGAGCACTGCTTCACCCGGGCCGGGCAAGCGCGGTATCGGCAGACCCCCCGCTGGGGGCCCTGCCACTCCTCAAATCAACACCCAGATGCCATACGCCGGCCCCGGAGCGTCGCCCCAGGTAGCAAACCATCCGACTCCGGATCATAGGGCTCTGCCACCTCACCCTGGCCCCATGGTCAACAACGCTCTTGGTGACTTGGATGTCGAACGTCTCCCGGCCCACGTCAAGAAAACCCGAGATGATTGGTTTGTGATTTTCAATCAACACGTTCCGCGCATGCTCGACGTTGATCTTGTCCACACCTTGAATCACGAGAGTGTTGTATGCTGTGTAAGGTTTAGCCACGACGGCAAGTATGTCGCTACTGGATGTAACAGGTCCGCCCAGATTTACGACGTAGCCACCGGGGAGAAAGTGTGCGTCCTCCAGGACGAGACCGCAGACATTAGCGGAGATCTATATATCCGAAGTGTATGTTTCAGCCCTGACGGCAAGTATCTTGCTACTGGTGCTGAGGACAAGCTCATTCGTGTAAGTCAAGCCTGCAGACTCCCTTGTGCTTTGCTAATTAGAATAGGTTTGGGATATTGCTGCTCGCACAATTCGTAATACTTTTGCCGGTCACGAGCAAGATATCTATTCGTTGGATTTCGCTCGAGACGGTCGAACTATTGCTTCCGGTAGCGGTGACAGAACCGTCCGCCTTTGGGATATCGAACAAGGCACGAATATGCTTACCCTTTCTATTGAAGATGGTGTCACGACTGTCGCTATATCCCCCGATACAAAGTATGTTGCTGCGGGTTCACTTGATAAGAGTGTTCGCGTTTGGGACATTCATCAAGGATACCTCCTGGAACGACTTGAAGGTCCAGAAGGTCACAAGGATAGCGTATACTCCGTGGCATTTTCTCCTAATGGCAAGGACCTAGTCAGTGGAAGTCTGGATAAAACCATCAAGATGTGGGAATTGTCGACCCCTAGAGGCGGCGTACAGAACCCAGGGCCTAAAGGTGGCCGATGCGTTAAGACTTTTGAGGGACATAGAGTAAGTCCTTCTTCCAGCATTTCCCGTCGTTTTTATATGCTCACAATGTTAGGATTTCGTACTTAGCGTGGCACTCACACCCGATGCCAACTGGGTCATGTCTGGATCCAAGGATCGAGGCGTACAGTTCTGGGACCCTCGAACTGGGTTTACTCAACTTATGCTCCAAGGCCACAAGAACTCAGTCATCTCCGTGGCCCCTAGCCCTACAGGCGGCTATTTTGCAACCGGTTCTGGCGACATGAGAGCGCGTATCTGGTCCTATCGCTCGATATCTTAGAGCCCATCTAGCAGCAGAATAGCAGCAGTACAATCGAAAGAACCGGGATTCTACGAAAGAATTCAACAGTATTATCACGTTCTGGAAAGAACACGTAGATGGGTATTGACAGGCGACCTGTGGGGTTGAGGAAATAAGATTACATATTAGGTAGTTACTGCAAAAGAGGCTTAGGAAGAGAGAGAAGCTTTGCTTCGCCAGACCTAACGTTGATAGGGTCTTAGGATCTTGAAGATCTTTTTTATTTTTGCCAAAGCGAAAGCTGCACACTTCCCTAGACGACGTGCGAAGGTGTGGATAACAATTTTGCAACTTGGAGAGAGCGAGGATTGTAGTTGGTCTCCCTGTTGGCTTGGCGAGACTTTGAAAGGGGTGAAAGGAGGCGGGTTTCTAATCTCAAGTATTCAGCGGCAGTAGCAACGGTGGTAGCCTCTTGTCACCAACGCACAAGTGGATTGCAAGTCAGGCTTGACAGTGATGCAAAATTTGCATGAATACAATCAATGACTATTAAATTAACACTTGATCTGTTTAAAGATAGGGCGCATTTATTGGAGTAACTGTAAAATTTTATGAGATTGGTAAATTTGGTGACCTACCTTTGGTAGGTACCTACCTATATACGTTAACAGGGAGACCATGTCCTATTTCTAGCTCAAAACAAGTTTTTGAATAGATCATCGAACTCGTCGCCTCCTTTCTTGGTCTTCTTTTTCTTGGCTGGTTTTGCTCCCACCTCCTTTTCATTGATCTTCGTTTTCGAGGAAGTGGCCTGTTCCTGCTGCTGCTGCTTCTGCTTCCGTAGAGGTTTCTCGTCATCGTCATCGTCAATACCAGCTATATCATCAGCTATATCGGAAGACGACCCGGGTTGGAAGGTATTCTTCTTCCTGCGCAGCTTCTCGGCGCGCGCCACCTCGTCCCGCGAGATCTTCGTGCCCCCGCGGTCGCCGGGCGTCTCGTCGCGGCCGACAAGAGGACGAGAGGATTGCTGCTGCTGCTGCTGCTGTTGGCCTTGAGCTCCTTGGGAGGAACCGGCCTGGTTTGCCCGCGTGGCGGTTATGGTGGTGGTGATACTGCTGGGGGGTCCATGCGGAGATGATGTACCGGTTTCACCGGCGCTTGGTTCCGCCGCCGGCGCTTCTCCTACTAGCCGCACGCACGTGGCGTTGACTTGGGCCAGCACGCCGAGCAGCACCACGCTCAACGTGGCGAACTGGTTGTCCGCCGTGAGTTGCGAGAACGCCCTGGGTTTTGGTTGGTTAGCAGGTTCTCGCTATGCGATGTGATTGATGTCTTTATATTCTTTGGAAGGCAGTATCTATCTACTCACTCTCCTCTCCCCCATTCCACCATATAGACTCGGGCTTAGGAGAAAAAAGAAAAGGAAACCCAAAAAGGAGAAGAAAGAAAAAAAGAAGAAGAGAAAATCACTTACAAGTAACACTTGGGAACCAGGACATCCCTCAGCCACCCCACGTGACACTTGACATTCCTCTCCAAACCCCCCAAACCCCCAACCCCAACCCCACGGCCATCGTCACCGTCACCATCACGCCGGCGCTTCTTACTCTTAGACTTGGTAGAAGCAGCAGCAGCCGCCGCCGCCGCCGCCGCCGCCTCGATCAGCTCGTCGACGAGCTTCTCGACGTGGCGCCGCAGCATGCCGAAGGGGGCCCACCAGGCGGCGCGGCGGTGCTGGTTCCTGTTGCGGTGGTTGAAGCCCCGGAGGACGGGCTGCAGGGGCTGCAGGCCGTCTAGCGCGTCTTGGTAGGCATTACCGCTGACGACGGGAGTAGTAGTAGAAGAAGATGAGGAGGAGGAGGGGAAAGCAGGAGTGCTTGGGTCTGGTACCATTACATCGTCTATCCCGGGAGTGGTGGTGGTGGTGGTGCCCGGGGAGAAAAAGAGAACCCGAGATATAGTGGAAGAAGGTTGTTGTTTGTAGGAGGTATGTACCTAACCATGTATTGTAGGTACTTGTTGTTAACGCACCCGAGAACCTCCCTTGCGGGTACCTGCGTAAAGCTTATTTCAAGCCCCGAAAATTCGCCGAGTCGGTAGCTTGGAACTTTTGCCGGGAAGGGAGAGAAGGAGAGAGAAAAAAGTGTTTTATGCAAGTTAGGTATCTAACAAGTACCTTCATATATGTGCTTATATAATCCCATCCATGTTCAACGGCGCAACTTTCTTGAACCGCGACTAAAAAATAGTAGGGAGATACAAAAAAAGAAAGGGAGGAAAAAAAAGGTAGATCAAGTACATCAGATCGGCAAAGGAGAAATGTTGCGACGTGGGCCTGATTCGAACAGACGCTCCCGAAGGAACAAGATTTCTAGTCTTGCGCATTAGACCACTCTGCCACCACGCCCTATTGGTTGTTGAGATTTTCCTTGCTACTATTCATTTATATCCTAGTTAACGATGGGTGGCGACAAGGACTTATTCCGGACCAGTTAGATCTTGAGGTCAAAAGGTGGGTGTGGGGTTGTAAGGGATCTTGAGATAGCTTCGCTTTAGGTTAGGTTGGCTGTTAGGTAAGTATAGGGTAGTAAAATATATCAGCTGTTCACTTACATCGAATCTATTAATTCCATGGTTATATTAGGTATCCATGGACCAAGAACTTAATCTATCAGTGGTGTATACTCCCCATCAGCTTCTCAAGAAACATCCTGCAAGAAAGGAATATATGCAAAACTGTTCTCTGTGTTGCATACCTAGGTACACTACTCCTCAGTTTTACATAGCACATACAAAAAAAACATCCACCTCAGTCACCATTTCGAGAACCTGAAAAGACATCATTTATACACTAATTTAATACTCCTTTTTTTTTCTTAACTCATTCACTACCTAAGGTACATATTCTACATATCGTCCGTCCGTCTATCCGCCATCAGACCCCTTCCTTGTCCCGTATCCTCACTCGCCCCGGTGCCTTAGTACCACTATCGCGATAGCCTTCTTCCATCCTGTAATACTGCCGACGACTATTGTTCTGCGCCGCGTCGGGGCCCCCCGATCTCCTCCACGAGCGGGGTCCCCGCGACGCCGTCCCTACACGCGTGCTGCCGAGCACGACTCGGACGAGCGGCCGGAGCGTGGCGATCGACGACGCGATTATGCCCAGGCCGTTTTCTGTCGTGGACCAGATCGACAGGTCCGTGAAGTCGTGGATGAAGTCTCCAGGTTGCGTCAGCTGCCATATGTATGGGATGCGGACGATGGTTGCGGCTGATGCGCTGCAATCGGCCTCTGTCAGCGACTCCGGTTTGTATAGGATAGTCTGAGTAGGATGGGATAAAGGAAGGGGGGGAGGGGGGATGGGGGAGGAGAGGTAATCCATACACCGATCCCAGCGCCAAGGCACAAGAAACCAAGATCTTCGACCTCTTCGACAACTCCAGATTCTGCACAAGAGCGATGGGTAGTAATCCAAGCACCCAGTCCGTAAAAGCGTTTATGCCGGCCGCTGCGTACGTGCACCCTATGATCACGTCGTTGCTCCAACATTTGCCCTCCATGTTGGCCGTATACCTAAACCAGAAGTACGACACTGGCCGGCATTGGAACGCAGCCATGAAGACGTAGAACAGGTGGTAGAAGAGACATAAGAACAGCACGGTGCAGATGACCCTTTTCTGCCACGCCCGCGAGCAGATGCGCAAGAGGAAAATCCCGGCAGTAAATTTCACTAAGAGCGACGTCACGACGTATACTATTTCTCCCAACCATCTCATCTATTTTAGCCGGTTAACCCCAAGGACACGATTTCTGGTATAGTTAGAGGATAGGGTACCTTGAGGATCTTGTGGATATTCTCAGGAGGGATGTCGTGTATATACTGGCCTGCGCCGCGAATAATACTGAGCATGACGGCCGTGCAATACAATATGAAGCAACCCTAGGCCTATTAGCCATGATAGATTTCCTCATCTCTCACACAAATATTGTCAGCTTACCATTGCAGCAACTGCTAGCCCGTCCTCAATTTGAAAAGCCTTTAGAATACAAACCCGGACATAGCAACGAAGAGCTACCGTGATGAACGACAGTCCGAGAAACACCCCGACGATGACGGCCAACTCAGGCCCACGATCATCAGGCGTCATGGTCCAGAACTGCTCCGAGATGAATAGGTATCGAAGTGAAAGATGATGCATCGAGAGTTACGAAGGGATCTGAAACGAAACGTGCCCAAAGGGCAACCCCAAGACCTTCTCTCTCACACTAAAATCACCACATAGCAAAATCGGCAAGACAAGGCTGCTGACAGTGTGAAGGAGCACAGCGGGAAATATACCTGTAGGTACCTACCGTCCACCCACCATGTGCGCCTATCTCGAATCCGGGGTAACGATCACCGCCGCCGTTCGTATTACACAATACCCGTACATTTACCTGTGCCATCCTGGCGCAACGAGGAAAAGCAAATAAGGGTCTGCCCTACGAGTAGCAAACACCTTCCAGAATTTTTCATTTTCCTTTTTTTCTTTCTTTCTCTTCGCACTCCCCAGCACGCGATCTTGTACTCGACCAGGCTGTTTCGCACGTTGGCCTATCGTCACACGAGCGTTGTAGTAGGGGGGGGGCTTGCTTTGAGCCAAGCAGAAGTGATCGCCAACACGGTCCGGGCCTTTTATTTTTTTTAATCTTTTTTTTTTACCAGGACGGAGCAACGAGCTCGTTCTCGCAGGTCATAAACTTTATCGTTTGTCGCAAAGTATGCACGATGCACGTTAAAACCCAGATATAGATGGCCCCCAATTACGATCTGGCGCATAAGGAAAGGATTTGCCGCGGTGCATGGTTCCGCATAAGCAGTGCCGCGGCCCAAACAGGAAGCTGTACACCGTCCTTTCTATCACATGGTTCGCGTAGACACCGCCCTCGGGCTCGGTGAGGATTAATAGATAAATACACCAAGCAGAGCTGGGAAGCTCGGGAGAGCAGCGAGCTATATTTAAGCATCTCGAAGGGACGTGAGGGGTTAGATTAGGTTAGGTAGATATATCATGTGCCGCCTACGTATCTAGATTGGATCATCGATGGAGATTAGAATAGCAGACGATACCTTGCCCCGCCTAGTAAATCACCGAAACCGAGAGGCATATATTGCATGAGTGACGGCAGGAGGTAGCATACCGGAGCATACTCATGTTCCTGGGAGGCCTAAGTCCGGATTTTGCATCTTGGTGCGAAGCGACTCCGTCGCTGTTTAGCACGTTCGAATGCTGTGCCTGAGTGGTCTCATGGTAGGACAAGAAAATAGGTTGAAATTGAATAGATCGAACAACCTATATCCTTGCTCCATATGTCGTACTAAGACAGTTTGTCCCGTGGAGTAGAGAACGGCCCAGAACAGTAGCTAGCGCAGAAGAGGCGGTAGTAGGTAAGGGCTCGTTAGAATAACCATCTAGTATCGGGTCCGACTCCGGAGAGTAACAAACGAACGAGGATATTATACCTCGTGTGAGGCAGCTAACTACTAAAGTAGTGAGAAGGAACTAGTAGGCCCCTCATATCAGAACGAGTTAAAGAAGAAGTATGCGTGGTAGTTTAAGAAGGGGAATGCGATAAGGAGTTGGGCTTGGAGTATATTACAGCTGAGCCAGCTGTTAACAACTGTCAATCTCAGTTTATAGATGACTGGCTTTACCGTCAATCTATCTCCGTCTCAGCCTCAAACTACTTCACAACTACTCCCCCTTTACTTCCCCTCTACTTCATTCTTCATTATACCTTACACGCAGGCAACTACTACAACCACGTATTTCCAGTCACACAAATCAAGCATTTTACATAAGAAATAACTCAATTGCATTATCGAAACCTCGTGGCTAGGTACCTACAGGGACAGTGCTTGCTATGCATATGCGACTATCACGCAAAGCCGAAGAAATTCGTGTATGTCATGCGAAAAGAAAAAGAGAAAAAAAAAATAAACGAGGTGATGTCCTTAAAAGCTTAGTAAGGTATTAAAAGGCATTCGCATCAGCTTGCCCCGCGATACTAGCAAATGACCTGTTCCTTGTTCGTCCCTAGCTACTAGCTAAACTTGAGCCGACGACACCATTGGCAGCATGAAACCTTGTAGGAGTAAGATCTCTGCCAAAAACCTCATTTAGGGAAAGACAAGTCAAGACAAACCTTAGGTGCGCATCCTCGCAAAGAAAAAGTAAATTCACGCGCATAACAAAAGAGCTGCAAATCAAAGACTTGTGCCATATGCCATTCCATCCAAGCTACCTCCTTGCTTATCTCTTCATAACTTGTCTTGAGGACGATATCGAACGCCTACGCTTAAGCAGGCTAGTTAGCAGATGCTTATTTCATCTTCATAGCGGTTTATATCTAGGGCTTACCTTGATCTCAAAGGTCAAATCAATATCACGTTGACTCTGTTAGGAGACGAGGAAAAGCACCCAACCTTAGTAATCCCGCATTAGTCGACGTCATGGTCCAGATATGAAAGAGGGCCTACCGATGGATAAAAAATCATCAAGAAACGCCACTTAGTCGGCCAAGCGGACAGCGTAGAAAATGCCACCAGGCTTGACATACCAGCGACAGTCACCCATGTTGTCAATACAGTAACGGTTGCGGAGAGTGTATGCACCGTCAAGCTCTCGGCAATAGTACATGCGAGATGGATCAGGATCGGCAGGGGCGATGTCCTGTCCCTCAAGAGCTCCGGTGTTAAGAGCTGTGTGGTACTGCTCCAATTGGATCTCAGTTGCAGTCTTGCCAATTCCCATCACGTCCGGAGCAGAACCGGGGCCCGTGACGCCGTGGGGGGGCATCATAGCAGGAAATGCGGCGGGCGGGGCGGCCACCGGAGCCGCAGGGAGACCCGGCTGGCATTGAATGAAGATGGGTGACTGGGACGGCTGGGGTGCCTGCTGGATTATGATAGGTGTACCGGCACCGGGCGGCGGCTGCTAAAGAGAAGAAGAGTTAGTTTTTATGTTCAGATAAAAGGCAAAGTTCGGATGAAGAAAGAAATGAGAGAAAAGGAATTGAAGCTATGTCAAGTCCTGGTAGGTCCGTCCATCTGATGTGGGGTAGGCAGCAGCAGCATGTTCTTTCTATAGCTGGTCTGCCACTCCATAATCGGATGAGACTTCGCATCGGGAGCAGAGTAGATAGGCGAAGCACTTGGCGAGCCTTGTGTGAAAATAGGATATACCTGTTGCATGGGCATAAATTGAACCTGGGCATTGCCAGGAGGGCTAGCAGCAACAACGTAGAGCTGGCCTTCAATCATGACATACTGGCCAGGAGCGCCAGGAGCGGGCTGGTCGGAACGGGGGTGGTAAGTATGCGGGATAGGTCCGTAGGTAGTGTCAGGCACGGGGGGCTGGAAGTGCTGGCCCTGGTTGGGCATGAAAGCGGCCATGGCTGGAACTTGGCTGCTGCTAACAGGACCAAATTGAGGAAAGGATTGAGTAGGCGTCTGGGGAAAACCAGGTGGCAGAACTGGAGGGGGGACAATTCCAGGAGTTTGATGATGCACTTCGGGTTGGGGACCAGCTGCGGGATTCGTGCCGTGCACTAGGTTACGATATCCACCGTTGTAAACTAATCCGATGCCAGGTACGTTCGCGACAGTGTGATCAAATCCAGGGCCTGCAGTCTGATATTCCAAATGCGCCTTGTTGTCTTGAATGGAAGAAGAGTGGGGTGTAAGTGGACGCGATGGGATTTTAGGGCTATCGGTGGTAGTCTTAGAAGGTTTATTGATGAAAGTAGGAGGAGATGTGTCCCTCTTCTTATCTTTGTAGTCGGAAGACTTTGAAGCTCCGCCCATGTTGAAAAAAAAGAACTGCAGGTAAGAACCAGCAATGGGGTTGGCTTAGTGTGAATTGTCAAAGGGGGGGAAAGCCTTGAGGTAGAAATTGGTAATAACCTCCTGCACAGTGGACAGGCTAAAATATCCTTGGTACGTCCCTTCTTTCCTTCCTTAGGAACTAGTGAAGGGATAGATTTTTCAAGGTAGTTGCCACTACATAAAAAATTATGCCCGTTTCAAGAAAGAAGGGGGAAAAAAAGCTAGAGGCAAGTGGGAAGGAAGAGGGAGTTGGTGTAAACAGCAGCTGCACATGATATGTACCTCCTATGACCCGGCCAACAGGGAAGTATAAATGTACTGTTTTGTGCCTACACGCACAAGACTGCACTGTAAAACCCCCTCAGGGATACTACCTACATGTAGGTAGTATTTAGGTAGTATTGCTTCTAGATGTCCTTGGTGTTTTCCATATCCGTAATTCAATATTGGATCCAGTCCCGTTTGTTGCCAGTTAAGCCGTCCCGGTTCATACCTAAGGGTTCATAGGTGATTTCAAAAAGGTTATTGTTTACATCATGGCAAGATAAAAAAGAAAAATATAACTTACAACGTCACCCGTGAGAGCAATCCATTTACGACCATCCCATACATACTGGATCATCTGCTGTTCTGCAGGGGGATCCTCTTCGACATAGATGTCTTTGACCGACCAGCAAGGAAGACACATGATGGTGATAAAGGTGTTGTAATATTCCTTACAGCAGGGGGAAAAAAAGAAGAGATTAGTATTGCGTCTTGGATGATTGGTGTTAATTAGGGGATGTACTTTTTGGTTAAGCTGACATTGTGAGCTTGTGGGGATGCTTTCTGCTAGATGATGTTCCTTTCATAAGAGACAGCTGTCTATGGCCAGTTGTTAGTAACACTAGTACCTACAGATAGGTAAGCCTGGGAAGGAACAGAATGCTATTCCCCTACAACCCTATTATGACCATCTTGATCCTAGATTTGTTATAGCCGTAGCACACCTAAAATGTTTGCTTTTGTTATTTACTACTGTAGCATGTCTATGCTACAAAGCTTACATTTCCTATGTTTCTGATGCCCTGTCTAAAGCCGAGTTGAACCATTTAATTAACACTTATAAAATAAACTATTAAAATTTGTACACGGCTGTACGATGCGTATTCTCACGGATGAAACCATACGTAATAAATTATCGTAAACTGACGGCTCTGGTATTAATTATAGAGAATGGTAACAAGTGCCAGGTAGGTAAGCTAACGAGGCAAATGCCACCCAAGTAAGTGAAAGAAATATCCTATCCCATACCCGTACACTTGAATCCATTCACGCGTCACGGTGTATAACCATAAGCGAAAATTTTGTTGATGCGGTTCCCATGATACAGTGTGCTTCTTCGGGCGCTAGCTGCTGAAATATGGCCTATAGATGTCGTATCTTAGATTCCGAAAGGATATCCACAACCATTTCATCATAATTCCGGGGCCCCTTTTCTTCATCCTGGCCGATTAGTTGGTCCGTTTGTGTCGAAGAATCCCCTCCCGCGTTACTGTGCTGGGTCGAATGTTTGCGCTTGGCTTCGTTCATCTGTGCCACCTGCTTGGCTTCGTCAATCTTCCATGTCTGGCATTCCATTAGCCTTAGCCTTGGTTACCGGTTAAAGTAGTTGAACTTACACGGATAAACACGGCAGATAGCTTGCGTCCCTTAATTGACCAAGACATTTCTTCGTACTGCTCCTGGTTATCGACGCAGAGCCAATCTGTATAGAGCTTAGCCGACTTCTGAGCTGGGTTTCCGGGGATATCTGAAAGTCTATAGGACCAGCTTGCAAGCTGTTCTCTGCTCAGTCTTCCTTCTAACTGTCTTGACTTATCCCATCTATCTCTTTCAACATCGGTCAGGGGACTTTTATCATCGTCATCTGATGTACCGTAAAGATCATAATCGAGCAATTCGCGGTTGGAAATACCAGCGTTGATATATGGTTCAGCTACTTCCTCGAGGAGACTGTGGAAACATTCTAGGCAATAGTCAGGTGATAAGGGGGCCAAAAAACTCTCGAGATGAAGCGTTTCCATTGCTGTGACTCGGAGCATTGATAGCTTAACCTGAGGCTCCACGTTCGGCTCACGCTTAGGGGTCATCCGAGCTTGGGGTTTTGGCAAAGACTTCAGTTCTCGCTCTAAAAGCATATGCTTGGCTAAAAGATGGACCTAGACGTAGCTGGTAAGCTACATGGCAACTCCGATTAGTGAAATGACACATACCTTGTCGTAGAAACTGAGCGTGGATGCGAGTGGTACGTCAAATATAGATTCAGCTTCGAACGCGAGCAACCCGCGTTGGTCGATTTCTTGCTTTAGCACATGATCGACAGCTCTACCAAGTGGTATATTATTTTGCAAAGTATCTCGTAGCTTCCTTCGTTGTTCCAAGATTTTCGGGTCCTTAGAAGGTCTGTCATCAAGAGAAATGGAGCGATAGCCCTCGTTGTGCTCTATGACGATACTTGGGTCCGGACTTGGGAGGTTGATTTCACCGAAATGGAATTGCCGTGTAATTGATTCCTCCAACGACTCAACGTCGACTCCATTAGACAGCCATGTGCGTATGCAGTTGTCAACGAGATCCTCCTTTATCTTTAGTGCCACTTCCTAGTCGGCAGCAGAAGAAGACTGAGACATCGTTGGGAGTAGATAGGGTTGAACTGATTCTTGTTTGATTTACTTGGGTTGTCAGCTAGAGAAGTAGGGACAAGGGATAAAGATGTAGAAATTGAGGGAGAAGTCGGCAAATATCCTAATTGTAGGTGGGATGTAGGATGTTGCTACGTGATTTGTTGTACCTTAGATACATCATGAGTATGAACACGTCTAGGAGCTAGGTACCTGCCTAACTGTATGCCTTCCCCGAAATATTTGTCGGCCGCCTAGGTAACCTTATGAAATGTCAACCACCTAAGAGGTAGGAGGTACCGAACGTAAAATAGTACAAGCAAGTAAAGTACAAAGTACATAAATGTAATATGTTAGGTAAACTTCTACGTTGTGTAGATGAATTTCCCTAAGGCAGGTACGGTATGTACGGGTACCTATATTGTGCTCGGGAAAGGGGCATCAAAACTCTGATGGTCCCCCGTCTTGTCTGCTGTTGTTTTCCCTGACGTCACGTGTCGTGGTTGCTTGGCATACCCTCAGAACCTCAGAACCTCAGAACTTTGGAACTTTGGAACTTTGTTTCGTTCAAAATGGGAAATTCAATTCCGTCCCGTTGCCGACTTGAACGCCTACCTATCCACGACCGCGGATGCTTTCTAATGCTCTTAACCACCTATTTTATACATATGCCTAGCCGGAGGAGAGATCATCCATCGTTCCACAACCAACTCGTAAACTTTGTTCACCCAATTAAATCGCGATATCGTGCGTCGCAAGGCCTAGTTCTCGGGGTTTAATATCATACATAACCACATCCTTGGCCTCATTTCCGAGCTGCGAATTAACGTATCTAGTACTTAGCATTTATCATTAGGGCTATAGGTGCTTCTCGGGCTCTTTGGTCTCCGGAGAGAGTAGAACTTTCCTCGTTATCTAGTAGGATATTAGTTATGGTCATCAGCGAAATGTTTAGAATACATACCGCCCATGCTGCTGCTATTGAGCCCACGATACCACCCGAGATCAACATTGGGCGAAGTCCCCTCGTACTCTTGAATAGCATACCACTCAGAACACCCGCCGCTATGGTGTTTGCCGAGTCGTGCTTCCCTCTAAGATAGCCGATTCCCGAGTTGAAACAATTATATGTGATGGCAACGACACCCGCAGAATTACCCAGGAACGGCCCTCTCCGTGTTACGGCATTCAGTACAGAGTTGAGACGTAACTTCGGCGGTTGACCCCGAGATCTTCTCAGTCCCTCTTGGAGTCCCCACAAGCCTCCTATTGATAATGCTGTGAGGTATGTGATACCAGTTCCATAGCACAAATCGTCACTAAAGCCTCGAGAAGGGATCGCAGACTGTGCGCCAGGAAGATCCGAAAGGGCAGAGTCCTCTAAGCTTAAGTATTCTAAGCCGTCTTTGTCCAGGCCTGCTAGGGGGTGTAATAGAGAGGGGTCGGCAAAAGCGGAACTCTTTAAGAAGGAGTCTACTCCTTGCGCCTCTTCCGGATTGAAGGGAGCTGGCGTGGGTGTTTCGGTCGGTGCGGGCGCAGAAGTGGAGGTGGGAGACGACGAATTCGAGGATGAGGACTTTCGTCCCGTAAGCGCATCCCAAATGGACATGCTGCTGGTTACAATTATGATTCTATAATATTAAACAAGAATCCAACTATAATCCTATGGGGTAGGTCACCGCCGTGTTTCACTTTTTCGCAGTATGCGAAATCGCAGTTCCAAGGCGGAGGGAAAGTGACTTGAAGCTTTCGCCGATAAAAAAAAAAGTTTCCTTGCGAGTAGAAGTGGCAGAAGTGGATACCAGATCAATTACGGATCCGTACTTCAAGGTTGATTATTGGGCAACTCGTCAGCTCGTGCGCCACATAACCTGGTACGTACCTTGAACTTAAACTCAAAATTTACAAGGGCTTTGAATTTCTCTAGACCTCATTAACTGCATAACAAGATTTTATACTCGATTATTATGTTTCCGGTATAATACATCATCTAGGTACTTCATATACCTCCAAACATGATAACAAATATCAAAAGGAGAAAAGAAGATGCACATCGGCCCGTCACTACCACTTAGATACGAGATGAAGTCTTCAATAGCATCTCAAGTTGGTGAGACTAACTTCAACCCGAAACATGCTGTATCTTGGCTTGAAGAACAGCCCGAAGAGCTGCAATTATGGTAAGTCCAAACCTACCTAACCTTAGTATTCGCACAGCTAGCCCTAGATTTACATAAACTACCTTAGGCAAGTTATGTTCGAAGAGCTTCTCATATGCGCTGAAAAGCCAAGGCAATATTCTGGAAACGCTTGCGTGAAACTACATGGTTTCGTTGAGCAATGCTCTAAGTCTTCTAAGCCCGCACTACGAAACTTTGCTTTTGCGGAGGGCACAGCCATAAGACTTTTCGATTTTTTCATGGAATGGAATGAAAAAGATTCTCATAGATCCATGAGGCTTGTTCTGGATTATCTTGCATATGCGATATCTAACAATCCCAGATCAGAAGTTGGTACCGCCGTTAAGGCGACCATATTGAATACGACCATAGCCACTATTACGCAGCAGGCATCCCGGCCGTCGGTAAAATCAGCTATGGTCGTCTTAGACTGTTTCATTCAAAAGAAATTAGTATATTTATCAAGCGTCTTAGAGCTTTATAAAGATATCCACAGTCTACCTCCAGATGAAGATGTCTGGGATGCTTTCGTCACCAGCATCTTTGCTTGGATGGAAATGCATTACTTATGCCATGTAGTTGGAAACCTTCTCGTTACCATCTTTACTAGCTCGTGGTATGAGGACAAAGATGTCAAACATGAACCCAACACATGGCATAGGTTCATATATAGGGGCTTACAGATAAATCTTGATTTTCTCGAGCCAATTAAATTTTACGTTTTCGTTCAGCTGTTCAATGTTGATAGACCAGGCTCTCTACTGTATCTTCGCCACCTATCGTCGCTTCAAAGGCTCACAGCAAAGGATAGCAAAGGTTGGGATCTCAATTCGATGCTATGGCTTGCCATGCTTGAAGCGGGAAAGAAGGTTGGGGTGGTGGATGAACCCGGCCGCGGTAAGCTATCACCACCTAACACCTATGAACATTAAAGATTTCGCTAAACGATGCAAAGAACTAGAACAGGGCTCTCAGCCTGGTTTCCAACTTCAAGCAGACGTACTTGAAAGTGTCCTATGTCACGACTTTCAAGAAGCGCGTACATCAGCTGTCTCACTTCTCATAGCATCTCCATCTACAACAAAGCCATACACAGCAGAAGCCCTCGATTTACTTAAGAAATATCTGCCGTCGTTTTACGAGGACCCTGACCCGAAAATGCGTTATGATGTCCTCGGTCATTCGAGAAATATGATTAAACGCATTCAAAATACTATCGAGTCGTTACGGCGAGAAGCTGACCGGCTCTCAAAGAAGATGAACAAGGTAAAATCTGGCAAGCCTAAACCTAGGCTGTCTACGGAGGCAATCAACGAAGGTCAGCTAGACCAGCGTCAAGACGGTGCAGTTATGAGACTAAATGCCGCATTACGCCAGCATGAGGACTTTGTTTCCTGGTATGTGGGCTTTCTCAAGAATGAATTGGCTCCTACCACATCCTATCAACGACATATAACGGCCCTGAAGGCCATGGCATTCATAATCAAGCCAGTTTCGTCCCATGGGAGCGGCATACTTACTCCTTCTGAATTGAGTACCTTGCTCATTGATCCAACATGGTTCCGCTCTATCCTGGATCTCATTATGGACCCATTCGATGATGTGCGAGAGACTGCTGCCTCCTTAGTGATGGCTCTTTCGCCCGAAACTGGACACCCAAACCTGCAGAGGCAAATGAACAAACTGGGGAAAACTCCTATGGAAGAGTTGAGGTCTTTTTGCAACAAGGCGGACGAGCTTGCTCGGCGAACTGCCCGTGCCGACCACTCCGATGGTGCCGCTCGCTCGTTTGAGCTTCTCTGTCGCTGGAGTACGAGCTCGGAAGAACGGATGCAAATTCCCCTTGAGGTTCTCTCGAGCCTGGAAACTAAACTCTCTGCCGCCGAACAAGACCTCGCCAATGCGGTATTACAGGCACCAGTACATGGCAGTTTTGCATCTCTGAGGTATGTTTAAATCATATGGCCTTTCCCGGGAAATAAATAGGTACTTATAAGCGTAGATATATATGGAACTCATTCTCGAGTATGAAATTCTCTAAGGAGGATCTAGAGGCCCTAGCTGAAATACAGGATCGTGCTGTTATATGCTGCCAGAGAATATGGCAGACGGTACGACATGTTCTCTGTGATGATTCTCCGGAGGGTCATTTGCCGGAAGAGCTTGAAGAGGTGGAGGGGCTGGATACCAAAGACTTGCTTAGTTACAGCTTTCGGGCAATTCACGAGTCAAGGTATAATCTCAATGAAAAATACCATACCCATCGAAGTTTTTGCTAAACATTTATAGCAATTTGATGCGTGCTATCGCGAGCAACGCCAGCCATCAGAGCCCGGGGCTCCTAGCCCCTTCAAGGGCCAACTTCGAGACAATCGGAATGCTCACGTTTGATGAACTATCAAATTTGCGACATAGAGGAGCATTCACAACAGTATCCCAAACGTTTACTAGCTGTTGTCAGCTCGTGAAATGGTTCCCCCACCCTTCAAGTGACAAGCCCGGTTTCTTGGACCAGTGGTATGAGGTCAGTGAACTATCGCACCTTGAATTTGAAAACATGTACTCAGACATAAGATAGGGAGCATTGGCCTGTATTCACACCCAAGCCTCGACCACTCGAAGATCAGCTGGTATTCCAGCTCTTATCGTAGGCATACTTTCTTCTAATGCGAGTCGCCCATCTTTTGAAGAGGTAATTCGTAATCTACAAGACATCGGTCGCCGACCTGCGCTCGCGTCGGAGACTGATGGGTCAAACTTACCGCAAGTACACGCTTTAAACTGTATCAAGGATATATTTAAGAGCTCATATCTGAGCAAAAGAGCAGAACCGTATCTCACTGACTGCCTTGAATTGGCAGCAAGCAGTCTCAAGTCTGAAATGTGAGTACCGTGTCGTCGCTAGTTTACACCCGCTTATTCTAACATGTAATCATAGATGGGCGATTCGGAACTGTGGTCTTTTGCTCCTGAGAAGTCTTATCGATTGCCTCTTCGGCACAAGCGAGAGCAAAACATCAATCGAAGCAGGATGGGATGGGCGGACCGTCAAGATATCGTACGCTAAATTCAAAGCTCTTCCGGCGCTCCTCGTGAACCTCCTGGAGACGGGCCAGCAGTCAAGCGGCGTCCTGATAGGGACGCAGACAGCAGAGTCTGTTTTTCCGGCGCTAGATATCATACGTCGCGCTGGGCCACCCGAGGAATTTCGTGACAGGCTTTACAGCATTATTTCGTGGTATTTAGGAAGTCATATTTGGCACGTTCGAGAAATCGCCGCTCGTACATTATGCTCCTTTCTCCTCAAGCCTACCTGGCTTGATTCTATTGCCGATCTACTGGCCGGTTCTAAGACCTCCAATAAGCTACACGGGGTCCTCCTAACATTGAAGTTCTTGAATGAGAGGCTTTCTGAAGTGATGCCTGAGCAGCTTTCAGGTAAGTATATTACCTATCTATACATGCTCGTCTGTGACCGAAACTAACAATTCATAGATGCCAACATTCGTAAAATGTGTACCCTGCTTGAAGAACTAGTTTCAAGAAATGAAAGTGTTAGCACATGTCCGGAGACAAGGGCAGTCTACATTGAAGTTGTCAACTTCATAACAGGTAGATTGAACACGACGGAAAATGCAGAACAAACAGGCCCCGCTGTTGAATCCCGGAGTATTTTACCTTCCTGGGTCTTTGAACCCAACAATCAACCTGGCGGGAGAATGGTACCCTCAGCGCTGCTAGATATCAGACTTGGACAAGCAGCTTTATTACAAGCTGTACAGCAACCTAGCAGAAAAACAGGCGATGTATTGAAGCAGCTTCTAATAGCATCTCTGGAAGGAGACGTTAATGTCGCCTGCTCTATCCTAGAGACTATGTCTTCTATCGATTCATTACAGTCTATCGAGGCGCAAGGAAACCTCATCAACACATACATACAAGTATGTTTAGAAACTGACGCTCCAGAGCCGCGTACAATTGCTTTGGAGAACATGGCAACTCTCATTGATAGGGCACTTTGCGATAAGTCGATGGGGTTGAACCATCTTCCCGCCAACGAGGTCATCACGGAGCTCTGGACAGATCTTCATGGAAAACCCATGAACCCTAGCTTATCAGATGCAATCGTCCGCGTAAGCGGTCCGTTGCTAGCAGCTTTAGTCCTAAGATCCGAGGAGATAACCCAGAGCGAACTGGAACCGTGGCTTAGATCCTGGGGTGCGATGATGAGCGAAGCGGGGATGGCGGATAGGGTAAGTACAACTTCTTTACTGGCATGTCTTGACTATATCATACACGAAACTAATAAACCGCGCTTTTACTAGACTTTCGATACCCGCATGGCTGCTGTCAGCGCCATGAACTCGTTCTCAAACAGCATCGCCTCCAGATTTACCTCAACTAATACCAGCCCTGGTTCGGCACACTTACCATGGCTCATAGCACTATACGACGCTCTCAACGACGACGACGACGAAGTCCGCGCCGCAGCCGCCTCGGCAGCAACACCGCTACTATCGAACCAGCACCTCGTATCCGTCGAAGCCGGACGGCGGTTGTTACACTGGCTGTCGGCGCATTACGGCGACGTCGACGAGTTCAGAGCCCACGTCGTGTGCCGCATGACCGGAAACATTCCCTCCCTGTCCTTATCCTTGCCTGGATCATCTCATCCGACGCTAGAACAAGACCTTGCCGATTCTACCTCTCCGATCGCCAAAACCTTACTCCAAGGCTGGACCCCGCCGGAGGCCCAACTCGCGGACGCCATGCGCTTTGACGACTCGCTGTTCGTCGTCGAGGAGCAGAATTTATACGTGGACGAGGTGCGGGAAGCCTACCGGTGGAGCAACATCTTCTCATCCCTTCCGCCATCGTCGTCGTCGTGTTCTTCTTCCGAAGCAGCAGCAACAATAACAACAGCGGCTCTATCCCAATGGTGCCTATCCGGCCTGGACGCGCTATCCCGCATCGCGGTTGCGCAGGGCGTAGACGGCCCGCTGGGCTGGACGTCCAAACCCGAGGTCTTCGCGATCTGCGCGCGCGTCGTGATTGGTGGCGTCGCCGCGCTGGCTACTACCGCTGCGGCTGGAGGGGGAGATGAACGGGTTAGGGTTGGAAAGGCGTTGAGGAGGTTTAGGGATGAGGGGCGGCGAGCGGAGGTTAGTGGGTTGTTGTTGGATATGTGTGGCGTAGGGGAGGTAGATGCGTGAGGTACTACTACATAGTAGGTAGTGGTGTTGAAAAGGGGTGGTGATGTGATGTATCTTAGTCCTTCCATCCTTCCATCCTGAAGGTAGCACGCAGTTTACGCATATAAGAATCCCGAAATAAATCCTGAATATTTCGTTATTTACCTCCTAGGTACCTACCTAGGTAGATTATCCGCTACACCAACAACTTTCCCATTCCTCAACTCCGTGCTAATTAACACCAACCCTAGATTATCTGCTTGTCTGCTTGCTTGCTTACTTATTTGCTTACTTTTTTTTTTCTTTCTGCTTTTCACTGGCTAACTACCTCTTTGAAAATATGCAACACTTTTGCGATGTGATGCGATACCAATAATATCAATTCCAAGGCTGTCTCTCTCCCGTCCCGTCCCCCCCCCCTCCCTCCCTCATGTACTCGTAAACTCGTCTAATATCGTAAGATCGGTCTCCAAGCAAGCTTGTAAGCAACTTCAAACTTAACCAAATAACTCGCGCTCGAAGCTTCTCCGAGAAAAGAAAATATCGATCGAACCCTCCACCTCACCTCACTGGGAAGACGACGGTGTAATATCCAGGCTATTGTACGGTGAGGTTTTCTTTTCCTTTCTATTCCTTTTGCGTCCTACATTGTTTATGTGTAGATACACACAGAGGTATGTACGAAGTATGTATATGCAAATTCGCTTTCGTTTTTCCCACGACGGTGAGAGAGGTTCGGGTATATTAACACGCTCGATAATCCAATCCAGTCAATCAATTAATTGATCAAATAATCAGCTATCGTCCTCGACGTTCCCGCAAAGCATGATGCACGGAGCGCTGCCGCAGACGAACCCGCACCGGCTCTACGAGTGCAGCGAACCCGTGCGCCTGGGCTCGTGATCAGGCGGCGTCCGGTCCGTCATGGACCTCCTGATCGGTCCGAGGGGGCCCGAGTCGTCGCTGTCGTCCGCTACGTTGGCGCCCTCGCGGCCCAGGCGCGCGACCAGCCTCGTGTTCTGGGCCTGCAGCTCGCCGATCTGCTCCTTCAGGATGTCCATCTGCTTGTACGCGAGGTCACGCTCGGCGCGCACCTTATCCAGCTCCATGGCTAGGTTGGTCTTCTCCTCGCGTTCGAGCGCCTTGCGCCGCCGTTCCTCGGCCTTCTTCTGCTCGCTCGCCCGCTTGGCTTCTAGCTTGGCTAGTTCCCGTTGGAACTTCTCCTCCTGCCTCGCTATCTCGCGCTCATGCTTCTCGCGCAGCTTTTGCATCGCGGCCTCGTCGCGTTGGGATGAGGATTCCGCGCCTCCGTTGCCGCGTTTAGCGAGTGCTCGCTCTTGTGCCCGGCGTAGCTTCTCTTCCGTCTTTCGCTTTCGTTCCTCAAGCTTCTTAAGCTCTTTATCGTGGTGCGATGGTGCTATCGAGCGGGCCGTGAGCGATTCACTAGAGACCGTAGACTCCGCGCCACCGTTAGTGACTGAAGCCGTAAGTTGGACTGAGCTTTCTCCCGGATTTTGCGACGCATTATCGTTTTCGTCTATCCCTTCGCCCTCTATGCTATGGAAACTAAGGATGGATGATTCGTCATCGTCCAGATTTTCGGAGGTGAGATCTGACGCATCTGTTGTATTTTCGCCGTTGCCTGATCCAAAGGGATTGGGAATGCGAGAAGCCGCTACGGAAGCTGCAGCATTCAAAGCACTTGCTATCATACCGTAAACTCCTACGGAACCAGGCTCTTCCTCAACAGTTCCTTGCTGCTTGGTAATTGCTGGTTGTGACGCTTTCGTGCGGTGGACAGTATTCGTCGGTGTAGGATCTGCCCTGGCTGGTCTCTCGGGCTCTACTTCCTTGGTATTAGATACTTCACTTTTGGGTTCCGCGCCTTTATTGTCTGATTCGAGTAATTCGTCAATGGACTTTGACGAAATCCATTTGACTAACTTGTTAGCATCTCCAGCAATACCCGGCGGGGTCCCTCTTTCGATCATAAAGCGTGGAACGCTACCACCTGGGTCACTTCGAGTAACCATTAACCATTCGATCACAGCCTCGTAGTTGTCATCGTCATCTTCCTCCCCGTCATCTCCAACATCCGTACTACCAATGGTCTTCCCTCGCCTCCTTCCAGACTCACTTTTAGTAGATTCGGCTGTTTGGCGGGCTGAACGGATAGTGGCTTCTTTGGTCAAGTTTTCGGTGGCTTTCCGCATCGACGCCGCAGCCTCGTCATTAGGTAGATCTATGGATGATCGGATCTTCCGTAGGGGCTTCTCCACGCGAATTTCACGGATAAACTCGACCGACTCGTATTGGCCTCGAATGTAACCCTGACGTGGGGGACATTCCGGATGAAGGCACGGTTTCGAGAGAAGCATATAGTGCCTAGGCGTACCCGGGGCATCGACAACCGATTCGGAGCTGAGCAAGAGACCGATAAAGTCTCGTGGTGCTGTCGGCCCAGGGAATTGCGCCGATAATTGATATACTAAAGCAACCCAGTCAGTTCTATTAGCTATTAAGCCATTAAAGGGGGACAACAGACGTACCCCGCATGTTACCGACGCCTTCAACTGTTTGGCTGACGATCTTTCTGTCCGCGCCAATTCCTCTGATACTCCCCGCACCAGGCCCCCCTTCTACTTTTAAGCTCTCATCGAATTCTTTATCCAGTCCCAATTTCCATTTTTCGAAGTCGAAACCGTGATGAACGCTGCGCCTAGCAAACCAGGCACCGTTTCCATCCTTAGCCGCCAGCTTATAGACATCAAGCCCTAAGGGATTGTCACGTGGATTGACCTTGCATTCCTTCCATTCTTTCCGTAGCTTCGCGGCATGGTCTGATAATTGGTGGTCTCTGTTGGGTAGCGAGGCAAGATTGGTGTCAGTAGCTGACCGTGGCAATCCCAGGTGATGCAAGGACGTGGAGGATATAGGGATAGAATCGATTACACATTGGGCGTCGGTGAATGCGTCTTTGAGGAACGTGTCGAGTTTATCCTGAGGGACGTTTTCCCAATTGATTGGGCCAAGAGCTTTGAAGGCCTCGTGGGCGCTCGGCATAATCGCTTCAAAGTTATACCCTTAAAAAAAAGAAAAAAAAAGGACAACACGCAGAAAGTCAAAAGGATGGTAGCTATTGTGAAGTTAAGCACCTCCTATTAATTCCATTCTACGATAAGAAACGATGTTAATCCATAGGAATTATTAAGATAAATAGGGTTTGGATTAGGGGGGGTTAGATGTTGTAACTTGTAGGTAAATAAGAGAGAGAGAGTACCTAACATAATGGAGTTTTGGCTTGGGCCTCTCACAATCGTTCGGCGGAAAGCGAGAGGCTAAGCTCCAAATATCCTTGACGTCACACGTGCGTCTCATAAGGTACAACTACAAGAGATAGCTTCGCCCCTGAATCCAATGTCTTGGTTTCTTTATCTAGCGTGTCTATTATTACATAAGGATGCTGTAGTTCTTACCTCAGTTATCGTGTAAATTGCAGGTACTACCTAGGTACCTATGTAGGCCCTAGAATTAGGTAGCCCGGTTTTATATGTAGGTACCTTTAATCCTGAGAAATGGCCAATTATAGAAGTCGTAAATCAATATTGCCCTATTACTTCATTAAACGATTTACCAAGGACAGAAAGGAAATGGATCGTCTATAAAATAGACCGACTATCGTCTCTTAGAGACGGAATTTCTATACCTAGAGAATATTTTAGTATTGTGGTTTAACAGTGTTAACAGTGTTAGCAGTGTCCTTAAGATTCGGTACGTGACGCTCGAGAATGCGGCTCATATTAAGGTTCGAGACCGATTTGTATGATCTCGCGGGGATTTTATCCCGGCTGGCTCATGTCGAGCTTCGTTTAGATACGTCATATAGAAAAATAGAAATGTTGGTTTCTATGAATGGTTAATACAGAAAAGTTTATCTGCGAGTTTTGATCCCATTCCTAGGTCCAGCACACATACACGCACATATGTAGATTAGGTACCCTTATTATTTAGGTATCTGTTTTAATGGGATAAGCTTATCACGCTTATCGCAACCCGATGATATACCTATCGCGATTAACAACTAACAAAATCTTATTGCTCAGAAATTTCCAAAAAAAAAAAAAAACGTAATCGAACGCGAAGAGATATGGAACAAAAAAATTAGTTACCACAAGTACCTAGGTACTTGGGTAATATTGCAAAAGTAATGGTCCCAGGCGGGCTCGAACCGCCGGCCTTCGCATGGACTAGATACTATCGTTGGATCACGATTAGTATTAGTACGACGCTCTAACCAACTGAGCTATGGGACCGAGTTGGATTTGGTTGACCCCTTGGAACTGTGATAGGCTCTAGTGGCTATTGTTGAAAGACGGGGCTCAGTTTTTGCTAATATAGATGTGTGCTTAGGTTAGGTAAGTTTGAGTGAGCTAAACCTAAACTGTGTGTGATAAAAAGGAGCCGCACGGTAGCACATTTAGGTACCTAGGTAACTAGCAGTGGCCAACTCCCCCGTAGCTATAGTAGCAGCATCACCTAGGATTCAGCGTACGAGCCACTATCCTTCCCCCAAGTTGATAGAAAGCCAATAGGGTATTCGTGCTACTGGTGACGTTGACTTAACATCTAAGCATGTGCAAACCTTTTTTTTGGCCTCGGCAGCACGCCATATATAAATTCAGGTAATTAATACATTAGGTACCTAGGTATATAAGAGGTAGGTAGGTATGTTACGCTCACTTTTGGGTATTAGTATTTCCAACCTAGAATTCTAGTAGCAGTAGTAAACAATCCAACTGGTAACCCAATACCCAATACATGATAACCTAAACCCCCTCTGTACAAAATATATAGTACATACATATAGGTCGCTGTTCTCCCCCCTTTATTCACGTATCCGTACCTGGGTATGTATAGCTACTACTCGACTCTCGCTCCGGGAGGAGCTTCTATAGGCTGGCTCGGTTCGCAGCCGGGTGCTTCGCTCTCTCTCTCTTTTTTTTTTTTTTTTTGGTTTTTTTCCAAATTTATTTTTCCATCCCTCCCTGCTTCCTTATCTACAACGCCGACGCCGCCATCGACAAGCTCAACATCTCCCTCTCCTCGAGCAGCGCCTCGCGATCCGCCATGCAGCTACCGCAATATTCTTCATGCCACCTCTGTAAGTTCCTGCGCTTCGCTTCGTCTTTAGCCTCTTTATTATCTTTACCACCACCCTCTCCTGAGTTGTGGCCAAGCACTTTCTGCGCCACTTCTCCCTTGGACTTACCGTCCTTTCCGTCTGCCGAGTTGTTGTTCCACGTCGCGAGCATCACCTCCACCTGCTCGCACCGGTGGTTCTCGTTGAACAGCCAGTTCTCCCACTCGGCGTGCATCATCTCGCGCTCCACGCTGTTGACCGTGCGCATCGCCACCAGCAGGTCGTGCCGGTACGCCCCGAGCTTCTGCCTCGTCTGCCGCAGCCGTCGCGCCGTCGCGCGGCTCGAGCTCCACGACATCGACGACCCCGCGTACTCGTACGGCCCGTCCGCGTCGCTGCTGTTGGCGATGGTCTGGAACGTCGCGTAGCAGTAGCTATCCTGCGGCCACGCGGGAAGAGCCCTTGAGCTCCTTGCCGCTTCGTCCAGGTCCGCTATGTAGATAGCCTTGCTCATCACGATGTTCGGCCCTACGCCGACGCGGTTCATAAAGCTGGCCGCTCGCCGTTCGGACCACCACGCCGACGTGCTTTGCGACGAGAACACGATATTCGTAATCACGCTAAATCCAAGCAAGGCGAGGATGAGCCGTTCTGCCTTTATTACGCCCCACAGTTTTTTGATGGCTGCAAACATCCACATCACTAGAGACGATGCGACACTATCGGCCAAGGATCTTAGAGTTTCGAGCAGCATCGAGCCCAGGGTGCGCGGTTTGATATGCGGCTTTTTCGACGTGCCGGCTTCTCCGGGTGTGAACACCACAACCTGAGTCTGCAGTCCTACGTGACCGTAAACCTGGATGGCCCTCTTCGTGCGGCTGTGGTGACCAAGTTTTCGTACTTGATCAGTTGCGACTTCTGCGAGATCTTCGGCATCTTGAGTGGCGTCGTCGAGTGCCTGCCTCTCCACCATGTTCTTAGCAAGAGCTGGCGGTTTCGACCAGGCTACCTTCGTGAAGATAGCTAGCTTGCACTTCGACTTGGCGACGTGAGTGATGACAATTTTAGTGACCAACTTAAACCCGTGAGCGTGAGGTAGATGCCACGGGGTCTTCACATGCGTAACTACGTATGTGACGTGGTCGCTAAATAATTCGATCGTCTGCTCGTCGGTGACCTCTTCGGCCCTTGACCGACCTAGCCTTGTAGTATAGTTGACGCTGAATCGGAACTGCCTCTGCATGTTTCCACCCTCGTTTAACTTCCACGGGCCCTGGGCGATATGCTGGGCCCTTCGCTCAAAATAGAGTTTGGGGAAGACGAAGCTCTTATCTCCGAACAAGACGTGGAAACATGCTTTGGCGCTGATCTCAAAATTCCGCTCGGCGACCTTCTTCTGCATATCTTCGGGCTCGTAAATCACAGGGTGGGTTGGGAGCTGGAACTTAGGAATAGGCTTCCTTGCGCCTCTACGTCGAGAACCAAAAGCTGAATAATGATGTCGGGGACTGATAGCTCTACCAGCGACGGTGCCGTCATCGACAGGCGTGTGCTCTGAAACTTCTTCCCAGCTGTCTATGCTAGGACTTTTTCTATCCATTTCTTCTTTCTCCAAGTTAATTAGTGCTTTGATAAGTTCAGGTAGGTCCATGGGCTCCTCAGCTTGTAGGTCATCAACCAAAAGGTTCAGACGCGAGTGTAAGAGATCTAGATCTTCAAGGAATGTTTTGATCGTTATTCGTGTGTATCCAATTTCATCAGCACCCTGATTGAGATGGAGGAAAATGAAATCACAATCTCTGCCGGGAGCAGCAGTTACTTCTGTAATGGTATCGAGTTTAATGGTATACGTCACGACGAGACCCATCTGATGACCGTAGAAGTACATGTTATCCGGAGTGACGTAGATTCGCCCGTTACCAGCCATCTGTGGTACATCACGGTCGGCTTCCGAGGTGCTAGTCCAAGAAGCTCTGAAGACCAAGACTAGCTTCTCGTCCAAAGGCACACTTGGGAAAAGCAGCCTAAACTGCGCCGAATTCGTCTTCAGTTCCACAGGGTAATCGGGAGGGAAAGTCTCCGGCGGTGGCTTTTCGGGAGCGGGCAGAACAATCTTAGGTTGGCTCATTTTGGCGTCCATGCTAATGGCCTTCTTATGCGACGAAACGGGGCTTCTATACTCTTCACCCTCGCCGAGTGTAGTCATCTTGATCGAGGGCGAGTTTGGTCCGAATGGATCGTCAACATCTCTGTCGGCTTGGGGAGTCTTTGGGGAGTACTCATGGCCCCAAGTATTGCTTCCCCAATAATTAGCTATTATCGCCGTCGGCAGACTATGCGAAGCATTTGTGCTAAGTATTCTGTCGCCGCTATAAACGACTGCCATCTTACTAAGATGGGTCGCTGCTGGTGGCTTTGCTAATGTCGGAGGTGCAAGGCTGCCGGGTTGCGGTTCGGGCCCAGGCAAGACGGGCCCAGGTAAGACGGGCCCTAGCTGCTGCTGTTTAGAGATAGCGGGAGGATAACCTGGTAGTAAACCGTGACTGGCGGATATGAGACTGGCTATGCCTCCTGTTGGACCTGGCGATGATAATGGCCCTGTATCCATGCTCGAGGTGAAAGTAGCTTTCCGATGAAGATCGAGTTTCTGCATGATCCTGGCTGCGTGTTCTCGACTACTCTCACCTTCCTCGCGGGCTAACGACGTCACCGATCTCTTTGGGGGAGCTGTTGTTATATCGAAGCTTGGCCTAGGCACGAGTCCGGTTTCAGGGGCTGGTAGAGTTCCCGCTCGCTCGACGGCTGTCCCGTCGTCGATCTGCGCATCCAAGGATTTGGCCGAGAACTCCGGGAGCGAAGGTGGCGTGATAGAGAAAGCTGGATCAACACCGCCTGGGAGAGACGAAGTATCCCTAGTGACGCTTGCTTCGAAGGCCCTCTTCTTAGCAACCTCAAAAACCTCGAGCCATTCCATTAGTTGGGCTTGCGTCTCGGCCTGGAGCAGTAATGTCTGATTCTTGGTTTTCACCTCAAAGCAGAATCGACGCTCTTCCCCTACAGCGGGTTTCACATTGCAGAGAAGGACACCGATCTCGTCACCTTGCAAGACGCCCTGAGAGCTGTTGACAAGCCAACCAAAGATACCCTCCCGACAATAGTACCATCTACGAATCCAATTGGTTCGGGATGGCTTGCCTGTTATAGTGCGTAGGAATAGCCAGCCTTGTTTCTCCGTGATCGCAGCGGCTTGGCCGTCCGTGGAAACGTTCATAGGCCCCCTAGATCCTAGGAACGGTACGGTAGATGCGCTGTAGTCGTCTATCTCTCGTGACGGTTTAAACGCTGCCAGAGTGCTCTCTCCAATATCGCGGCGCGACATCTGTAATTCGCGTCTAAATATGGGCTCAGACAGTTCCATCTCTTTAGACCATCCTTTCACCCGATCCATCTCGTGGCCATACTTTCCGAAGCTCCCTGCGGCGTCTCGCGATCTCTTCATCTCGCGCCAGAGGTCGCAAGATACTCGAACTAGTAGCTTGTCGAGATTAATGCGGAACTGGGGCGCAAAGAAGCAGAAGTCCATGGACGCCTTCAGGTAAGCCTTACGGGTTTCGTACACGGCAAAGGCATCCTCCCGCAACGAGGAAGGCTCTTTCGTTTTAGACTGGCTAACGTATCGAGCTAACGTAGTATCGAAAACCTTTTGCGTCTGTTCCAATGCTTTTCTGGCCTCCTTGAAGTTCCGTAAATCACCCTGAAGGAAGGCTCGGATCGGCTCGACCGACATGGTGTCCAATTTTCTAGCAGCATTCAGGACCTGCACCCACCACTCCCTCGATCCGTCACTGAACCTTTTAAGTGCCAGTGCGGCATAGTCGTTATCCACGGTGTTGATATTCGGGGGTGGGATGACCTTGCTCAGGTAATTATTTATGGTTTCTTCCACGTTGAGCAATTCGTGGGACAGCTTAGCGGTCGTCCTAACGTGTCCTTCTAACCATCGCTCGATCGCATCTGCTTGTTCGGAAAAATATAGGGCGGAAGCTCGGAATGAAGGCGAATCAAGTCCGGCTTCGTGGAGGGTAACAGGGACGGATGGGTTCGGAGGTTTGGGGAGAGGAGGAGCCGTAGTAGTAGCCATTTTGACTGAAGCTCCGGGAGAAGGTTTATAAAGATTGGTATTCCTATTGCATTTGAAGCTATCGATGTAGGTGTTTTTTTTTTTTTTAGAAAAAAAAAACAAACAAACAAACAAACAAAAAAAAATACTGTTATGTCATGTATATATGACTTGGGACGATTCGCAAGGAAAGCTTAGGTGGGTGGGTGGTTGCATGGAAAGACGCGCCCCTGTCGCTTTGACCGATATATCGCGATGTTTGCCGGTAACTCGTATCATTCATGTATTAGGTATTAGTGACTTATGATGGCCTCGTTTTCTACTTATCCTTTTGGTTCTTTCGGTTCTGAGAAACTTGTATTAACTATTATGTGGGCAATGCCTCGTCAACTTTTTAAGGGGGAACGATGCATCAATTTAATGGACAAGATGATTATTGTCCATTGAAACACGCTTCTTGGGTCACAAAGCCGCTAGGTACCGCTGACATCAGGAAAAGTTAAAGGTGGATTGAACCAGTCTGGCCAGTGCAGCTAAGTCCGGGCTAGTCAGAGTTAAATCCACCATCACCTGGCTACCTGGGCCGCTGGGCAGACTTTACATAGGAGGTACCTACCTTGTAATCTCCGACTAATTTTTATCGATAAGCCTAAACGTCATGCGTCCCTATCACTGGCAGTAGCAAGTCTGGCACGCCACCCTCGCATCCGAACAATCGCATTCAACCAACCAGCAACATATTTTAAAGTTTCCATGTTTGACGAAATATATTCGACATTATATTTATCCTAGCATCACCTAAGGTAGTAATAAATATTATAATTATATTTCTATTTATCTTCATCTTCATCTTTATCTTTATATATCATACCGTCCTAATAATTCATATTATATCACATCGTATTATTTTATTTTCTCTTCTTACTCGATCAAAGGGACCATGACTTTCGCAAAACCTATTGCAACACCTGTCCAGTCTTGCTGTACCTGCGCAACTCTTCTTCATGAAGTTCCGCGTTATAGCGACTCGGAAAAACCCTTACCCAAAGATCGCCAGTTAGAGTGCTGTCAGCGAGTAATATGCGGTAACTGTCGTAGCGTACGTTTCTTCGGTCTTAATATGATTCCAGCTTTAGCCGTAATCACCTGGCATATATTAGGTTAGGTACTTCCTATGGCCAAATAAACTGACCATCGCGAATAGAAAAATCCTCGCTTTAATACCTATTGCCCCTATTGTCAAATTTCGTTAGTAGACACAAAACTCCCGCCTGGTCTAAAGGACCCTCCTTCGTACGAATCATCGGTCGCAACCGGTTCCTCAAAGAACCCCTCAGCAGCGCCACCACCCTATACGCCGCCCGCAACCCAAAAATTCCCGACCCAATCAGATGAAAAGTCCGGCGCTCTTGACGCTTTCGATAAACCAGCAGAAGATACCCTGCACTTCCTAAATCATGAGCATGACACTATTACTTCTCTTTCCCTCCGTTACGGTGTTCCTGCACCAGTTCTTAGACGCACCAACAAGATCACGAGCGATCATCTAATCTTGGGGCGACGGACCATACTTATACCTGGAGAGTATTATAAAGGCGGCGTGAGCTTGTCGCCACGACCTGTCGAAGGCGAAGAGGAAGAGGCCAGAAAATCCAAGATCCGACGCTGGATGATGGCATGTAAGGTTCATGAATACGACGTTGCTGTTCTCTACTTGGAGCAGGCCGGCTATGACCTCGAAATGGCAACCGAGGCCTTCTTCGCAGACGAAGAGTGGGAGCAGACACACCCGGTTGAAACAGCGGGGAGAGGTAAAGGGATTGCGAGGCAAGCTAATAGTAAGAGCTCATATTGGAGGAATCGTAGAGGATAGAGACACAGATGAATGAATAAAACTTGTGCTTGAAATATCGACGTCTCTGAATTATATAGGCATAAGTTTGTGCACAGTCTCGCGCATGAAGGGGGTGTTGTACCTTTAGAAAGCTCATAAATTAAATGGACATGTTGAACCATGTGGTGAATTCTCCCCCTATCCGGATCCCGGGAATAGATTCCGTAAATACAGGATACTCCTCATTACTCCAGGCGCCTTTGCATTGCATAACTTTCTCTCATTAAAATGCCGACCGAGTTCGAACATCCTAGCCCAATGTAAGCTTACATCTTCGATACATAGGGGAAGAGGGGTTATAATGGACTTCACTTACAGATAACTTTCTCTCAATCTCCCGGACTGAACGATCCAGTTCTCCCGCAATCATCTGCTTTTTATCGTTGGGAAGTAGCGCAAATCTTTCACACAGGTCGCCATCGATAACCCCCTTTACGGGAGCATAATAGCCCCTATATATAAGGTGATCCCTTCCGGCTAGGGGTGGATCCTCAGTTCGCATGTGCGACTCGAGGCTCTGGAAGAAATCCGCGTCTTCCCGACTTACGAATGGGATTAATACGCCAATGGTTCCTTGTATTCCACTCCAAAGGAGTACATCCTGTCCACCAACTACCAGGTTGGTTTTGCTTATACTGGTAGGAACATCCTGAGTGTAAAAATGGGCCATGAGGCTTAAGCGGTGGTTTACACCATGCAGATATTCTCGGGCGTGCTGCAAATGCGCCCCGGTTCCGTCTTCGTCAGCCTCCTCGCTCGCTTTTTGTGGGCATCGTACAATCCACATGTTTCCGAATTTATCTCCGCCAGCAACCGACTCATAGTCCACCATAGTTGTGCAATTTGTCCATCGAGCGATTGTGTCGTCAGCGAAAGGTATTAGTTTGTTACTTTCATATTTGTACACGACGTAAGTCACTCCTTGTTGAACGTCACCAACGATGATACGACTGCCTTGAGTTTGTAAGGAGACAATGAGCTGAGGTGCAACCTCGGCTTGCGCTTTTCGGAGAAGTTGGCGAAGCCCAAGATCATAGGCGCGAAGGGTTTTGCCAATTCCTGCCAGTAGGCGACCCTGAAATTGCACCAGGGCCATCGGTGGTTCTTCTACCTTCGTCTTATGAATGAATTCGATTTCTTTACCGTCGTCACGGAATCTGTAGACATGTATATATCCTGCGCTGAACTGGCGGGGACTAACAATCATGTCCTTTCCGGTTCCAACCACGAGGAATGTCTCGTTATCTTGACTTGCAAAAGACACCGTAGCCATGCTGACGGCAGCTTCATTCTCAGTCAGTTCCAGTGTTTGCAGGACTCGCTTCTCCGTCAGTGGATCCACGACACTGATACAAGATGCCCATCTACCACGGCCTCTGGGATACCCAAACTCCTCTGGTGGCAGTACAGCAGCATCGCCATTAACCACGCCGGGGTCTGCTAGGAGTTGTTGACGTAACTCAGGCGGTAACGTGTTATTATCAGATTCAATAGTATAGAAATAAGGTTGGTCTGGATGCTTGGCGAGGCGTCGAGGGGTGTACGTTAGAGGAATCGACTGTTGCAACAGCGTGTCACCTAACCTGTCGATAGAGAAGATCCTGTTGACGTTAGCATCTTGTCGCTTCTCCGAGTCTTGTATTCAGATAAAAAAGAGATTTGGATGCGAAGTTCAGTAGGAACAATTGGTAAAATATTGTGACCTCATAGCCAAAGGCGTAGGATCCCAGTTTTTCATCATTCTTCGCTTGAATAGAACAGGGGAAACAAATTTACTTACTTGAGATTTTGGCCCTGAATGCCCACCATTCCTTCTTCACATTGCTCGCTGCTAAAACTCCAGCCCCATTCTAAGTCGCTATAATCTAGAGGGGTCATCATGAAACTCTTGGTGATTGGATCCGAGTACCCTAACCAAGTTCTCGAGCTAAGAGCTAGAACACAAGTCCGGCCTTGAACTGAGGTCTGAAAGAGTCGCACAGCTCTAGGGCCGAGAAACTTCTGACGAGTATCAGTAAGTTCTCCGGTTACCTCATCTAGAACAGTACGTAGATAAACGCCGGAATGCAGACCGATATGCAAATATAGAGTTGAACCGCCAGACGAAGAGTCCTCCATGGACATTATAGAAAGTGCAGATGGGGCGGCAGTTAACGCTTGCACGGATTTGCTCTCAAGCGTGGATTCCAGATCCAGGCTGAGAATTCGGACAGTGCAGTCGTCACATCCAACAGCAAGAAATGAACTTCGCAGGCGACCTTCAGGAACCTCGCCCAAACTTAGGCAAGTGACGGTCCCGAACATTTCCTTCTTTTCATCATACTCAGCCAAAGACCCGTCATCGGCCATCTCAAAGTAGACAATTTCACCCGAGCTTAACGCGACAGCAACTTGGCGTTCATTGGTAGAAGCAGCAACAATTGATCGATGCTGTGGTGCTTCCCACTCGTTTACACGTCCTTTAACGATATGTCGAATGCCCTTGGGATGTACTTGGATGAGACCATCCTCACCTAGTTGCTGGACAGCTAACGTTGGAACTGTCGAAAGAAAGCCTGTGTCGGTTACCTCTTCCACAGTCTCGCCAATGCTGAGTACCAAAGTACCATTACTAAACGAGAGGATAATGTAAGCGTCGTATCGATCATCCCTGTTGAGCTTGGTAGTCCAGACAGCAGACGGAACACCTGGGAGCTCTGAGGCTACAATTTCGTTTACCTCTAGGCCATGCTTCAGGGTCCTAAATGTACTCCGCGCGCCATTTCCGCAGATAGAGTAAATTTGTGGTGCGTCATCGCCAGTCAAGTTGGCTACCTTGCAATCGACAAGGGGATTCATTGAATCAATGCTTTCAACTAGACTTAGATTTTCGGCTGCTCTTGGGTAGAAATAGGCAGGATTGTATGATGCCTGTGGATCCGTCGGGAAGTCATCGCTAGTGAATTCTAGCTCGTCATCATCGTCACCCAGTTTCTCAAACTGGTAGAAATGATGGTTCCCGAACTCGCTAGCAACAAACAGAAACCCGCTTTTCAGAATGCAGAGGCTTGTGGATACCGGCACCGTATCAAAATATTTGATCTTCAGCCGTCGAACCTCTCCCGTTGCATTGCCATCTTCATCTTCAGCCATGTCGATGGTAACCTTGAAAAGATCGCCGTCTTCCGTCTGCAGGAGGAAAAAGAAAGCGCCTGCATTTCCCTTGAGTTTGTGCATGACACCAGAAACGATCGAGCGTTTTCGCTGAGGATCTTCTGTCGCACCTTTTCTTCTGGGAATCGGTACACGAAATGCCTCCTGGTTAGAGTGTCTATACGTGACATTCTCTTCTCCACATACTAAAACACCGCTAGGCCCGTCATTACCGCCAGGAACTTGGAACAGTATAGACGCAGTAGGGTCAACTGGTTCGTGCCATTTTCTGACGACGTGATTCAACCCAAGGTCTAGCTCGTAGTAAACTAGCTGTGTCTCGACTTCAGACAGAGCTTGCCCCGAAGGGTCCTGGTCTACTTCGGAGTAATCGACCTCTAATGCTGCAAATACTGGGTTTGCATAGCCAACATCTAGAGCGACCATCGAGAGCACGATTGTTCCCGGCTTATGGGCCTCTAGAGGCGAAGAAATGGTAAGTTCTGCCTGGGCATTTCGGTTCAGGACATAGACCAACTTATTCTTCTCAACCGACGCGATAAGACAGGCACGACCTTTGGGATCACAAGCCAGATATTGACCAGGGACGACACGACGCACTCCCGATTTTCCAAAAGTCTCGAGTTTTTGTTGTTTGAAACGGTTCTGTTGAGGGATATACTCGATAATTGCAATGCGTCCCGAATCAGTGGCAAGTATTATATAGTCTATAAGATGAAAAATTAGCAAGGCTCTAGTCGAACAATAGTCCCTCGAGGGTCGAGATACCACACCATACGCCGAGACGGCAGTTCGAAAGTTTCTACCGACCCAGCTTCAAAATCACTAAGTGAAGCCTCACAACGTAGGGGGGAGGATATAAAACTTACCCTTACTGCTTCCTGCCAAGCGAAAGGCAGCGATGGACCTGATGATACCAAAAACATCGTGGGAGAGAAGGGTAATGACTTTCCCTTGTGATGGCTCCGGACGTAGCAATGTGAGTCGCGAGTTTGAGGCCGTGACAATTTGTTGCTCTTTGGTACCAGAAAACTGACCGAGAATAGCTTGAGTAATTGTAGTGGGAGGCTGGATGGTTAAAGAGTAGAGAAACATATTAGAAGTAGTCGCCATCTTCGCAGGAGATGCGCAGAAAGCCTGCGCGACTCTTCTAGCCTCTCTATCTCCTTTTTCGCTATAATATGAGGCTGGGTTGAATAATTGTCAAAGCCTGTGTGGGAAGCTCCAAAGTTTTCTTTGAAGTTGATGGAGCTTCGAATCAAGCTGAAGAACTTGATTGGGAGACATTTGTCAAAGCTCTAGGCTGCTACAGGTAGTATTGTGGGCCTTCAAACCCCATCCGGATTAGTATTTGTCCGTAAAAACTTCACTGGGGCTTACCTAATGCTGTAGGTACCTTACAGTGGACCTGCTGTGGGGACGACCTCAGAGACCGGGACCTCTGTCATCCCACGATAGGTACAAGGGTACATAAGAATACTACGTAGATGCATCTTTTACGCCGAGCTACCCAAGTCACAAATTCGTAACCGCCATTGTATGGACAATTACCAGGGAAGCCTTCAACAATGGAGACTTCAATGCGCCTGGTGGCGTCTAATACTTGCAGGGCCTGTATAAGACTGTCCGCAGCCAATGCAGCCCGTCCGCCTGTATCGAGGTCATTCTCTAAAGCTGCTTCTTCACGCCCACTACAAAAGGCTTGCTCTCCGAGTCCGACTATACATTCGCGGCGACCCGTACCATCCGTCGAAGCTAGAGATTGCCTCTCAAGGCCCATATCTCTATTCGGTCGTCAGCCAAAAACTACTGAGGACACTGTAGTTGGCCTAGGATCTGCCGCATCGTACGAGAACCAATCCAAACCTCTGGTCCTCCGTCCTGACGACCTCTTCCACTCTTTTACTAACTCGCCCATTCCCGAAATACGCCGCCGTGCTGCTTTTATAAGGCAACACGCGCTCTGCCCTCATCCCGACCATCAACCTACGCGAGACCCAGCCAGTACCAATAGTCTGGGTAGCGCTACCGGCTCTGGCGCGCAAGCACCGGCCCATGTTGATTTCGAATGCCCGGACTGTGGAATCCCGGTCTATTGTAGTAAGAGGCATTGGGCCGAGGATTATGAGGCTCATCTTCAGATATGTGATACTCTGCGACAAATCAATGAAGATGATCATGATCTTCGCTCTGGGAGATTTTTCCCCGAATTCGAGTATGCAGGTCCTCAGATGGAAGAAGCCGCTGTGAATATGACAAACTGGGATACTTTTCTTTACACGAGACAATTCGAAGCCATCAATGGTGACCGAAATATGCGACAGGTTACAAGGTTGCTTACCTATCCAGTGACAATTGGCAGCATCCTACACGAGCTTAGTCCATATAATATTAGAAAAGGTGGTAGGCTCACGACTGAAGGCTTGAAAAGCTTAAGCGCTCTCCGATATACATTACATCCTCCCAGGACAGGTAGCGGAGAAACGATCAAGGGCCTACGACCCGAAGCGCCTCCGGTGAGGATATTCATCCTAGGGGCTCGAGCAGAGTCTTCACTCCCCCGGAATGTCTGGGTACAGTTGGCCCACCTCTTCCCACGAGGGAAATTTCACCTAATATTTATCGGACCTGAGAGTATGACTAACAGAGACGACGAATTCCCCTTGCCCCCTCGAACTCCTTCAAATCCCTTCGGTGCCATAGTAGAAGACCGGGTGTGGCCAACAATGAAGATTAGCACCATTGTGGATTACTATCATACTCTACATAAGACCGGCCAGTTTTATCCCTATGACCCTTATTTTGACTGTTTTGTCATGTTCCATCCCGGGTTAGGACATCCAGCTAGCTCTCACGAGTGGTCGGAAACGGTGCCTTTACTTCTCGAGACCAAGGCCCCTATTATAGTGACTGGCTACACACAGTTTGATATGGATAGAGATATCGAATGGGTAAGAAAGACTTGCGGAGGGGAATTCGATATGCTCATGGAACCTGGCGAGAACATCTTCAGAAGTTTACGGTGGGATCTTAACGACCTCGATCCTCAAGATATCAGCTGTGGCAACTGGGGAGTATGGGCTTTCCGAGGCAAGAGGTACGTTTTAAACAATAAGAGCTTTTTAAACTTGCTCAAGTTCTTGGTTCTAACAACTTTACAGATATGAAGCGACAAAAAGCAACGTTGAATAACGCCTGGTCCTCTATAGTTATCAATGCATTCGACCATAGAGTGCGGAGCCGGAAGATTTCGGCCATGTTTATAAGGAACCACGTCACTCCGCAAACAACCCGGTTATGGCAAATTTGTATATAATAAACGATGATAGTGGCGCCCCCGAGCTGAGGTCTACATCATATGAGCTTTGCCTTAACGAATTGAAATCCGGAGTAAAGCAATAAAAAAACAAGGCTCAACTCTTTAAGAGTCGCACATTTTATAATTCATGTAAGCTTAAATCGTAAGCACTTGATAAATAGGGGATGGCTCTGAAGGGCCTGTGCTTTTAAAGGGACCTGTTTGGCCTGTGTGGGCCTCGGAGCACGCCGCCCTACCGCCCTGCCGCTGTAATCTTAACCTAATCTGCCAACGTCATTGCAGGTGTCACAAAATGAATGAACAATTAAAATTAACCGCAAAGAATCGTTCCTGCAGCAGCGAAACCAGTAACAACTAGCGCAATAGCGCAACCAACCAAACTAGGTGCCTAGGAGGTAGGTACCTAGATGTACTTACGAACCGTTTACAACCCACTCTGCAGCCTTAATCTTCTACATCATATCACCGCACGTATCAGATACCTACCTACCTCATATTGAACGCCCTAGTAGCTCTCAGCCGGATTTATTAACTACCTATTAGCATGACCGTAGTCCGGTGAACGTAGGTCCGTGAACATACCGTTACACGTTACATCTCACATCGAGCGATGACGGCAGCATCATCGGGCGCCGTTCCGCCTAAAGATGGTAGCCCGGCCCCGACCAGCTTAAAAGCACCACCGACCTCCAGCACTAACCCCGAGTCCGTCACATCCACCAGCAGTAAGCCTCCTAGCTCACCTCGTGCGACTTCACCATCATCGGCGCCTCGCCGGACCACCCGTCCCGTATCATCCGATTTCTTGTCCGATAAGGCCACTGCTACGTTCATACGCCGTGTGCTTTGCGCCCAGCACCTGGCGGATAGGGGGAGGAGTTCGCCTGCGCCAATTCAAGATTTACTACCGCCTCTTACAAGTCGAAATGACGTGGATCTTCAACTATATGCCCTGATAGCTATCATCATTAAGGAGTTTGTCCAAAATTGGTACACCAAGATTACTCCAGATGAGACATTCGTTGCCGAAATCGTACAGATCATTGCGCATTGTACTCGCGCATTAGAGGAGAGGTTGCGGAATGTAGACCTTGAGAGTCTTCTGTTCGATGAACTGCCAGAACTGCTAGACGCACATATCCGAGGTTGGCCAGCCGTACTCCACCGCTAGTTTAATATTACCATTTCGTTACTAACAATACCGTACAGCATATCGAGTAGCAAAGAACACAGTAGCCAGACCACCAATCGAGGCCAATCCACGCGAGATCTACCATTCGCTCTGGCCACTACCTGCCCTGTCACCGGTTCCTAAGTCGGGACACAGCAGTATACAGGTTCAAGCAGACAACGAGAGTGCATACCGCCAACTATTAGTGCAAGGCGTTCTCGCCCTCTTGCTTCCAACCGAGGATCTCGAGAACGAGTGCCTAACAACGCTGGTTGGCCAATTGTTCTCTGAACTTATCATAGGCAATCTCATCATCAACAAGCTCTCGGAGCCATGGCTTTTATGGGAAGGTCTAATTATACTAACGAGGACAGTGCGTGCGAGAGGCACAGCAGAGGCGTCTGAGCCCGGAGGCATGGAACCAGGTGTGAATCTAAAGACCAGCGGCGGCACGGTTCCATCGATTACGGCCAAACATGGTCTGTACATTCAGCAGGTCTTTTGGACCGTAATTCAGTGGGGGTTCGTTATAGTAAACTTGATACGGATGTTTATCAGTACGATAATGCTTTCCCGAACACTCCCTCCCAGGTCTATCCCTACCATTCGCCAGATAGATCCAACATCCCATGATCATGGAGAGAAATGCTACCATCCTCCAACCCCAGAGGCCGGTCGACAACCGGCCAATGTTCCCATCACCAACTTCAAACTCTGGACTTGCGTTGGGAATTTACTCGAAATAGACGCTCGCATGCCCTGGACGAGCGGAGCTTTGTCTATGGTGCAATGGGGAGCTCTGAGAGGTCCAGGCAACCTGGCAGGGTTTAACGGGATGATCGATAGGTAGGCGAATCAGTCTCTTCCCTTCTCTATTACTTGTCACAGAAGCACATATCTCGTCACCTCGCATATGCTCTAGGTCACTGGACCTGAGGTTGTCCACTCCCCTCTCAGAAGATACCTATCTCGCAAGTGCGCATGATGGGTACCTCCTCACCCATCACTACTTTAATTATCGTATCGTCGGATATCGACTTGGCAGATCGGTCAGACAAGGTACAGTGTACACGGCTTAGTCCATTTTCAGCAAAGGCTACCTTAAGTCGGGTGGTGCTGTGCGACGTTTCAATGGTCTTGGTTTGGTGGCCGGATAAAACAGCCAGCCATCCAAAGTCCGGTATTCGCCAGAGACCCAACATGAGGCATTCTATTATTCCAAGGGTCATTTTTGATTATGGCCAATGACCGGGTAAACCTACATGTCCTTCATCCGATTGCACCATAAGCGGCGCGGGGCTGAACCTGCCAGGCCTACCTGGCCATCCGCGAGCCTTATTTACGCGCCCAACTTTGGGGCTTGCAGGGATTCATGCCCCCAACCAAGGATTCCATCAGACAGTCAGACAGTCCATCAATCCTGGTACAACGCCACGAACTCTTTTCCCTTTCGCTTCGTGCCGCCGGCCCCGCAGGTACCGTTCCAACATGCACGGACGTGCTTCCGGCTCGCGGCGTTATGTTAGAGGTTTTATAACGGAACTTCAAGCCTGGTGGATGTTTTAGCAATGTCTGCTATCCTACCTCTAAGACAATGATGCATCCCGTATTCACCCGTGGCAATGTAATGTACGTACCGAGGTAGCCATTAGTTTGATGGACGGAGCGAAAAACAACTATATTCTCAGTTCTGAATACAGTCAGATGTGATCGTCCAAGGGATGGTCACTAGCTTGCGTAGCTAAGACCAGGGTTACTTCGAATACTTTCCGGGAGCAAAAGTTGTGGCGGTCGAATACCCTGGCGCTCGGCTGCGTACGCATCGTACGCCATCATGGCCGTTCTTATTCGAACTCAATCTATCTGAGCTTGTTAGGCTTGGGCTTGGGCTTGGGCTTCGCATGTTTGTGCCAGAAGGGCCGTCATCGTCGCGCCTCTTCCCCGATCGGATAAGGTCAGGGGTAACCCGGGCTCATGCAGCTCTTAGCTCCCCTGTACGAGCTTTCTGTCCCATGCAAAAGCTCCATGATCTTTTGAAGCCTCACATTGCTTGTTGGTTTGATCTAAGGCGTGACCGACTTCGCGCATTATCAATCATTATCAAGCTTGGTTGCAATTCGTCGACAGGACCTTGACCATGAAGCCATGGTTGCAGCAAGGTTTTCCAGAGTAGATCAAGATTATCTCTCCTAGGAAATCTAGCCTCCCATTCGAATTCGCGTCTCAGCAATCGGGATATGCAACATCGCATACCCCATCTACCTCGATACATTCCGCATACGGTCACACCTGTACCACTCTACCCCCACGTTCCCTACGAGAGCTCTCCTTAGAAGCTTCTATTAATGTTCTCTTTGTACATGGTTAACATTGTACTGATCTCGCACAGACTTCTTTCGCACTACATCCACGTCTATGTTCTCGATCCTGCCCGTCTTCCCCCACTCCTTCGAGCCGTGCGCGGCGCTGTCTTCCCCAATAACGCCCCAGGCTCATCCAGCCTGATCCCCCCTTCGTCTGACGAGCAGCTGGGCGCCCTACGACGCAGATGCGCTAGCGCGCTTTTGGCGCTTGTTCCGAAGAGGGTGGGCAGGCTTTATTATGGTAGCAGTACCTGGCCTTGGTCCACCAGATCTGCTAATCCTCTTTCAAGTGCGAGGTCGCGGTCCGGACCGTTTAAGGCCGACAGCTATAACACGGCACATAATACCAACCGCACTGGAGAGGAAGTTACAGGCGTGCGGCTTACCGATGAGGCCAAATATGTTAGAGACAGCCATGTAACGTTGACCCCAGAAAGATCAAAGCGGCAATTTGGAGACACCGGTGTGCCGCCGACCGAGGCCGGTGGCGACAAGCGGGCTGACATGTGTATCAGAGATGAAGATGAGGACGGGGATGAGGATAGGGACAGAATTCTATGCGAAATCGAGACGGGCATTCTCGATGTCTTCTCAGATCCCTATTGTAACAAGCACCTATTGTATGGGATCCTAGAACTTATTCTCGTGCGCCTCATGCCCGAACTAACCGAGAAGGGGGTCATCGAGCTATGGGAAGATCGACTAAGTTGAGAAGGACCGGACGTTCGGTTTCTCGTAAATGAAATAAGCTAATGTAATGATTGATACCCAACCAACCGACGTGTGGTTAGAACAGACAGAAAAGAAATTTAGGACAGTTTCAAAGTCTAATGCAACGCCCTGTCCAGATCGAGCGCACCCCTTCATGCAATGCAACATAAGTCTACGACATAAGCAGCAAGATAGGATAGACGGGACCGAGGCAGAAGGGGTTCCGGAGTGTCGTTACAGAGCCGCCCCCAGATTACTTACTTGTTTGTAAGTAGGCAAGTACCGATGTTTACATAGTAGGTGGTTACGTCGCCTCTCTTCCTGTTACGTCTCCTAGCCTGTGAAAAAAAGAAGAGTCTGGCTGCCTGGTAGTATCTGGGTTTGATACTCCAAAAATAAAAACGTTCGGTCATTGTTTGGGGCAGTCAGGCTACGAAACTAAATCCCTTTCTCGTCGCGGGGTGTAACCTAACTCATCCCGGAGGTCACTGGATGCGAACGTCATGCCTGTCTGTCTGTCTGCCTGCCTAGGTTAGGTAGGTAGGTATCTATCTCTCACTTGTAACTCACCAGGGACATAACATACGGTAAGTGCGGGAGTAGTAGTAAGCGTTGACCTATCCAAGGTGATGCGGTTTGCTCAGATCGCCTCATCATCGACGCATCGCTTGACAAATACGAGATGGGGCGATGAGATACCTACTGCCTAAGGTACCTAATTAATTAATATGGAGTGTAAACCTGGGAAGCCGGGGAAGTAGTAGGTTAGATAGAGCCAGAGAGTAGTACCATTCAATTAGTGTCGGTGACCTAGAGAAAAAAAATAATAAACAACCCAAATGGAACGCCTGAGAGTGCTGCTATGTAGAGAGAAACACAGTGAGCCGGAAAAACGAATTCGTTAACTCCCCTTTCCACTGAGACAGACACACCAACACCGGCCACCAGGAACACCTTCACGCCCCCTCTTCCTTCCTCTGCTTTGCTTTGCCTTGTACAGACGACAAGTAGTTTCTGTAATAAAAACTAGTGGTTCTGTCTCCCCATCAAGGTGTTAGGTATTCCAGCCAAGCGAACGTCCAGCTCTTCTCCACATGCTCAACCCTCCTTTTCTCCCTCTCTCCTCTCGCAATGAAAGGCTCAAACCGAAGCCCATCCCATCTTCTTCTCCATCCTCACGGTACAGGGGTAGAACTTTGTAATACATGGGTAAGTAGGTAACCAAACGCATATACATATATATACTAGAGGGGGGGAATCTTTTTTTTTAAAAAAAAAATCAAGAAGCAAAAGGGGAGGAAGAAAAGCATAGAAGAATAAAAAAAAATAAAGATCAAAACATGATAAACAATTCAAACAGGCGGAAGGCCAAAGCCGGGAAAAGAAGAAGAAATAAAATGGAATAAAATAAAAAAAACACCTGGGGATATTTTTTTGCTTTCGAGACGCGCGATCGTATCGGATTCCTTGTTACTACTACTGACTAGTACGGGGGTGTTTCGCGTGAGCGGGACGTAGTCTTCTTGTTTGCCGGGCCAGATAATAGAAGAAGAAGAGACAGACAGAGTGGTGGTTGGTATCGTATAGAGTTGTGTGTGTATAGGTAAGGTATATAATAATATATAAAAGTAATCATAAATATTTTTTTTTCTTTTTTGCTCTTTTATTTTCCTTTCGAAGTAAACGGGCGGCGGTAGTTGGCTGAAGTTAAAGTAAAGTTCCCAAAATATAAAGATTGATTTTTTTTCTTGTTTCACTTTCTCTCTCTCCTCTCCTCTCCTCGCGTTTTCGTCGATTGCTCGATTTCGGGGTATATTCTCTCGCTGGGATACGCGCGGTGGGGCGACGGGGGTATAATGTGTATGTATGTGTGCACCTAATGTATATGATATGATATGATATGATGATAATGATGAAGGCGATGACAATGATGCTGTTGTTTCGTGAGAATGTAGTGTATACAATTACGCTCGGTGATGTTTGTCTGGTGTTTCTTCCTGGTATGAATTTTTTTTTGGTCGTCTTTTTCGTCCGTTTCCCTTCTACTCCCCCTTTCCTCCGGCCGTGATCCGCCTTGTCCGTGGAAGCCTGGTGGTTTCCTGTCCCTATTCCTGTTCCAATTCCAAGTCCTTGCTCTTGTCCCTTCCTATTCCTATTCCCGTTGATTCGCCGGTTCCCTATGTTTGAAGTATGAGTATTGTGACATTGCCATCGCCTCTTGCGCCCACCGTCTGTCGAGTTTATTTACACGGATGTTCGGTCGTTCCGGAGTATGAGTGTTGTCGTCGGAAGTTGATATGAAAGGTGTGTGATGTGCAGTAACTTTGTAGCTCCCGATTCGTCGTATCGCGTGTCAATCATTCTTTAAAGTCCAGAGTACTCTCCTAAATGATTGGTTTAAGGCGTTCGTCGTTCCGGTTTTCTAGGATTGTCGATTTCATTCCCTGCGGCCCCGGTGGCAGCAATACGAATCGGGTGGCCACGAGAATTAGTGTTATACTGCAGCACACACAGTCCTAAGGGGCACGTCCTCGAGCATGACGGGTTCCCAGGGTAGTCACACACTCATCGTCTCGTTCTTCACCATGGACGAAGTGATCGTCGCCATCTCGGTGTCTCCTTCCGGTATCCTCGACAAGCCACCGAGACCCTGGGTGGCGGAGTTAGCTTGCGGCCCTCCGTGCTGCTGCGGTTGCAGCCTTAGCTTCTCGGTGAGGCCCAGGACTATTAAGAAGTCGTTCTGGTCGATTAATCCTGTCGACTTGATCTGCTGCATGAAGCTGAGGAGCGTGTCCGCGGCTCGTCTGGCGTCCTCTTGCGTCGGCGAGCTAGGCGAGGAGCCCATCGACGTCCCGGAAACCGCGGCTGTGCCCGAGCAGCTCGACCTCCCGGCTAAACTGCCGTTGCTGCTCACGTGGTGCAGCTGCGTGGGTGGAGAGATAGCCGAGTCTAGCCCGCCGAAAGGGGTCGCTGCTCCCGGGATCTCGTGGATTGGCGACTCGAGCGCGGATGAGGGTGCCGTCCCAGCCTGGCTATATTTAGGCGTCAGGGGCTCGGAAGGTTGCGATTGGTTGATGTACTCGAGGTTCCCGAGGTCTGGAACCGTCTGACTTCGCGGGCGCTGGAAACCCGCTGCTCCTGGAGGCATCTGGTTCCTGTCGCTGAACATGCCCGTATTTGGGTCCGGGGAGAAATTGAACTGAGATGTCGGGCTAAAGGCGCCCGCTGAAAATGTTGAGCTCGGCGGGTCTGTGACAGCACTAGATAGCGATGTCGAGCTCTGGGAATGTGGGTGCCTGTATCCGTTGGCCTCGAAGTCCATGAAACCATTTGAAATAGTTTCCTTCACTTCGGATTTCTCGCTCACCGCGGAGATCTGTGGTGACTCCATCTGGTTCGTTGGCGACGCCGGCGAAATGCCTCCTGGCGTGTGTGTAGTAGATAGTAAGGGCGATCCAGTGTCCAACCGAGCATTGTCAGGTATCGCAGTCTCGGAGGCTCTGCGGATCAGCTTTCCCGGGCCAATATTATGTTTCTGCTTGAACTTTTCGATCCAAGAGGCAGTGATGGTTTTGAGGGGGCTATCCGAGCCGGTACAAAAGACCCTCGCCTTTTCCTCCATCTGAGTATCGCTGACTACAACCCCCTTCTTTTGTTGACCCCTGACCCAGTTCGCGAGAGCTCGCTCAATATCTGGCGGTGACTTGCCTTTGGTTTTTTTCACAGGAGAGCCACTCTGGCTGTCCAAATTTAGGTAAAGTTCCTTCCTTCGTAATACCTTCGATACGGTACTGCCAGTGTAATGTTAGCGATTATAGTCTACTTTCAATATGTCTCCGACTTTACCTTCGCTCCACGCCAAACTTTTGACCGATCTCTGTCTGCTTAGCATGAGGGTTGTCTTCGTGAAAAAGGCACATGTTACGACGATCTTCATCCGTCAAAGTCTTCCTTGGCTGCGATGTATTGATCGTTGGCAATCTAGGCGGCTGTCTCACAGGAGCCGATGCCGGCGGGATCGGCACAGGAGGAGCCGAGTAGCTCTGAGAGGGGTTTGTCCGGAGACTGGGCCATGGAACCTGGGAAGGCTGCTGCGTTGGTATTATCAGTGGATGCGGAAGATGACTTGCAAAGTTATTGTGCGCTTGGCTATGTATCGGGTGCGGCATAGGTGGAGGGGCCATTCCGATAGATTCGGATGGTAATCCGTGAGTCGCCGGTGGAATATAGTAGTTGTCAGGATAAGTTGTGATGGCCATATGGGTATAAGCGCTCATGTCAACCCATGGCTCGTTTGAATATGAGTTATCATGAGCCATGTGGTTATCCTGGTCTATGCCAGTTGAACCGATCATTGTATTGTGCATGGTTACCGTCTAAGTGAGCCGTCTATACTGGATAGTTGGCAGGATTCGTAGGCTATAAGCCGGTACTGTCCGGCTGTCACGATATAGACTAAGCTGTCAGTTGCTTTTCTGTGACGTATAGAGTCTGCAATAAGCCGCAGGAACAGGATATCAGAGAGATAGGATTGGCGCTGGCGACTGTGGAGATCCGCCGGGACGGTATTTGGCAACTCGACTTTTACGGGCGGAAGACGGTATGCATATTCAGATCCAGTCAACCAATTGGTTCTTTAAGGGGGGGGGGGGATAGCTGCCGTAGTTTGGTGTATGCGGAGCTCACGGCCCTCGTGCGGTATTGTAAGCTGCAGTAAAAGTTGGCGGCTTGGAAAGGGTTATCCGGCAAGTCTTCCGAAAATAGAGGGAGTGGGTGAGGAGATGTGTAAGTCTCTCAACGTAGGTAGCTTAGTTGGATGGTGGTGTTGTATTCCATGCGCAACCACAGACACAGTCGACGTGTAAAAGGCCAGCCAACACACACCTGGGGGCCTTACCGCGGCTATGAAGTTGGCCCAACTCTTTACACCTTTGGGCAACGAAGCCACTTCTTCTGAGCTGTTCTGATTTCCTGGTTATCTTCTTTCCGTTTGGTCTATTTCTTTCCCTCTCTTTTAGTGCATCGAAGAGCAGCAGTAGTAGTAGCAGCAGGAAGATGGCCTGTGCCGTTGGTGTAAATGGAAACGGCCGAAGGGTTACGTAGTAGGGCGGATGGCGTAGCAAACAGAATCAACTTGGGACTAAGAAGCTAACTTCCACCAGGTTGACCATCGATTGAAGGTCTGGTTTCCTAGTACAAGACGCCGCAATGCAGTCTCATAGCTAGGCTTTTCAAGATAGGAATATCAGACGCACGGAAAGGTAGGGCTAGAATGCTTAGACAGGACGTGTGGAGGAGACCGTACATAGATACATATGTAAGTCTGTATGCAGTAGCAGGGATATGAATGCCCTTCGAGGTCCGGGGGCCCTGAATAACAAGAGAGACCTAAGAAGGGGGGGTGTGTGTGTGTGTGGTAACCCTCGAGGGATAAGATGTGGTATGACAGGTCTGACAGGACGAGGGCCCCTACTCTCAAAGGTACAGATGAATTAATGTAGTTAGGCCCGTGGATGTGCGTCTAAAGAGGGCTGGCTAGCCGGGGTTGAATCTTCATTGTGTGTGGAGAGACCACGATGTTACCGTGCTTTTTTTTACTTGTCAGAGAAACCACAAACTGGAGAGTTATATCCTGGAATACAAGCCATGCCCTCGGACGGGATTGACAAGGACCGCAAAAAGCAACTGAAAGCGGCCACCCCCGGCGGACTCGGCAAGCCGTACACGTAGGACGTAGCAACAATATGAGACAAGCCGAATAAATCGCGAGGAAAAATCGAGGAAGACTTTCTTTAGCTGTTATTCTGACAACCCAAGTTCTTCAAAACACGAAACGAGTGGCTTTCTCTAGCTTAGACATTTTAGATAGTAGTTCCCCAGTCCTCCCGTTCGAGTGGCTGTCCGCCATGTTTCTGTCTCCTCCCCACGAGGTTTGTTTTTAGCGTTAGTTAGCGAGGAGAGGAAGAGAGACACGAGAGCAAAAGCGAGGGACAAGCCGATCTAGCTGGTCCAAGTCAACCGAATCTGACTAGAGTGCGGGTAACTGGATGCTCCCGAGGTGGAACTAAGGGCATGGGGGTTGTCAAAATGAAAAGACGATGAGTTATGAATACCTCCGTACCTTTACATACAACGAGAGATGATAGCCAAATCCTGCCTTGTTTCTTATTAGGGTGTTATGAAGAGGTGAAATAAACCCCACTTACAAGTTGGACCAAAGGAACCCTCGTAAACGCTGTCTCTCTTTTCTTCTTCTCGCTAACCCTTTGTCAGCTTCGCCTATATGTGTTTATTAATAAAGTTATTAACTAGGTAACTAACTAGCTCGTAAGTAACTACATGTTACCTAGGGTAGGTATGGGTGATAGGTATGGGTATAGCTATGGGTATAGCTATGGGTACGGGTATGGGTATGGGTATGATGACAATGATGTATTTTTAATAATAGGGATCAATAGTATCTCGCGCCATGGGAAAGGGAATAAACCAATGTGTACAATGTAATTCATGTGTAATAGAAGATAGAAGCAACAGCAGCGAATAGAGCGAATAGATTCCACCCCCTTACCACGGACCAACTTATTTAGGCTCACGATAGTTGAGATGAATGGTCTACGAAAAACCGGGTTCGCAATATTAGGGATCAGACCAGGTGAGCCATCGCGACACCTACATAGGTAACTTCGGCGGGAAGGATTACAAACTTAGAGTCGGCCGGAGAGTCTTGGAAGTCAGTGGTCCCTCGGTTCGTGCGGCGCAACTCGAATAAGAGACTTTCAACAGCAATGAGGTATTTCATAGAGATTGGCTCCGTCTTCTTCTTTTTTCCTCTCTTTTTTTTTCTCCACTGAGTCTTTTAGTCTTAGGTACCTAGCGGACATACATATTTGACGGCGACGGGCTGACCATCCAGTTAGGGACTGGGACTTTTCAGCAGGGTACCCATGGACCACCTCCCACCCATGTCATAAACGGACCGTATCGCGTTCTCATAGGGCAAACATGGGTCACTCTATGCCACCGTTTCCGCTCGCGACGGATCGTCATAATGGACTCGTGCGATTTTATTTGACGGCCACTAGCGAGCTAGATCTCTCAGAGCTCCAAAAGCCTTGACAAGCTTCCTATAAGCCCCTCACTTCTGAAATCTAGCTTAGAAACATATCCAGTAATCAACCGGAAGACGCGTATTCCTTTGATAACCGTTCCTCGGTTTTCGGTTTTTTATTCCTTCGCTCTCTTTCTTAACGTTATTATTCGAGCTCACCTGGCGCTTCCCCCATCTTAGTTTATATCCATCTACCCATATTACTACCATATTTAGTAGCCGTCGGCCTCTCGAAGGAGTGGCAGCCGTAAGGACTTCAGCAAGGTATCTTCGTTTCGACTCGCCAATTCGGCCATAATCGGATCACATACCTATGATGTACTACGGTATCTACGGTATAATATAACTACCTACACTATAATGTATGATGTACGATGTAGGTATACTACCTTAGGTAGGTATGGAATGTATGATGACAAAGGAGGGGTATCAAAAGATGTTTCGCTTTATCACTAACTAATGTATGTATTATTTATTAGTTAGATGTAATTAATATGTATCATAGCTTGTATATAAGGTATGTAGGTAGTCGCCGAGCCGAGGGAAGGGGTCCATATTGCAATTCCTACCACCATTGCATTACATTACATTACATTACATACCCAGTTCGTTACTATGTACAATGCAATAGATACCTACCATGCTGTAGTGCGTAATTCCCATTATCTCCGTTTGTGAGACAACTTAGACCAAGTCAAATTGAGATGGGCAGCATACGGGGGTCCCTGTCTCCCATATCTCTCCCATGTCTTCCACAGAGGCCGATTACACGGACAGCACCGGGGGGAGGGACCCCCTCCTCAAAGTCTGTGAGTTCTCTTGACCCTACTTGCCCTGCTAGCGAGGTCCTAAACCTTTAATTCCCTCCCCCAGTTTCCACACATATATTTCTTCGGTTGACATCCGTTTCAGTGCCGGGAACGGAAAGCCCTCAAGTTTGCACAGGAAAGGTTATGGCAGGTGGTAATGTCACAAGAGATCGATGTCATGCAAATCCAAGTTTAGATCTCTAAGCCTCAATGGTTAGGTCTCATGCCACGTTTGACGTATAGAATAACTCTTCTTGGAAAGCTATATTATTAGGTACGCGATAGATGGGATATAAAACACTACAACCTACGCGATCCAAGCAGGAGATAACGTATTACTTCTGACAAAGCTCTTTTATGACCGCATGGCAAATTACTAGCCATGCGACGGAACGCTTCAATCTTACGCAGTAGCAAAGGTAGCCTTTCATCTAGAAATACTCCTAAATGGTCTTGTAGTACTTGCCGGGTGAGGGTTGTTCTATCAAGCCGTCGCGACAAGCAAGCTTGTGTCGCATCTAGACCCCCCCAAACCGTCGGGAGGATATTTGGGACCAATATGAACCCCGATACTGGTCGTTCGGTGTACCCAACAACGGTGCTGGCTAGTTTTACCGTTACGACGACTGAAGAAGAGGAAGAGGAAGTGGGAAAAGGCAACCGCGGGAAACGTACGAATCTTCTTCATCCTGTTCCTGTTCTTCAGCGGCTCGGCGTCAAGCTGCTGCTGTTACTCGTTACCAAACTCAAACCAACAGAGTAAGTAAAAGGAACTGCCTAGCCGTTTAACCAATCCTCAATATTCCACCACCTTGGTTCCCTAAGTCAAGCAACCAACAGCACGTTGCGATGAGCAGCCTAGAAATACCATTGGACATAATTTCTGGGTCACCTTCACCGAGGTCCGTTGGGCGATTGGGCATGAATGGTCAGGAGGAGGTCCAAGCGAATAGAGCATTCTTTTCCGTGCGCCGGGCTATCTTCCAGTTGGTCAGCTCTATCTATATCCTGGACTATCCATGCCTAACTTTTTCTGAGGAGGCTTGAATCCTAGAAAGCAAGGGCTTATTCGAGCTTAGCGCCTCAAGCAAAAGCAACATTTCGTTGCCCACAAGGCCGAGATTTGTGTTACAGTAGGTACAAAGTAGTCTGCGAGGCATCTCATCTTGCGCAGGCAGCTAGAGGTACCTATTCTGTTTTGGCTTCATGCAAGGCTTAACAAGAACCACCCCTTCCCCCCTCCCCCAATGGACCGTTGCAGTTAAAAATTCGGTTACTCCTCCCATATATGATTTCATAGATAATTCGACAAAAAAAAAAGGTCGCAAGATCATCCGCGGCCTACCATAGTACTGTCCCAACGGCACGTTGCCGACGATGCGATGCGGCTGTGGAGTGGTAAGAGATAACCCTAGATATTCCCAAGATACCCTAGGCGCGCACCGCTCAGCGATCGAAGTAACGTCATGCCGCGATAGCTCTCTCCTCTCTCTCTCTCTCTCTGGTCGTAAAAGCAGCCATTGGTTAGGTACCATCTTACATAGTACCCTTTTAGTAAACAACTACGAACACCTCCACCCCCAAAGGGAGCAAACCTCGGCGTTAGCGATCGCAAATGCAGCACGATGTCCGACCTGAAAGCAGGTAGTAGATCATAGACCGCTCTGAGAATTTTTAGGGCTTTTTTTTTTTTCGCCGGTCATAAATCATTATGTTGGTGCGTCTAATTGGAGGGATGGAGAAGACGTTCCTGAATATACGACACCAGAAATGCAATCTTAGGTTCTTGGAGGAAATGAGCGCTACATTAGCCTACATACCTACTACATACCTACACGCATATCGCCCATCATGAGACCGCGATACTTTATTCGGAGACAAACCCGCGGCTACCTATAAACCATCTCGTGTTGTTCGCCTTGCAGCCATATAACATACTAGGTATACCTATCTGGCGAATGGCCATGGGATGGTCAAGGCTACCACAGCTCAAACAAAAAATGAGGCTGTTGGGCGAGGGACAAACCCAGCATTTTGATAGGAAGTTACAGTAACAACCCCCAATGTGAGAGTGTGTGTACGGTAACATCTCAATCGCTTTAAGTTGCCTAGGTACGAAACGAAACCAAAGAAAAAAAGATATGGTGACAGGAACGAAATCATGACGCTATTTGTCATCAGGTCTATTTACTATTCGGGAACGTGTGTGGGTTGTAAGTGGTAAGTGAGTACCTACTATGTACAGTATTTGGTGGCAAGGTTCCAGTCTCGCATGGCCTGGTCGCATGGCCTGCTTGCTTAGCCATGAGGTAGATGGATAATGAACCAGAAAAGAAAACCGATAGTTCCAAGGAACAGAGAGAAAGAAAAAAAAATTTATTATTAATTAATTAACAGTACGTTGAAATGGGGAAAGAAAAGGGTTGGGTTAGGAGTGTGTGGTGTATGTGTGTGGACTGGTGTGTGGCCTACAAAGCCCCATAAAGTGACCCCCAAATCCAGACGATCGAGAACTTTTCTCCACGAAAGGGACTGTCAGATGTGCCGTCGGCGGCTAGAGGAGCGCTGTGAAAGGTTGGAGTCAGGTACCAATTTGCCGTGTGGCCCGTTTAGGGAGTGGATAATCTCTATGTTGGGCCGTTGACTGGTTAAAAATATTCCGATCGTTTAAAGGTGCAACAATAAGACAGTAGGCCAAGGCCAGCGACCGGCAATAAATTGTTGGACTCATCATTATTGTGGCGCAAATAAAGACCAAAAACATAAACTACTTTGTCGTTCAGCATATGCGTGTCAACTTGCTGCTACTGCTGCGACTTGCTGCAAAAAAAGGGTGGTGCCTTAACGGTCTCCAAGAGAGAGGGTAAGTAAGGCACCGCTCATGCAATCACCACGCCTCGTCGGAGACATGGCCGCATTAACAGAGGCCTTCGGTTATGCAGGTGGTGACGATTTGCAGCTTTGGGTTTTTCTGGAGTATGCGGAGTACGCTCAGGCATTCTTGAATTGAAAAAATGCGGCTTGCTAGGTATGTACCTATTTGAGGTACCTAGAAGACAGAAAAAAAAATGTATGCATCGTGGCATTGACATTTCCCCCGCAAAAAAAAAAAAAGGGGGGGGGGAATATTATAATTGCAATTTCGAAATTGGAGCATCAGCTCAGCTCCCTTCTTTCAGGCCTGCACTGGACTGGACTGGACTGGACACGCGGATTCCTAGATCATATCGCATGCGAAATCGCCCACTACTGTATCATTCTTTGCATGATGCCATGAGTCGGGCCCTTCCAGAAAAAGCAAACAATACTTTCCCGTCAATGGTGCGCCGCATCGGCTGCGGTCTGTCCCTTGATCCGTAAATCTGCAGACAACCGTATCCCCTGTTCCTTGAAGCTACCCAACAGCGTCATGAGATGGGGGAAATGCGCTTTCTTGGTATCATTACCTTCCATTATCCATTGTGCTATATAGACATCGAGAGCTCGGGAGTGCAGAGCACACAAAAGGGAGCCAGCCTCGACACCCTTCGCGATCGCGTGCGGGTCGAGAGCGCATAAGGGACCTAGCCGCTCTCTTTCGAGTCTGGCCACTCATCTCTTGACAATCGTGACTGGAGAATAAACAGGATTAGCATCCCAAGATAGTGCAAGTGGATAGTGGATAGTGCAAGTGCTATTGGGGGAGGGAACTGGCGAGTAACAATACCTATATCTTCATCGGCCAGCTCGTGGGCAAGCCCCACGCGTTGGGGTTGGTGCTTCACGGATTTTCCGTAGACTATTGCGGTTTTAAACTGCTCGACTATGCTCCGATGGATTGCGTTGCACTTATCATTCATTGGTCAGCCAGTTTGTTACCGGTCAAAGTTTACCGAGGCGAGGTACTTACAAAATCTTCGACTGTGCACCTAGTGGAACGAAGCACAACAGGCGCTGAATAGTCCGGCATCTTTCCTTTTGGCTTCGTGTAAACCCGGACCAATTTTAGCTTGTCCCACCTGCAAGAAAAAGGAGATTAGCTTAGGTTAGGTCTAGGTATGTATGTGTATGCACTACACGCTCTTTCGTAAGGGGGGTTGAATCTTACATGGCCTCCATTAATTCATCAATATTCCATCCATGCTCAGAACTAATGGGAACGGCGTTGGGGATTCGGTACAATAGGTCCAGCTCCTCGATGCTGATTGCGTCAATCTTGTTGAGAACGTAAATGACAGGTATGTAGCTGCGACTCTTGGCTTCCAGGACGTCGATCAAATCATCCACAGTGGCATCACAGCGAATCGCAATATCTGCTGAGTTGATACGATATTCGGACATGACGGCCCTAATTTCGTCATGGTCGATGTGGGTTAAAGGCACGGTACTTGTAATGTTTAGTCCACCCTTGTCCTTCTTCTTGAAGGTGATATTCGGTGGTTCCTTGTTAATGCGGATACCAAACCCTTCTAGTTCTGTCTCGATGACTCGCTTATCAGTCAGGGGCTTATTCACGTCCAGAACGATGAATATCAAGTGGCAGGTTTTAGCGACAGCGATCACCTGACGACCACGACCTCTACCATCCTTAGCTCCCTCGATGATACCAGGGAGATCGATCATTTGCAGTGGAGCACCTATGCAACATAATGTCAGTATCAGATAAATATGATGAAAGTCCGATATGACAAAGTCCGTTTAGGGGAACAATATTGCGACGGAGGGGACAGATATCATACCGTTGTATGTGACTTGTCCAGGCACGGATGTCAGGGTAGTGAACTCGTACGCCGCAGCTTCCGAGTGTTGACCAGTCAGTCTGCTCATCAAAGTACTCTTTCCCACGGACGGGAATCCAATAAATCCAATACTAGCAACACCAGTTCTGGCGACGTCGAAGCCAGCGCCACCACCACCTCCACCACTCGATGAGGGGGTTAAGAGTTCTCGCTTCAGCTTTGCCAATTTTGCCTTAAGCTGACCCAAGTGAAATGAAGTCGCTTTGTTCTTTTGAGTTCGGGCCATCTGTCAAATCAAAAGTTTTAGTACGCTTCATTCATAACGCACTCGGGGGGGGATATCTATCCCACTTACTTCGGCCTCGATCTCTTTGATCTACAGGTGAGGTTAGCAACCATATCATTTACGTGAATTTACGCAACTTACCTTTTCCACCGTAGTCGACATCTTGACGGGCCAGTTGATATGTTGGACACTTAGTTGCACTACGTTATTGAAAATTGTTTTCCGTCTCTTCTACTGGCAAGTTGTCAAGTTGCCACTTGAGAAATTCACTGCTTCGTTTTTTTGGTGGGGCAGATCGAAGAATGGAAGGCTTTTTTGCCCTGTGATGTCAGCCCCCATAATTTGCCGTGGATTCTCCGACGACTAAGATCCCTTAAACACAAAGCCTCATTAGTCAGAGCTATGGATATAGGAATAAACCGAGCGGCTCTTGAGGCCTTTTGAATAATTATGATACATCTTAGGTAGGTCGGGTAGGTAAGTGTCTACCTTAGATAGGTACTTGAGGTAAATATTAACAGATAATGGACGCGAATTATAGAGCTTATATGAGTAATGTATGTTTCTATCATGAACAATATATCTCCTTGTTCAATACCTTAGGTATATTGCCCTATATTCCCTCAACTTTGGCTGAGCAGTTATCGTTGCAACTCCGTTAACTAGTGGTTATGTTTACATAGTTATGAAGTTTTCTAAGAAACATTCTTAGCTGGAGCTGGATACTATGTGAATAATACTTGGGAACATATAGTATGAAAGTGCAAGGTTACGTGTTTACAGTGGCTTGTTTGGGTTATCAATGGTTTCCAAGAGCTAAACCAAACGACTAAGCTTCACACAACGATGATCAAGTTATTCATTTTTACCTACTCTACAACGTCAGTGATGGTGTAGCATACTAAAGTTTACCTAGGTACCTATTATATAAGACCGTTAAGTACCTTAGGCTGAGCACATACGTGAAATACTTAGAAACAAACCCATTCTCTCCCCGTAATTTCCATTTATTAGCTAACAGATACTCTATCCCTTTTACGTATTGGGGTTAACCACGAGGCCCTAGATCAGGCGATGCCCAGAAGAAAGATGCTAGTTCATGATAGGTCGCCATCTAGTTCTCTTGTCACGGACTTACGGTAGGAGTCCGTGTGGACGTAAGGGTGAGTTCTTAAAATTTGCTAAAAATAAGCCACCATGCAAGGAGGCGTCTCTAATAGATGTCTCAGAATGAAGCCTAGGGTTTGATGACCGTCTTACAAGGAGATTAAAACGCGTGGCTACTTACACGTGAATATACTTGGAACTACGTTCAATAAGCAAAGCAACTGACGGAACTACGGGGGTGCATGAGTGTCGGCACATAGCGCCATGTCAACTCTCTTAGTTTATAAGTCATCCTTGGTTTAAGCATTTGCAATCTACCCTGGTAGATTACTAATGTTCGTCCGAGCGGCTGCTCTCTCAACATCTAAGATATACCTGAAGTGATTACATTATTCATCATTGGCTAATATATAAAGAATATTCGTTGGCTCGCGGTTAGGACGTCCTTGCAGCTTGTTCACCCACACGAGACGGGATTAGTGCAGAGAAACCAACACTAAAAAGCAAGTGTGATATACCGATGTCGCCTGTTGTGAATACCTATTGTCAACCTATCGGATTCGGATTCGTACACGCTTTAAGGCTTCGGCACCGGCACGTCCCATGGACGGCTGGATGACTCTACTTATGTCGCCAGCACTAGTTTCTTTGTCGATCCTCGACAATGTATCGCAGTGAGAAATAGATAGAGATCCGTTGTGGAGCCTTTCCTCGGTTGCAATCACTTTAAGTAGGTAGTCTTCGTGTAAGTTATGAAGGAGTATGTATCCTTTTACTTCGGTCGATAAGCATCTTTTCAGCTTAGAGCCTTTTCAAAGCCATTATGTTAGTCAGGCTATGTTGATTGTCAGTTTCTCTAAGATATTGCTTAATAGATTACAGCTTACTTGCCAAGCTTAACGATACATACGGAAGAGACGATGGTTAGTTTCTTAGCAATGGGTACGTAGCCGAACGAGACAGTCTGTAGATTGGCATGGGAGCATTGTATTGGAGATTCTTACACGCGATTCTAGACTCCTAAGCTTCGACTGCTAAGGGTTACTTTTTTCCAGATATGTACATCAGTTTGATCTTATCTAAGTCACTTTTCACCAATGAATAGCAACCCGAATTCTAAATAGATAGAGATATGGAAACTACCTGTGGCATTTATTCAGAGAAGCTTCGATATACTGCCATTAACCTATGACTAGCTGTAGGTATTGCTGTCCTTTGACGAAGTGGGCTGAAACTCAGGCTGATATTCCCATGGAATAAGCTAACCGTAGAAACGGTACAACCTCGAGAAGTGATGGTCATATTAAAAACCAACATGCTGCGAGAAAGACGGAGGGATGAGCCTGGGGGACTAGAACGTTCAGCCAGAGTGACAAGCTAGGGGTGATGTTCTAGCTTGCAGGATGTTATTGAACCCTCGTTATGACCAGGTCGCCCACAGTCACTCGGATAATATAGCTGTGGAAAATCTATTTGAAAATAGCTTTTGAAGCTGCGATAGAGTAGAGTTGAGTTGCATCACGACCTTGATAGATGCCCCCTAAGCCTCAGCTATTGCATTAGGTAGCAATATAATATGCGATAGAAACTATATGCATTAATCCTATCCGTAGCAATTTAGACCGACTCGGAATCAATTTGTGGATTTAATCAGGTACTTACCTCTATTAACACCTTGATACCTGTTGCCTTCACATGTAATTCCAGTTGAGCCATTCAAATTTGTCTTTTTTTGAATTCAAGATGAAGACACCAGACTCAGTCACCCATGAGGGTAGCATGAGTCCAGCTGCATATTGCCAACTTTTTTACATCCTCGCATCCGCAACCGTGTTGGGTATCGCCGCGGCTCCCCAGTCCATCCAGCGTCTTCTGACCCAATACGGTGCTCGAACCTCAACTGTGGGCACATCGAACGACAAGGAGGGGAAGCAGAATGCCAATGGACGCCTCGTTCAAATCGTTAGCTGGGTAACGTCCGTGAGCCAAGTGCCTCATTCGTGGTTCATTCATTTCTATATTCTTTCTGTGACCTGCTCCGTCTTCTGGGCTGTTCAATTCCTCAATCATGGAAAAATACTCGACTTCATAGTCCGGAACCAAGTCCGGAGCGAGGAAACACTCATGTCAATCAATCAAGTCGTTATCGCATGGGCTCTTATGAGCTTGCAAGGTACGAGGCGTCTCTACGAATCCCTGGCCTTGATTCGCTCTTCACCGTCTAAGATGTGGGCTGTTCACTGGCTGCTGGGGATTGCTTATTATTTTTGCACGAGTATTTCTATTTGGATAGAAGGTTCCCGTAAGTATCGTGACCCTGTCTTGCTTACAGTCTTCTAAGAGTTAAATGATATAGGATCGATTCAGTCTTCCGATAGAAGAACTTTCAGTGCCGAGACACCGTCATTCAGCACGGTCTTTGGGATCATCACATTCCTAGCCTCATCGTTTATGCAAAATAGATGCCACAACTATCTGTTTCGGTTGAAGAAATACTCACTTCCGGAGGACGGCTTATTTCGGTATATAGTGTGCCCGCATTATACGTGCGAGTGCATGCTGTATCTTTCCCTGGCCTTGATAACGGCGCCTGTAGGCCAGCTGTATAACAGGACTTTGATCTGCGCCCTGCTCTTTGTTGCAGTCAATCTTGGTAGCACCGCCAACGGAACTAAGAAGTGGTATGGTGAGAAGTTCGGCCGCGAAAGAGTCCTGGAGAAATGGAAGATGATACCAGGCATATTTTGATATCGGATTTGTCTGAGTCCATCATTTTTTCTGCAAAAACCCAAGCTTGCCTCCTAACTTAGATACTTTCATCACATCTCGATACGTTAAGCTGGTACGTGTCTTTCGCACGTTACAGCCATTGGCAAATTCTTCAGGCGACCGAAGGAGTTTCCAGTTGGCAATGGTACTGTTAGAGAGCTCGATATCCTCTGTGATATCCTCGATACCGTGGAGAAAATCGGTGTAAAGACTAGAAGTAGTGATGAGAAGGCTTCGAGGCTCTTGCAATATTCTCCATGCAGGGTTGGGATCCAGAGCGCCGTTGTCTTTAGACTTGTAGATGTTGAGGCAGAGACTAGCACCAAGGCTCACAGTACACACAACAGGATGATAGGCAGCCCCGTCCTGTTTCGGAATAAGCAGTTCATCATAATCATTTCTCGCTATGCTACTAGCTTACCTTGTGAGGCATTATTCCGATGCCAGGAGGATATTCTGAATACGAATTAATACTGCATGTCATAAAATTATACCCTGGATCCCGATCCCATCACGAAATTTATTTTTCATGACAGGCAAGGAAAGGAAGAAAACAGTGCGATGCAAACTTGAAGGATGCACCAGATCTACTCGCATACTCGTCACTACACGTACCGTTGATAAGAACGTGGTTCGGCTTTTGGTGAGGACTATCAGAGAAAATATCAGGCGAATCGGGTTCTTGTGAGAGTCGGATCGATTTCAAACGCGATATGATCGGATCACTCAACCATGTCGGCAAGGGAGCATCCATCAACTTATTATTAACAAGATCGGACGGCCACGTTTGCAGTCGGCGATGGGATAGTTGCTTCCAACGTGGTTTCGGTGCGGATGCTATCTGTGTCATTGTTAGGCGAGGCGTGTGGAACTCATCGTCTTCACAACCACCACAACCGTACTTTTTCTAGAATTACTTGCTCTTCCTCTTGCGAGATGAAATCTGAGATGTAGTACGCTGCTTGAGGTGAACCTGTGAGCCGGACGTCATCAAGAGTATCGGGAATTCTGATGTGGGGGAGGGTAGGCCCCATAAATTCGTTGTTGGCCATAATGACAATCCACCAAAGAATTCAGCAGACGTCGGATTAAAGATCTTGGATACTCGTATGACTATCGAAAACGGGCGAATTGAGTGTTAGTGTACGGGGCGCTCGAAAGGCATTACGGTTGGTGTGGGAATGCGGTTAAGACATTTTTATCACGTTATGCCTTGTCATAATCGAATACGCAGACCCGACAGGATGTAGTCCTAGTTCACAGACCTATGCGATGCGATGCTGGTTTTGCGTATCAAACGACTTCGAAATGGTTTGGGATAAATAGGTAAGTAGAGAGATAAATAAGGTAGTTGATGGAGCTTAGGCGTAGATCGGCGTAGGCTGGCGGGATAGCTTATCAGTAAGAAATAAGAAGGTGGGTTGAACAATCAAACAGTCTGATTTAAAAAGGAGACAGTGGTCAGACCTGATAGAATCTTGGGAATCTTTGGATTGGAAGAAGGAGATGTGCAGTTTATTAGCGACAATTAATAAACGAGCCCTTGCTAAGAGAGAATTTTCAGAGTCGATGGAGGAAAAGCCTGGAAAGAACTGGGGAAATGAGGGGCGGAAATGGGCAGGCAGGCAATGAAAGCTGGCAAGCAAAGCAGGGGCCGCCACAGTCGGGGGCAAGGAAGCAATGGGCAACTCAGAGCAACTTCGCACTAGAACTCTGCAAATTTGCGGAAATACCGGCCACCCGACCCATCCGTATTTAGGTCGGCAGCCAATCAGGGATAGGCCTGGCTTGTTAGACTGATCTTGAAATTGATCTTCAATGGCTACACAAGGAAAACAGTCCTAGTGCCACCACACTAACAGACGGCACTAAGCTACTTTGGTGCATAGCCTACTTGAAGTACTCCAGTACATGTTCACTTTTCCTCTTGTCTGAGGCAGTCAGACAGTTTGGCAGTCTGGCCTTTCCTGCCAGTCTCCAGTTGTCTGGCGTTTCCTTCTCTAGAGTCAGAGGAGGGTCAGAGGGTCAGAGAGTCTATGCGCTTTGCCTACCTTAGGTACTTTGCCCTGCCTGCCCTGCCCTGCCCTGCCCTGCCCTGCCCGGTCTGGTCTGTCTTGCCTGCCTATCTACCTCCCTCCTAGGTGCCTACTGCTTATTTGTTACTACTACGAGCTGCTACCTGCCACCTGCCTGCTACTCTATTATTATCCTAGGAGGTAATTGTTAGTATTTCTCTCAGCTAAGTGCTTTTTTGGTTTGCTGCATCCTTTTCGTACCTTTCAATTTTGCAAATAATTTCCTACACCAAAATTATTCACATTCAATGACGGTCATTATCTGTATCTGCGACAACTCTTGTTCATCAGCGATATTTTAGCAAATAGCACTTTTCTTCCATCCCATCCATCCATCCCATTTACTACCCAATCCTAGCCCAAGGCCCGTCTCAAACCTTGTTCTCGATCCCGCCTCTCATCCCGTCTCAATCCTATTTGATCCCCGACCGACCGTTTATGTTCGTACTCGTACCCATTGTAGAGTAGTCCATATTCGCCAAAGTTTGTACACAGCGTCTCGACACAGATTCTGTCCCTATCGTCACCCACGAGTGGCCATCATGGTGTACTGTATTGTATCTCGGTATATGAATTGAATGCTATGGATGCGCAGAATGCTGTCGAGTCCGCAAACACGAAACAGGCTGCCTCGCCGAAGCGGGGATTTGCTGAGTCTGAAGATCCCAAGTCGACGGTGACAGCGAGTAACGCCACGACAAATAATATTAAGCTTTCACTGACTGCAAAAGCCTCTTCCACTTCCAAGGAGTTGCGACCCGTAACGACATTACCAAGTGCGCAGGACGACGATGTTGGGCCTGATCAAAACTCAGACGCCGAGACAATTGTCCTGCCAGGTAAGGACGGTGTCTCTCCGTCAAAACCCCGGAAGGTAATAAAGCATGAAGACAGGAGCGATGGTGAAATTGACGATGTTTTGCCACCCCCGAGGAAGTACCTGAATGATGGTAAAAATGGTGATCGCAATGGTGGTCCTTCCGATGATGCAGTGTTGCTAGAAAGGAAGAAGCGATTGCCTGGGAAAGAGAAGCAACCGCGGAGTAAAGATGTATCAAGCGGGCTTAGTTCTGCACCTGCCTCCCCGCCTCCACACCGTCGCAATAACCACGAACCCATTCACCGGCGTCGCAGATCCATCGACGCTCATTCGGAATCAGGTTCCGAATCATCTAAGACGAAGCCCTCCAAAGATCCCGTCAAACAAAAATCAAAATCTGTAGATAGGTTGCTTCCTGGCAAGCGTAAAGCACCCAAGGCGGAATCTGATGACGAGGGCGAGTCGCGGAAAATCCGTCGACCGCGGATTTCAGAAACGGGCCTTGACAACCAAGCTGTTGCTAGGGAGAAGGACCAAAAATCCACACCAGCCCGCCTTCCCCACGACAGGCAATCTGCCTCTCGAAACCGATCATTGTCACCTCACGGTCGCATTCACCGACGCAGCCTTTCAACCCAACTTCCATCTCAGTCTTCGAATGGATTTAGTACGAAGAAAAGACGCATACCTGCACCGCTTCAATCCACCGATTATCATTCCGACGATTCCTCTGCTAGTGGCAGCCCGCATCCTCGAAGTTCAAAATTAAGAAGCATAGCTACCCCTGTTACTGGCGAATCAACAATCTCACCCGCAAGGATGCCAGCCCACAAGAAGCATGTCGATAACCATGGCCAGACTTTACTTGCTAAGGCTTGCGCAAAAGGTGAATATGAAGTTGCTAAGAAACGGCTTACCGAACGACCCGAAGATTTGAATTTTGCAGATTATGCCGGAAACACACCTCTGCAAGTTGCGTCACTGAATGGCCACGAACAAATCGTTCAACTTCTTATTGATGCGGGATGCAATCTCGATTGCCGAAATAGTGACAAGGAGACACCGCTTCTTGATGCCGTGGAGAACGGCCATCTTGGTGTTGTGAAGATCTTGCTGAAAGCAGGTGTAAACCCACGAAAGGCGGATGCCGAGGGACACGAACCGTTAGAAAAGGTCCCTGACGAGCTAGAAAACGCTGAAGAAATCCGAGCGGCCTTGCGGGAGGCGAAGGAGAGGGTGGGCGAGCTGCGACGAACTTCCGAAGATCACCCACCTCACGAGATGCCAGATACCGTTTCCTCTCATGGCCCCGAGAGTCCTCGTCGTTCGCCCGCGGCACAAGGCAGCTCGTTAGCGTCCCAACGCCGTGGTGGTGCTGTTCGATCGACGAAAACCAGCAATCATCTCTTGTATATGAATCTTGACGACAAGACTCTCCGACAAGCAGCAGCCCGAGGCGATAACGAGACGGTGACTCGTGTATTACAAGTCAAGGAACGCTGTGACGACCCCGAGGCTTTAGTAAATGCGGCACGGGGTGGTCATAGTTTTGTTGTTGAGCTCCTTTTAGCCTTAGGCGGCGCAAATCCCGATCCGCCACGACCTGTTCCAGGTCTCCCAACGGAACATGGGACTCCAATGTTGGCTGCTATTGGTGGGGAGAACATTGAAGTGATTAAACTTTTACTAAATGCATCTAACTTTGACCCGACTCGTCGTTATAAAGGTCAAACATACTACGAAATAGCCCGACGTCGGGAGGGACCTATGTGGAAGGAGGAAGAGCACCTCTTGAAGAACGCTTACGACGAATTTAAGAAATCCCCTAAATCCTCTTCAAAGACGAAGTCTCCGGGTAGGCGAGACCGGGATCGCGATCGCGAATTAGACCCAGATTCAAGACGTGCCAATCGCGAGTCTAATGTTGACGGTAACCGATCACATAAGCGTCGGCCATCTAGCCCATCCCGAGATGTTGATTCTAAGAAGAAGGCCACGTCTACGAAAGCGTCTGGGAGTCCCAAGGAGAAGACACATTCAGTTTCTTCTGGCAATCATGACGAACAGACCTCTCCCAAACGCGGGCCAGGCCGGCCTAAAAAGGAAGAACGCGTCTCAAGCATTGCCACGTCAGACCGTGAGGTTTCACCTGCTATGTCTAAGACTCATCCATCGAAGTCAAAGCTGGTGGACTCGGACCCTGCTATTAACTCTTCTGATACCGAAACTACAAAACCGCGGAGAAAGCTTATTTCGGGTAAAGAATTGAAGGGACATAGAGAAAAACAGCGGCGTGCGAGCTTAGCCTCAAACAACTCTACCGTTGAGCGTGGCGATACAAAAACCGAAGATGCCCCAGAAAAGCGACCAGATCGACTCTCTGAAAAATACCACGATCGAACGAAAGCGATAAGACGTGACGAGTCTAACGATAGACTTTCCCTGGGTGAAAGTTCAGCTAAGAGGCCGCGATCTAGTGTTACGCCACCTCGGCATGGGCTTGGAGACAAAGACGATACCGACGCTCCTATTAAGAGAAGGAGATTGGATCCTGAGAGTAAAGAGAGACGTCCGTTCCAAAACCCTTCACCCGAAAGTCGTCAGCAAAAGCGAGATCCATCACGGGATCCTGCTAGGTCACAGCGACCATCAGATGATCGTACACCTAAAGCTAAGAAGGCCAGTCGTGATCGCAGAGACTTAGATAAAGCAAGTCCTCAAGATAAAGCTAGCATCACTGTAGCATCCGAAGACGTAGATGTGGACATGCGTGACGTGCCTCAAACACATCAAGCCGAAGAGAGCGAAGTACAGATCGATCGTGAACGTAAAGAGGTAAAGAGAAAACAAGCTGAGGCTGAGGCGATAGCTGCTGAGGAGGCAAAGAAGAAAGAAACGGAACAAAAACGCCAAGAATTAGAGAAGAAAAAACAGGAAGCGGAAGCACGGCGACGGGAAGAAGTTGAAAAGAAGCGCCTTCAAGATGAAGAACGAAGCCGAGTCGAGAAGGAAGAAAAGAGGCGCAAGGAAGAGGAGGAAAAGACAAAGTTAGCAGAGGAGAGGAAAGAGAAGGAAGAACAGGAGAGAAAGCTACGAGAAGAAGAAGAAAGGACACGAAAGGAGGAGGAAGAACGTAAGAGACGAGAGGAAGAGGCAAGAGTTCGCCGCGAAAGGGAAGCTGCCGAGGAAGCACAACGCTTGCGAGAGGAGGAGGAAGAAAAGGAACGTGAGCGCAAACGTGCGGCGGAGCGAGCTGCACGCGAAGCCGAGATGCAACGGGCTCACCAGGAAGAGATGGAGAAAGTCCGCCTGTCGAAGTTGCCTCCTCTGTTACGTTGGCTCAATGTCTGTCCAGACCCCAAGCAAAAGGATATAGCCGGGCTTTTCGCCATAGCACAAGGGGTAAGGTATGATACAATTAATCCTTCTGCCACTGGTCACGTAAACGGACGTGAGCAGTGGTTGCTCAACACTCAAGTCTCTTTGCTTTTGGGCGAGAAGGATACCTCTTTGTCAAGATGTGAGTTACTAAGTAATGGCTTTTTTGACGTCGTGTGTAATTGACTGGTCTATAGACACTGCGTGGGAACGTATTCCAGCATCGCATATAGCGAAGAGAGTTATCTGGCGTTTGGAGCAAGATAGATATGCTCTAACAGAAGGCAAACTCTTTCACTTGGGAGAACAGCTACCTGACTTCTACGGGGGTGATCCTTGGACAGTTCGCTACAAGAAGCTCGAGCAGATTCGCGGCGAGGCATGGAAGTGTTTCTCAGAGACGGAGATGTTTTTTGTCAAAGTAAGTTTTCCTATTTTTATCGGTATCGTCAACCCCACGACATTCAACTAACGTGGCCGAAAGCAATCCGACTTCCTCTCCATCGTTCCTACTATACCTCATCTTCGGAACGTCAAGCTGTCAATCTGGTATTGCGAACTACCAGAGCATGAATCCGCCCTCTCAACTTGGAATTCACCGGGCAAATGGAAGCAAGATCCTGACGCCGAAAGCCGTGGAGGCTTCGCACCGCAGTCCAAGTATTATATCAACGGGGAATTCGTGGGCGAAAGGAAACCGCAGACATACAGGCCAAGCAAAACCCCATTTCCAGAAAGCCGGGTCCCTAGAAGGGAAGGGCTTGTTGCGGTCACGCCAAATGAGCCTGACTATGTGCGTATCTGCATTGAACAGGGTCTAGCACACCTCCTTACAGACCAACAAAAACAAGCTGCACTCAATGGGGCACATTTAACGCCTCGAAGCATGGTATCGAACGAGGCTGTAGACTACGTTGGTGAGAACTTGTCACCTTCGACCGAATCGCCAAGTACTGCGCTAGTCAACGGCATTAAGAGCGCCCAGGAATCTTCGGACAAGCTTCCTATGAACGGCACGGGCGAAGATGGTTCGGGAGAGCACCAACGAGCCAGCTAAATTTCCATGTTTCGTTGCCGCAATACGCACCCTACACATCCACACATTCTTGGTAGCGTTTTCTTGTAACCTGTACGATATCAAAGCCGCGGTTCACACGATTTCCAACCAATTCATACCTAAAGGATTCCTAGTCCCGTGGTAGCGAACTATTTTATTTGTTGTAACAGATGTGACGAGAACGGCTTAAAAAGGAAAAAAGTAAGCGAATACTCACGTATATGATAAGCAAACTTTCATGGACGGAGTTGGAGGCTCTTGAATTGGCTGGCGAAGTGTGTGAAAGCTTTCAACCTTGGATCTCTGCTCCAAGGATTTGCTCTTCCATCTGATGTCGGCGTACACATTCTGATTTGCGATGCCAACACTAGAAAGGGGGAGGGGTTGAGAATTGGCAGTGGAAATGCGGATTACGATTAGATACTCCCAATGCAGTATATACATTCTTATGATTGAGGGCACTCAACGGTGTTACTGGGACAAGCTTTGATGGACACTCAATATTTCTGGGGGGTCTATGATGCGATTGGGATTATCTGGGTGAATCAGATCTTGCCTGGGCAAAATGAGCTTGATTTCTTTGCCGAATGAAACAATCATCAACCGGGAGCCTTGTTTAAGGCCTCGAGTAGGCCGATCTCAGAATCCCGAAGGGAACAAGATGCTCCAAAACGAAGAGCCTATTAACTGGCGCAGTTGCCTTCACCTTGATAGGCGGCCAATATGATTGTAATAAACCTTGTTTAAGGCTCTAAGCTACTACCTACCTCTATGTATAAGTATACCGTTGCGAAGCCACAGGAAGACGTCACAGTATTGCATTAGGATGGCGAGCATCGGATAAGAATCTCAGCTCAGGATTCATTCTATTGGGCAGATCGGACTCGATTGAGCGAAATCGCATGCCGTGTTTGCGAGGAAGATGATCCTTCGTAGGCAACAAATCATGGTGGATTTTTGTGCGTGGCATACGAGGTATCTATCTACCTGGGTACCTACCTCCTAAGTTAGGTACCTAAATAAGTAAGTGCATAAAAAACTTAAGGTCAAGGTTAAGCAGATTGAGGAGGCACTTGCACCACACCTACACCGCACCATAAAGGACGCTAGGTATCATGCTGTCGTGTTGAGCCTCGACCCAATGATACAACGGACTCGGGAAACAAGAAAAAAGAAAAAGAAAAGGCCGGTTTCTTATTTTAGATGATCGGGTCGAACTAACGATTTCGGTGGTGGATTGTTTACACCGGAGCGGATGTTTGCATTAATGGACAAACAGGTATTCCGTACCTTTACCATTGCACAACATCCAACAAGAAATAATAGGTACCTAATAGTAACGTACTGTGATTTTATGTTTTGTACGTGCATATTTAATTGTACATTCACCTTAGCAGGTCTCGACATGGTTCATTGCCCAATATCTGTACGGGTTTAGGTACGCGTGTTTGAAAGGAGATATTAGGTAATAAAAAGGGGTTAACGTTAGCCGTTTGGGGGATGGATTAACGATTTTATTTTGCTGTGTATTTTGTTTTCCGTACATACGAGGGACTTGGCTACTAGGTACATACGTAACGTACTACCTAACACTAATGATGACAGAAAGTCTATTCGTAGAATGGACAAATAGCAAACCACAGTTTATGAGAAACTTGTGCAAGGCTGGATGATGGCAGATGGTACATAGTATAGGTACATAATCAATAGGTAAATAGTACCTAAAATGGCACAGCCTCTTTCTCTCTCTCTCTTGTAGATTGAGCCATGGAACCGGGATATCGTAACACGGCCTGTAAGGTGCTAGAGGTTCCGCTGCAGAAACCACCTACACTCAGCGACATCGTCAACACGCGCTAGCTTTTGTTCCCAGGTTGTCTCGTCGTTTTATTTTATTTTTTAAATTTCATCTTTTATTCTGGGGCGCTGAGCACGGAGCACAGAAGTAGGTAGGTACTGGGCAGGATGTAGTAACCAAAGATAGAGATGATGGGCATTTGTGTAATACGGGGCCCCTGTTTCGGCCATGCACGATCACTTCTTCTATTGGACGCTACAGGGGTTTTAAGGCTGAAAGGAAAGAAGGAGAAAAAAAAGCAAATTACCTAACGTACTGTGTGTGTGTAGTACCATGTAAAAGTCCATGTATAAGTCCATGTTGTGTAATCTGGAAGAACAGTAGGTGACGAGTGAATAGTAATGGGTCCTGCCTGTAATTCACCGTCCAGGCACCGTGTTTTTTTTTTTCTTCTCTTTTCCATTTCCCTTTTCTTTTTTTTCCTTAGTTAATTTTCTTTTCAATCTTTTCCCGGAATATCTCCTCAATTCCGTAACGTAAATGATTCCTACTCCCCGAGTTGAGGTTAAGGGTATCCACCACAACTAACCACCACCGCCGCCGCCGCCGCACGATAATTACCTAAGGTACCTAGGTAACAAGCAAAGGCAGCCCGGCCAGGATGAGGTGGTTCCTGACGCTGCCGGCCTCGGTGCTGCTCGGCATCGCACTGCAGGCGCACGGCTCGTCGGCCCTCGACAACGACTTCTCGGCGTACCCCGAGGGCTCGCAGCAATGCCTGAACGACGCCGCCAACGAAACCACGTGCACCGGGAACACGGGCAGCGAGATCAACAAGTGCCTGTGCTCCAACAAGGGCAACTTCATCTACAACACCGCCGAGTGCGTCGCGAGGAAGAGCCCCGCCGACCTCAACGCCGTCTACGACACCATGGAGAACAACTGCGCCGGCACCGGTGTCACCATCGCCGTCTCCAAGCAGGCCTTCCTCTCCCAGGCCGCCGCCGCCACGCAGACCACGTCCTCCGCTACCCCGACTTCTACATCCCCTTCTTCTTCTTCATCTTCATCTTCATCCTCTTCTTCGTCAGGCTCGTCAGGCTCGTCCGCGGCTTCACCTACAGCATCTAACTCGCCCTCCGAAAGCAGTGGTAGCAGCACTCTCTCCCAAGGCGCCAAGTTAGGTCTAGGCGTAGGAATCGGCTTCGGCAGCGTGGCGCTGGGCCTCCTGGGCTGGTTCGTATTCATGTACTCGCGGCGGCGCAAGTCGCACCCGGCCTCTTCGGACCCGAATTCACCATACCAGCACGACGTGGAGCTGTCACCGAACGGCGGCGGGAACAGCAGCATGTACCACCCGTCGCCGCTGATGCCGTCGCCCGAGTACGCGCAGCACAACGCGCAGTTCGGCGGGGTCGCCGAGCTCAGCCCCGCGACCGTGCATAGCGGGTGGAAGGAATTGCCGGGGGATTACTACGCGGGGGACAAGAAAGACGGCAGGACTACGGATGGTGGTGGTGGTGGTGGTGGAGGAGGACATGTTCACAAACGCTCATCTGGTGTCCCGCTCCTGGCGGAGATGGATGACGGGAGGGGGAGCTCGCTGGCGCCGGTCGAGCTGCCGGGGAGTGAGGTGTTTACGGATACCGCGAGCAGCAGCGTGCACACGCATACGCCGACGACGATGCCGCATGATCATGACGCGCAGCGACCGGAGAGTAGTGGGTATCGGGATCAGGGGTTAGGGGGCGGCCATGGAGGATGATGATGAGAGTGAAAGAAGGGAAACAAAAAAAAAGGAGGAGGGAGGGAGGAATGGTAAATCGAATGTTACGAGTTTCAGAAGAAGGGAGGACGTTCTCAATACCGATAACGATGCCGAAGAATACCGAAATTACCGAGTTCTTACTAGGCAATGCCAAAAGGAAACTTTAAACTTTATAATAATTGTTTTATAAATCGAAAGAACGCGCGCGCTGCATTACCTACCTAATACCCAATGTAATGATTACCGGACGAAGGTTCTCACGCGGAAGAGGGAAGGTTTTATTTATTACGTAAGTGCCTACCTCAATAATTTACAACTAACGATTCACAAAAGAAAAGAAAGAAGAAAAAAATATCTTGGAGATATATCAAGTTACGCAACGCAACGCAACGCAGAACGGATCGGAAGAGAATAGGAAAGACTAATACGACCGATTCAAGAGATTAAGATTAGTTCAGAAGGGTATAACATATACCATAGCATAAGTAGCATAGCATAGAATAGCATAGCATAGCATATAGCATACAGGCCGCGTTTCGGTGTCCCAACAAATAATATATATTAACAGAACCCATGTACATATAACTACAACCAAACGTTAGGTATACCTATATGTTTTTGTAGGTACCTGGCGTATGTATTGCATTGCTAGTTTGTGCCCGCTTGTCTTGTGGCGTGCATATACGAGTGGGAGCCTGCAGTTGGCTGAATCCTCTTCGTGCTTCAGAAACATCGGCATAGGTATACTTACTAGTCGAATACCTACGTCGAATACGGCACGCCTTGTGTTACTCAACGACTCTTCGCGCAAAGAATCCAGATGTGTTTCTCTGCGCCGCCGTCTCGCGTAATAAGCGCCTTGGACTTCCCGTGTCTTAGAGATAGATCTGCGCACTTATTATGGCCTACGCCGATTCGTTCAAAAGGCGAGGAGGCTGGCCCGTCAACCGCTAACCATCTCTTCAGTAAGACACCAACACTTAGGTAGCGATTATACGTACCTAGGTACAAGTGGTATAATTCTCACAAACGCCTGAATGTCCAGTCCAGATGGATCATATGTTGTTTATCGTTACCAATAACACACTTGATTTTTACCCCAGGTTGGGATATATTTGATATAAATGAAGCCTCGTTGTAAATTAATTCCTACCAGGCGGATGGATACATTCCCTTAATCGTCCACAATTGTCCCCGATGATGACAAGGAGTCATCCGCAATTCGTTTTCTCCGCCAGAAGGCAAGTTTTCTAAACCATCCAAGGGCCCGCCATCTTCCGTGACACGTGCTCCGACGCGAACTATCGCCCGAGCTCACGCTAGAATCGCGCCGCGACCTTAGGTGCCTGTGACAAGCGCAGGTGCAACAGCCGCAGCATCTCGATCTCTGGGCGTTGACTGGTGGGTATAGGAGGGGGCGGGGTGGTAAAGGAACTGACGACCTGTTCCAGCGAACACCAGGTTCAGCGTCGAGTGATAGATCTAGCGCCAGAGAGCAGACATCCTCGAATTTGAGCGAAGGCTTCCTAATCTCGACGTGGCGCCGGCCTGCGAAGTAGTAGAGCCATTGCGCAGCTAGCTTCAGAAATTCCTTCTCTTCTACATCATCATCTTCGAGCCACGGGATCTGGTTCTCGACTGCGATGGCCGCGATGGCACACTTCAACAAGGACAGCGAAGCCGCATTGCCCAAAGGTGGCGCCTTCTTGAGCGCCGCAACAGGCGGTAGCAGACGTGACAGACGGCACACACGCCACGTAAGTGAGTCCCACGTTATTTCAACAAATGGTGGAGGCGGCGTGACCTGTGATATGGCTTCAAGCTGCCGGGTCCGTTTATCGAGTGCTTCCAGAGACGTACTCAGTTCGCTCCCAGGACATGCGCTCCTCCCGTCCATGTAGGCGATTACACATATGCAATAGACTTCCGCCATCTTCTTAAGTGTTGGTGGGCCTATAAGTTGCCCAATCCGAAATAGAGGATACCTGGGATGATCAATTCGAATATTGGGGCACGATGGACCATTGATCTGCTTACCTTTAGTAAAAACCCATCTGGGAGAGGAGTTGCGGTCTCTAAATAATGCTGGAGGATTGTACGCCGAGCCAGGCTCCCCCTTAAACGACAATGCTAAATTGCGAACAGGACTGCAGCGCTCAAAGATAGATGTATATGATCTTGGCATGACTTCACGTTGGTCTTGTTGGTCTTATTGGCCTCCCGCTGCTGCCCGCTCGTAGCCTGCAGCAGAACAACGCAGTCTTGCATGAAGCTTCCTCCCAAGTGCATCCCAGCGCAGTCATTAGATTGGCTGGAGGAGGCGAGGAGCGGACGGGCAGATCGATCAACAATATCACGCGGCCCCTGGTAGAACATATGCAATTCCAACTAGTACTCCGCAAAATGGCTCACCTCCTTTACTCCCGGAAACTTGGGATAGGTCTATACCTTAGGTACCTAGGTCTCGTTGCGTCTCGCTTGAAGAATAAAGAAAGCCGTGTGACGAGAAGACAATTTCCAAAAAAAACCCGAAGTACCTAAGTTGGATACGGTTTGGACCAGAAGGGCACATCGCTCCGAATTGGGCAGTAAAGCTCGTTGTCGACACAACCATCCTTCGGGCCCTATGGTCCTTTAACAACGTTGAGTAGTCGTTCACGGCCCAGCTGCAACAAGCATTTTCCACTGGCCCTCACTTCTCGAAAGACATATGCTCTAGTTATCCGATGAAGCCGATGTGGTATGTCAATGAGTAAATTTTTGATCATCATGTTATCGACCGGACCATATCGGGTAACATTGGTTCAAGACTTAACATTTCAAGGAGAAGGCTTTAAGGAGAAGGGAAAGTTTGGGGCTCCTAGAAGTTGCAATAGGGGATGAGTTAAGTAATAGGCCAAGACGATGACTAAGGCTATTGAAGCGTCGCATAATCCCGCTGCACAAAACAAGTGACACCCCCAGATTGATTGTATTCGAGGAAGCAGCCATCCTCATAATCACCTAAAGTACCTAAATTGATCCATATTTTTATTCAACGCTGCTGCCAATTGGTACGCGCTAGGTAATTGCTGCCATTAAAGTACATAAAATAGCATTGCAATTGAAGTATTTCGTCAACGCAAACCCCGTCACCTCTGGAGAAACACCCACGTTCTGCAACTTCGGCTTTTTGTTCTGCTGGTTATAATACAATGCAAGTGAAATGACGGCTATCGGCCTCTATGGCGCAGTGGTAACGCGTTGCACTTGTAATGCAAAGATCCCTCGTTCGATCCGGGGTGGAGGCAGTGAATTCTGTTTAGTCCATACTTGGTCACGACCTAGTCACAGCGCTAGGAAGTTACCGATTCTTTTTTGTTTTTTTTGTTATGTTTTGTGATGTTGGTGATGGAGCCCTCAAGTTAGGGTTATTCAAGTGGAACTACTATGTATTTCACTCTTTGAATCCTTTATTTGCAAAACTCGTGTAAATACAACTTCCAGGGGTAGCCCCCTTTTCCATCATTTGATATACGGCTAAGGGGATATGCGGTGCAAACATGGACGGCCTAGTTAGAATCAAATTATTTCTCAGCACTACCTAGGTAGATATTGCCTCCCAACGAAGTCTCGATGGGAATATAGCATAGGTAACCGTAACACAAGGCAACACCCGCCTGCGTGCTGACATGCATATAGAAAGTATAGAAAGTAGGATGCATGTAGGTCAAGGGCTCGGTTCGCCTTCACAACTTTTACTTCGGTGACGAGATGAATAATATAAAAGACACCTCACATCATGAGCATTAGCGAACTATTACCAGAACTATTATCAATCTAGGGCCTACCATAAAATAAAGCATTATAAACTCTCCGACACAAGTCTGACTTGTTTTCAGCGAGAGTTAATGCCGAATACAAGGCAAAGCACTTGACGACAACAGGAGACTTCGCCCTGGACCTGATGTGCTTCAAAAGCTGACCAAACCCGTGTGTCAAGAAAAGAAAAGAAAAAAAGCAAAGTTGTTCTTCGACTGCTACCCTATGCTGCAGCTTTCGACTAGGTATTAGTTAATTAGGTACTGACTACCGCGAAATCATGAACAATAATGCTGCGGACCCCGCCTCTCCTGCAGCCCCCGTTGCAACCTCAGCAATATGATCAGTAGCATCTCATAATCATGTGTAAGGCTAGCTAGCCAGTGAAGGTTTCGAATCGGCCTCCCCGCCGTTTGTTTTTTGCTTGCTCTTGCGGCGGTACTATATTCTCCTCGAAAGAAGAAAGACGAACGACGGGTCTGGGGAAATCTAGATATAGCATCTTGATATAGTTTAGGTACCTAAGATAGGTAGGTAGGTTGGGTAGGTATTATTATATATAATAACATTACATTTGTGGCTCCTCCCTGTGTTGTACGGTCCTCCGGGCCCGAATCCTCTTTATATACCTTAGGTAGGAGGTAGGTAACCAAGCCTCCCGGCTCCGACAGGGAGAATAACACTTTGCTTGCTACCCACCACCGCAATAAGACGGCGCAGTGTACCTACCGTGCTGCTGGAGGATCGTATCCGCCCCCTCTTATGCCGAATCGGTACCCCGTCTCCGTTGGCTCGCGGTGCTTGCGGGCCAGTAAGATCCCAGATCTCTTCGGCCGCACCCTGCTCAATTTCCTTCTTGGGATATACGCACTTGCATGTCAGATCATACACTTACCATTCAAGAAAGTGTTCCCTCTGAAGATCTCGCATGAAAGAGAAAAGTCTTCCGGGGAACTGCACCTGCTCGCCTTGGGGGGGGGGGGGGGGGGGGGGCGGGGGGGGGCGGGGGGGCGGGCGGGGGCGGGGGGGGGGGGGGGCGGGGGGCG